ATATAGGCTATAGATTTTAGCTGTTATATAGGGTTTTAGTGTTAATAAAAGCAGTAGTAAAGTAAAGGTTAGGTTATTATAGAAGGTCTAATAAGTAACTACTAGTAATAGGTGCACTTTAGCTAGTTTTTTATTATATAGGATTATATTATAACCTTAGATATTCTTAATAAAGTAAAGGTCTTTAAAGTGTAGTTTAAAGTTATAAGATAATCTTTTAATAATAGTAATTATTTTATTAGTCTAGTAGGCGCCTTCCTCCTATTATAGAGTATTAAATATACATTAAGTAATTAATAGGTGTTTACTATAGTTAACCTATATACTATAATTAACAAGGAAGTTACATAGGCTTATTAGGACCTTCTAGTTAATTACCTTAAAGTTATTTATAGACTATTTACTAAAATCCTTATAGGTGTAGTAAAGTAATTTACTACTAATATAGTTATAGTACTTATAACTACTAATATAAAATATAGCAATAGTGTTAAGTGTAAAAGCTTATTGCTTACTTATAAGGTTAGTTAGTAACTTCTTAATATAGTCCTTTTCTTATTACTATAGGAGAATATATTATATAAGGTTAGTAAGTATAGTAAAGATATTATTAATTACTACTACTTACTACCTTACGTTAGGTAGTATATTATACTTACTATAAACCTCTTCTTGTTACCTTATAGGTAATAGGGTAGTAGCTTATAAGCCTTACTTACTTATAAGCTTATTATACTTACTTATCTTAGCTTAGGTCTTCTGCTTATAGGCGCAGTGTTATTTACTGTTGCCCTCTGTTAGCCTAATAACCTCTTAAATATAGGCGTTTCTTCTAGTAGACTAGGAGGTATATATATTTATTAGAGGGATTACTGCTAGTAGTATAGACAACTAAGGAAAAATATACTCTTATAGATAAATAACTTAAGGAAAAACAATAGGCTGTTGCATTAGCTGCTTATTAATACTATTAGTTAGTAAAAGAAGGAAAAATAATAGGCTATTACGTTAGTAACTTATTAACGCTATTAGTTAATAAAAGAAGTATATATATAGGAAAAAAAAGTTAGTAAGCTAAAGAGCTTATAATAAATAGGATATAGTAAATAATTACTAGTTAGCTATAGGTATATAAAGTAAAGGGTTTTTTATAGTTAAAAGTGCTTTTCTAAAGGTAATAAAGCTTATATAATAGACATAAATTAATAAGGTTTCTACTAGTTAAGAGGACTAGTTATAGATTTATTAATTAACCTATTGTAATAGGTAATTAGTATAAACTATTATAGTAAAGGTATTTATAGAGGCGTTTTTTAGTACTTGCCTACTTTAGGCGTATAAATAATTAACTAATAATAATTACCTCTTTTTATAGACCTTACTAATCTATAGTTTAGATAGTAAAGTTAACCTACATAGTTAATAGTAAAGTTAACTACTAATTAGTGTTAGTAACACTAAGGGATAGGTTAATATAGTTAACTATATATATTAGTAGTAATTAATAAATAATAGGGGTAACTGTAGTTCTCTATTATATATAAAGAAAAAAAGGATAATTATTGTAGGTTAGTTAGTTAAATAACTAACTTATTACCTACAAATCCTTAGAGAATCTATGGCTAAATATCTGAGGATTTGCCAGCAATAAGTCATCAGGGTTAACCTAATAACTCCGATATTTATCTACGATAGTCAACATTGCAACACTAGGCTTATAACTGTCACGTAAAAGACAACGCCGTTAATTGTATACAACACAAATAACGCCTTATATCACCTTGTGACAGATGTATAATCTATTTAAATTATTTTCTAGGTCATTTATTAATCTTTGGAACCCTCGTTTGAGTAAGAAATACGGCAATCTTCTTCTGGCCCGAAATTCCAGCTCGCTTCATCTGTGCCATTGGGCCTACTAGCTCGTTTGAACCCAATATCAATACCTTCTATCTCTACTACGGGCCTGACGACCTCCACCTCAGCCCTGTATCTCTTGGAGTACCATTTCTCCCGGATACCTGGTGAATTGAATAACGCCGGTGCGTAACGCTTCATGGCTTTCAGGGCCGTTCCCGAGATCTGGTCGACGCTGTGGCTGTGCCTCAGGGAAAGGAAGTCATCACCTGCTAGCTTCCGAAGTTCATCCTTGACGTCGTCGGGGTATTGCCCAGCCTTGATAAGGAGTAGGTCATATTGAAGGAGAGATACCTTTCCGTGCCAAGATCCGCCTTGAGTCGCTCTGTTATAGAGGCCGGTCAGTGCAGCGATGGCGCCCATGCATCCTGTCCCGTAGTCAGAAATTGGGAATGGGGGCACGACTGGCTCATCAAGACCCATGAAATGACCTTGTTCCCATGCTACTCCGCTTACCTACCACCGAATTAGTCATCATTCAAACTAAAAAGAACAATTCATGCTTACACAGTCGGCAATTTGCTGCCATCCGGGGCGCTGCGACCACTCTCCCTGATAGCCAAAGCAATTCTCGTTCACGTAAATAAAGCCTTTGCCGCGTTCTTTGGCCAGATTCGTTAGCGCAGTTGCACCATAGCCAAGCTTCTCTAGCGCTCCAGGTCGATAACCGTCAAGAACGACATCAGCCTCAGCCAAAAGCTTCTCAAACTGTCGTCTTCCTTGCTCAGTCTTGAGGTCGAGATCCGCAGCGTGCTTGCCCATGTTACCGTCGACCTGAAAGAAGGGGACATCGCTGAGGTTCGGGCTCGTGATCTTCAAAACGTCGGCGCCGTACTCGGCCAGGATACGTCCTATCACCGGTCCGGCGATGATGCGGCACAGTTCGAGCACCTTGACCCCAGACAGAATTCTGCGATCTGATGTGACCGGGAGAGGCGCTGGTGGTGTCGAGTCCTCCAGAGCATCCACACTCCATGGCGGCAATTTGAGATTTGTCGTGCCCTATCGAATTATCAACAACTCAACAACGGCCAATTCCACGAATAAGTGAATACGAGTTATCATGGCTTACATGCTGCGTCCTGATAAAATCATCATGCTTGAGAACAGGGACTCCCGCCTGGCGTTTATCTGCATTCATACGCTCCAGCTCATCGACTGTGAAGTCCTTGACATGAGACTCTATTGTCTCTACTATTGCTTCGTGGGATTTCAGATCTGGCCTGAAAGGCTCAAGGCCAATCATACGGAGCGTGACCGATGCTTCCAGAGATCCATGGATATGATAGTATTCGCCTGGTCTTTTCGTTTCATACAAGTTGGCGGACATGCGACGATAAGGGTCCGATTGGGCCTGAAGCAGATCCGTATCTGTATACTGTTTAGTTGATTCATCTTGTAACTATTCTCGTTGTAGATCCAATCCAGAATGTGAAGCTCACCCTTCAAAAACTGCTTCACCTCGTGATCCAACTTGCCGTAACCACCAACGGTTGCCAGATAAGCTTGAAACAAGAATGCGGTACTCTTCTCCAAATTTACGGAAATTTTGTTATTCCTGATGCTCTCATCCTTTGTAGTCGCAAGTGCGGCGGCCACACCACCTTCGATGGCCTTTAAAGCTGAGGCCAATTCTGTCTCCTTGAGCGGGACCGGGAAGTAAGGCAAGTCGCGAGATGCTGAGAACTGCGCATCCCTTGCGATTCGCTCGGCCTCGGCTGGGATCTTCACCTGACTGAGAACGAGCTCCAAGATGCCCTTCGTCTCGACGATAGACGAGTAGCCTCCGTTCGACATTGTGATAGAGGTATGATGTTGGTGGTGAGAGGTGACCTTCGAGATGGTGGACACGCACGAAGACGGGTATTACTATTCAGAAGTAAACAACACACCCGCAAATTTCCAGCTGTCGGAGAACGTCCCTTGCACTTCCGCCATCCAAACTGCGATCAATAACATCTCAGAAAAGGAGGCCCATTTCTTCCACCTTTCAGCTTCAAGCGCCGTGCTACCTTGCTTGTCCAATTCAACACCCTAGCTCGCAGACTGCCTGCGTCACAGTAATGAGTGTCGAAACGTCGGACCCGCAGCGAGAATCGGGCGGGAGTACCTGTGCCCAATGGCAGCAAATGGGGGTTCCGTTCAAAACCCCGGTTTCCGATCGTTTCGGAAACGGGGTCCCTGGACACTACTGCGAACTAAGTTGGGGCTTTTGGCGGTGCGGATGAGGGGGGTTCAAGCTCAGACGCTTAGAATTGGACGTGAGCCATTCACGTTGAGGGAAAATATCATGTTGTCGGATAAGGGCTTCATCGAACTAACGTAACGTCGGGTAAGGCACTGGGTTTCAGTGTTTTATTGGTCAGAGAATACGATATCGGATGTCGTAATATGATCAAAATAATGGCTCTCGTGGGTCTTTGTTGGTTATTTTCAGTCGTGATCTCCAAATCTTGGTTATTATACGTCTCCTGTCCCTGCCACCGCCTGAGGGGAAGCTGCCATGGCCGTCATCATTGGTCGGGATATCAGAAATCAAATTTTGAATAGCAAGGCTACGGTCTCACGGTAGAGGTACTTGCGGATGCTAGACGATAGTTGTATAAGACAATGTTTGTTGCTCTTAATAATAGCGGTCCGTGCCGTTGATTGCCGATACGGGGCGGCAATGTCTGCCAAACAAGTGGCCGACCATCAATCCCAACAAATCGTTTTTCCAAGCAAGCCAGTTAACGAGAATTGTTGCATAAACAAGGTCCCAATACCTTCTGTTGGTCCTCAGCTCGTACGCTTGACTACCTCGGGCAGCTTCGATATTCTCAATTTCACTCCTTTGTACCAACGACCTTGAGTCTGGAGGCAATGTCAGTGAGCCAGGACCCCTGGAAATGTGCCCCCCGCAAAAGCGCGGAAGCTAAGAAACCCTACCCCGGATCTTTCATTGCCTCGTCTTACGCCAGCGTTTGGCCCAAGACCCAACCCATCCTGTCACTGGTTTGTTTTGCTGGCTGCCCATGAGCTGTGGTAAGCTGTCATTCTGGCGATCACAGAGGAGACCTCTTCGACAGGTTAACAGACGCAAAATGCCTACGAAAAAGGTCCGTCAGAGCGAACGGCGTAGGTGTGTTAAGGCCTGCGGGAATTGCAAGCGGCGCAAGGAGCGCTGCGATGGTCAGCAACCCTGCAGAAGGTGCGTGATCCGTAGAGTTGAAGGCGATTGTGCTTTCGCCGGTCTACCAACGAACCTTGCTGCTGCCGACCCTCTGTCTGCGAAAACTCCCGACTGTCGTGGCCTTGACGAAAGCCCAGCCAGCCAAGACCACTTCAGCCCGTACAGACCAGCCGCCTCATTCCACGAGAATGGCATTTCGCAAAGCCATCGCCAGCGCGCTTGTCCACAAATCAGCCACCTCTCTCGGTCTGCTGTGGTACCGCAAGTGTCCAGACTCATAGCAGATGGGAAAGGCCGCCTTATGTTCATTGGCGATGCAGCCAACTTGGCTTTTTTGAAAGTCATCCGCCGCCTGGTACGTGACCTTGTAGGATCATGTCCCTTTACAGACGATCCTCTGCGCCATATCATGGTTGAGGCGACCCCAGAAGGACGTTCGAAATGGATTATCACAAACCCGGCAGATATCCCGGCGAAGCCCAGTGATGAACAGGCAAGATACCTGCTGCGTTGGTATTTGCGAGCAACCAACTGTATTCTTGATATCTTTGACGAGGCGATGCTTCGAAAGGACCTTGAAAACTGGTTGCGCGGAGACCCCGCTAGTCAGGACGAAGAGGCAATGAGCTGCATCTTCTTTCTTGCACTTGGCATTGGAGCACAACGCTGCCCTGAAGATCGAGATGCTGATTCTGAGAAATATTTCCATTACGGGCGGTTTCTGGCCGTCTCGTACTTGATGGAGAACCCGACATACAACACAGTGCGCAGCTATGTCCTCATCACCATCTACCTCCTCGGTGCATCGCGGCGAAACTCGGCTTTCATGCACTTGGGCGTCGCTGTCCGCGCCGCGTATACGCTGGGTATTCACCGGAAAGACAATCCCACGCTATTCTCGGCGCAAGAGCAAGATACTCGGGAGCGGTTATGGAGAGCCCTCCGTGTCCTCGACTTATTCTTGAGCGTCTCCCTGGGTCGTCCACTGGCCACTTCTGAGACCCGTGATACGGCGGGCACGGAAGATTACTCGGCTTCCCTGGATCTCTGCGCCATCCTTGAGTCCATTCTCAACGACGTCTACGCCAAGCGTATGGTATCGACCGATGCTCTAGAGCGAATCAGTGAGCAACATCGCCGCTGGGCTGCAAAATTCAGCGGTAGTCTTGCTGCTGATGGTGTAAACACGAACGACCCCATCGATGTAGAAGACGAAACATATCCCAACATGGGGCTTTACTACATGAAGGAAGCATACTACTGGAGCATAATGCTCCTTTCACGGCCGTTTCTCATCGACTTTGTTTCGAGAAACGTTGCGCGGTCTCAGTCACCATCAACGTGGAGTTATGACAACCCGTTCTGCTCATCGCCGTCGGATCAGCTTCTTGTGTATGCTTGCGTGGACTCGGCAATTCGCACAGTTGAACTTCTGGCCGATCTCATTCCAGATACGACTGTTGCTAAACGGCACCCCTTCCTGGTTAACTCCGTATTTGTATCAGCACTAGTCCTTGGGCTAGCAGTTTTCGGTGACTTAGACAGCACCTTTCCCTTGGATCATGGGTTGAATGACGCACAGGCGCTTCTACGCAAGTTCAGCAGACAAGACCCTGTTGCAAACAGAGAGCTCTCAATCGTGGAACATCTTCAGAGCGCTTGCGCGCTTCACAGGGAAAAAAGAGTCCGAAAAAAGATGGAGTTCCAAAGAATGCTCGTTGGCGAGTTGTTTGGCAGCCTCCGCGAAGGAGTCTTGTCAACAGAAACATCCAGGTTTGAGCCGAGCCTTTGCCCTCGAGTCAATGGAAATTCCAGGGACACAGCAATTACCCATTCAGAGGCGGTAGAGACAAGCAGCATGAGTCAAAGTGGCTCGTTATCGACTGGAAGTACGACTGAGTCGCACGTTACTGGCATTGAAGCTAGCCGAGGATCAACTGTAGTCCAGACACTTACGCCGTCGACGAATATCTTGATACCGATCTCACCCAGAACCCTACTCTTCGATTCGTATGGACAAGATATGCCATTCTTCCCCACCATGGATGCTAGCATGGCGCATCTAAGTTACGCGGATGATATGATGCTGTCCGACCCAAGCGCTTTGCTGGAACCTCCATGCTAGAAATAAGTAACTACGGTGATAGGTGCATAGCTTGAAAAATGAGCGAGTGATTAGGAAGATCTGTTACCTGAGGCACAAAATCTTCATGTGCCAGTTTTGCGTCTAGTTCTCAAGTGATTGAAATACTGATACATCTCTTACGTATCCCAGGCGAATAGTCCTCTTTTTCTTTAGCTAAGTTGGGCATTATACAATAAATTTCAAATCTAGACTTGAGAAATAAATAAGAATCCTATTTTATTGAATTTTTACAATTAGTAATCCAAGAGTAGAGATAGTGTTACGGTCCAACCAATGGATGCTAGCCGGCGTCACTATGTAATGCAGGACAGGGAATGATCATATCATTACCGAAGCTTTTGCTTTGTGGTGCAGTTGGTTGTCCTGACCTGCTCGTAACATATAGCTGAGTTCAATACTTAGTAATAGTAGTGTCAGCTTATTATTCTATCAGCGACTTAGTAATTAGGAACGTAGTCAAAAAATTCAAGGGTAGCTTATATACCTTCTTAGGAATAGATTATCAACTTAGATACCAAAAGGTATTCGAAGACTAGATTGTAAGTTAAATAATAAAGAGCTACAGAAGGTGCGGTACAGACTGTAAGGGGGTGTCACAATCCCATTATCAGCAACTAACCGAGCAGGTGATTTCAGAGAGAAACACGCCGTTCAGGTAAGGGGTTTACATACACCCAAACAGAAGCAGCAGCAACTATTGGCGGTATTCCCAAAACTCTTCCCAACCTCCCACCTCACAGCATGTCTCGGCGACCGATATCAAAACATGACAGCCAAGAGAAAAGAGGACAAAAAAGAAAGCGGCACCCACCGATCTAGCGACAGGCCTCGCTCCTTAAATTCCCTACACATAATTATATCTCCCCTTACCCAGTACCCGCGCGGCCTGCATAGCGCTCGTCCGGCCAATCAGCCCGGGGTCTCGCGCCCTTTGTCGATAGCTTTTCACGCCGCTGACCTCCTCCAGCCCTATAAGTGTTGACATTATTTTAGTTTTCAGGTTTCTTTTATGGTGCTGCTATATATCTTACACTATGTGTCACGGGCTGTAGCCCGAGTTGGAGCTCTGGCTAAGTTGGAGTCCTCCGTCTTCTAAGCCCGATTCACGGTTCTGCAGTACGTCACTGCTGACATGTTTATCTCTCTTCTACTATGAGGTTATGAACCTTATCGAGAAGAACATTGATACCCTGACGTAGGGCAATGTGGAAGGGGTCTTTGAAAATCGAGTTTGGTGGCCTCGGTGGCTTGGAGAGTTATACCAGTGATGCTGTGGACCAGACTAAGTCCAAGGGGTTCCAGATCGGTGGCTTCGCCGGTCTGCAACAATACTTCAATATGATCACCGAAGGCGACTATATCTTCCCCAAGCTAAAGCAGCTGGTAGAAGTTGCCGTCAAGTACACAGACGAGGGCGAGAAGCTGTTTAAGGTTGCTCTAATAAGCCAGCAATCGACACATGCCTATGTACAATAAGCAGCCACTCTTCTTGGCGATACACATATCACTGGTGGCAACAGAGACATCATACCTCTCGCAGCGCGATCCAGTTTAGTTATTGTGTCACGATATGGGCCTGTGCCCATAGAAACCTTGCATTCAGATGTGAAATTGCAAGGCACATCGGCCAAGTTATCTTCGAATTCTTAGAGGGGTCATCTAGTGACAGTGGGTTGGGTCTGAGTGACACCCTCTGGTTTCTTCTCTCGCAACTACCAACTCCCGACTTGCAGAAGGCAAGGGACCTCTCAGAGGTATACCTATGTCTGTGAGTGACCTTATGATATTCTCTCCTCGATTTTCGAACTGAGAACACTAGTTTGCCGGTAAGTGCCCTCGTCTTCTGGCTGTGCACTCTTCTCCGTCCCGTCTCTGCCACCTCTCATAGCGACTCTGCCTTTGACCCCCTCTGATTATTCCTTCTCTCCCTCCTCGACTAACACAAGAATTTGGGGATAGGTGTGGGTCAGTAGCCTGTACTAATAATGCGCGTTAAGGAAAACAAATAGAAGGAGAAGTTGTGTTGAACATGGATGGCAGATTTTATAGAAGTGTTATCTAGAAGATCGAAACGCCAGAACAGATGTTATCAACAGTTGGCTTCTATACTGCTATAAACAGGGTCAATTCTTCAACCTTTTACTGATAATAGACGGATTCTTCCATCGGACCTATTCTGATTCTGGCGGATAGCTTCATCCATTGGTAGCGTTGTTATATTTTATACACTCATAAGGTGATGTAATTCGGGGCATTAACTATTGATGGGCTCAGAGAAACAGTAGTCAAGCGAATAACTAACTATATTGGATATTGGGTTCCCCTCACCTTACTAGCACCCCGCAGTCGGTACATGGTTAAATGGCCCGATACTGTTTCGGCAAAATAGGCTGCCCGTGTGTTCCCCAATCCCGAAGTGTTCCACCCGCTACCCGAAAGGCTGCGCTGTGCTCCGGGAGGTGTCCAGACTCATTTATTTTATCCGATGATCATCAATATCATGATTCGATGACGTAATTACACATCGAAAAAAAGGCTTTGCACAAATAGACCTCGGGCTGAGCAGGATAGTAGAAAGTAGTCTGAAGTGACCACTTACTTTGGTATAATCTTCAAACTTTCCAATCACCACGTTTTCTCTCCTCTCCAAAACTCTCAAGATGACGCCGCCACCAGAATTCTGTCAGAGCCCGGACAAGCCTTTTAACGTAGCAGTGGTCGGAGGCGGCATCGCCGGCCTGACGCTCACCCTTCAGCTACTCCAGAATCGGATACCGACGACGCTGTATGAGCAAGCACCAAAGTTTGGCGAGATCGGCGCGGGCGTATCGTTCGGTCCAAACGGCCTTAGGGCCATGTCTTTAATCTCACCGCACGTACGGCAAGCCTGCGAGAACCAAGCGACGAATAACGAATCAAAGGACCACCAGAACGTATGGTTTGATTTCAGATACGGCGAGACCTGTGAAGGCAAGCACCGCGAGGGTGAGTTCATTTACCGTCTGATCTGCGAGACTGGCCAGACCGGTATTCACCGAGCACACTTTCTGGATGAACTGGTCAAGCTACTGCCTGATGGGGTTGCGAAATTCAGCAAATGTGCAGTCGGTTACGAAGATGATGGCACGCGGGTGTTGCTCAAGTTCCAAGACGGCACTACCGCTACACATGACGCAGTGATTGCATGTGATGGCATTAAGTCAAAGTTGAGACGCGTGATGCTTGGCGATGACCATCCTGCCTCGAGGCCCGTCTTCTCCGGAAAGTACGCATACCGGGGTCTCATCCCTATGGAGAAAGCGGAGGAGCTCTTGGGCGCAGAACTTGCCAAGAACAGCCAGATGTACTTCGGAAGACACGGTCACATCCTAACGTTCTCTGTTGCGAAGGGCAAGATGATGAACGGTAAGTGAGATGAGGGCTCCTATTCTGATCGACATCAGATACTGATGAAGCATCAGTGGTTGCTTTCCGCAGTGCGGAAGAGTGGAAGTCAGATAAATGGGTCATGGGAGTAAAAAAGGAGGATATGGTCAATGACTTCAAAGGCTGGGGTGACAAATCCCAAAAGATTATCCAGATGCTACAGAAACCTGTCGTGTGGGCGCTGTTCGACCACCCGCCGAGCCCGACCTACTACCAAGGACGAGTATGCCTACTGGGCGATGCCGCCCATGCCTCGACACCGCACAAGGGCTCCGGTGCAGGAATGGCAATTGAAGACGCCTACATTCTCGGCAATTTGCTGGCGATAATCAACGGCCCCGAGGAAATCGAAATGGCCTTTGCAACGTACAACAAGACGAGAAAGGAGAGGTCCCAGAAGCTGGTGGCGGACAGCCGGACACAGGGGAAGCTATATGAGTTGGAGCTGAAGGACGACCCAGAGTGGATCGCCGACAGCCTATCAACTCGTATGGACTGGGTCTGGAAATATGACTTGACTCAAGAGCTGGACCAAGGTCGGCGAGAGATTGAGAAGTACCAGAGCGATTCGACGACGAGAGCACAATTGTAACATCACGGGAGCAACAAGCAAGGCGTGGTTCGATTCCGCAGCTACTTGTCCATGACCAGCGCTGGTTTTGCGGGTAGTGCTACTGAAAATATGTCGTCGTTCGCCGAGAGATACTAGCCACTGTCAAAGAATGCCGAGGGGAACCATAATCATCTTCGAAAATGACTCTACCGCAGGAACTGTAACTATGAAGTGAAATGATACGCAAAGCATGGGCAGACTGTCGATCGACTTTCCTAACGTGATAATCTTCGTCGGTTCCGTCTGATTAATCCCTCGCCTCTTCAGATCATAGTCATGAATCCATCCAGCCCAGGGGCACACCAGCGATCCACATCGCGATGAGAATGTCTGTCGCCCTGGTGGTCTAGCGGTATGATTCTTCCTTAGGGTTATTGCAAGATACACCCACTTGGAAGAGGTCCCAGGTTCGATCCCTGGCCAGGGCCCAACCCTTTTGATTCCATCTCCGGAGGTGGAGCCCTGCCTTTTTTGCGACCTGTGTGAGCACGTGGGGGAACAATGTTTAGCTTATCACAGCTGTGGTCCTGCATATAACAATTTGTGTACGCTTGAGACTAGTTGTTAATTTTTAAGTGACTAAAGATGCACAGAAGATTGACGAAAATCACAAAAAGCGGTGATGGATAGGTGTTAGGGTTCAAATCCCGTCAAGGCCAGGGACAGGTCGCAAATACTCCACCAAGGCAGACAGCAACCACCTAGACTTTGGCGAGATGTACCCAATTAGAAGGTTGATAAGAGTTGTGGCAGTCTCAGCCCTAGGGGAGTTTAGAGTGTGTACCTTTGGGCTACCTGTGATCTGGGGGGTGGGTCACGATGTGATATAAGGCGTTAGTTGTGTTGCTGCGACTAACGGCGTCGTTTTTAGCGCAACATATGCCAAACCAGAGTACTGCATGTCACTTACAAAGGAGACGAGTTTGAGGAATGTTTGTTTAGAATTACGCATTGAATCATCAGATCTATGGGGTATCATGTCTATATCCATGCTATATGGCAACCTGCGGCCCATCCCTGGAGCAGCACGCTCAAGTGAGGCCACCCACAACAGTTATAGGACCCCAAGGAAACTTAACAGCCATCATATAGCCCGCTTGTCTTCATGTGTGAGTGAACAACGGGTTGTTGCCCTGGGTTGCTCCTATCAGCCAAGTAACACAACTTGAACCGACCCGATAATACGAATTAGACGTCATGTACGTTTTCTCCAGTCCCAACCACTGGCCATGCCTCTAGAAAAGGCTATCATGGCACTTCCCAGTGCAAGACAGACACCAGACCAGATCCAGGCACTAGAATACCCGATTGAGCGGACCAAGGCACCTCCAACCGGCGATCCGAACAACAAGGCGATAGACATGACGGAGTAAGCCATGCCGAGCCGAGTGCCAATGCAGTTGCGGTCCTCGGTGAGCTTGGTGAAAGTGGCTGGTTGGAGAGCGAAAAAGCTCCCGCTGCTGAAGCCGTAAAAGACGAGCGTCACAACCAAACCAGCGGTATGCTCGACTGTCACGAGACAGAGCGCCGAAACCGACATGATGAGCACCGCGGCGATGAGCAAGTTCATCCCTCCGAGCCGCTGGGCAAACAAGTTGGGAATTATGCGGCCTATGATGGAACCCCCATTCATCATAGCCAGCAGGTACTTGTCCACCTGAGAGCTCGCGACACCCCGCTGTAGCGCAAAGTCTTGGACGTAGACAAACGGAGTGTACATGCCCAGGAATACCAGGCAGCAAGCGGCAACGAAGAGGAGGTACGAAATATCGCTGAAGGCAGAGCGGTCAATCCAGGGCCGCCTCTGGTGCGAAGCTTTGGGTGTGTGCATGCTGACGATGGACACGCCCTGGATGGCCAACGTGATTAGTGCTATGGTACGGACTGTCCAAGAAAAGCCGATTTCGGGCTGAAGGGATCGAAACACGATAGGTATTACCAGACTGTAGAGAAAGGGAGTGAGTCAGTATCGGCTGCCATAGGTGGAGGCTTTCTCTCGAGCAAATCCCCGATGCCGGTAAGACTTACCCACCAACGCCGCTTCCCGCCGCGGCGAGACCAAAAGCCACGGGTAGTCTCGTAGAAAACCACGGCGATAATACCGCAACCCCCAACACAGCTAGACTGCCCATTCCGGTTCCGACGCAGAGCCCCTGCGACAGAAGCAAGTGCCAAAGGGTACTGCTGAAGCTCTGAGCAATGGTCCCGACGACGATCAGTAAGGATCCGGCCCAGAGCAGCTGACGCGCATAGCCCAGGTCAAAGATGGGGCCTGCGAAGAAACCCAGGAACACCATCAGGAAACTCTGCAACGAGCCGATTGTGGAAATGGCGAACGGGCTGTACTCCTTGAGCAGGTCGGCTTCATAGTGAACTTGGAAAATGCCGAAACTGGCGACGATGCCTGGAAATCGCGTGTTAATGCCGAAACAAAGTAGTTATCAAGTGTGCCCGGAGTTGCAGTGCGTGCACAACCAGTGAAAGTCAAACGCAAAACAACACCAATAAGGTTGATGTTGCACTAGAACATGAGCCTTGGTATGACAGAAGTATAACTCACCCCAAGTATTAAAGTAAATACAAAAGGACGCCAGAACCTGAAGCCAAGCCTGTAAGCCACCGTTCGGGGGCGACGTCGGCTTCTCAGAGGCTGCGTCCGTCCGTCCGAGATCGTCGGTGCCGCTTTCCTCATCGGTCCCCGGCGAGAGACTTGGGGTCTCCCGGTTGGATTCTCGCCCGCCGTCGTCGTTGTGCCCAGAGGACTTTTCCATTTCCGTCAAGAACGGCATGGCTCAGCGCAGCGTAAGAATGTCAGAAGGAAGAGTTACATGGATGACGACTTTTCCCTTCTTCAATTGCCCAGCGTTCCTGGTTTGGTCATGCAAGTTGTGGGATGCTATGTGTCGACCCTTGTCTCAAAATGTCTTTCTCAGGATGATTCGTGGGCTTTGACGCGCGATCCTCTTGATTCAACAAACAAACAACCAGAAAACCCAAAAAAGATGAAAGGTGTGAATGTTGATCACCTAGTGACGGGCGCAGCACAGGATAATTGGAAGTGAGATATGACCGCTTTCTCTTTTTGGTTTATGTTTTCTCTTCCCTGGAGCTGAACAAAATCTTAAAAATAAAAAAACGTTAGCACACTGGTTTGTTTAATACCAACGAGGCGGACTCCGCCACAGGCTTTGAGGAAAAAGAATGCGCCAGGGCCTCCTCGCCGGACGCTCGGGTTATTGAGGTGGTCGCCGTTGCGGCTGTCGCAGGCCATGTTACAAAGTACGGATGGCCCTTAAAACATGGGTTCGTTGCGGTGCAACAAGTAAAACACACTGGCGTGGCCTATCAAATTATCTCAACTGACGTACCAGTCATGGCAATCGACTCAGTTGGTCGAATAGAAAAGCTGCCGCTATTGTTTGGCCTGGGCTTTTAAATGTCTCATAAACTGGACGGGTTTGTGATATGCGCTCGTTGGGGTAAGAAACTGGCGTGAAGTCACCAATGAGGTTAGAGAGGATCAACTGGTGTTTAGACAGTACGTGGTGTATAAAAAGAACAGAAGTCCCGCGAACAAATCGGACTAGGAGAGGCATCCATCACATGTTCTTCACACATGGCGTTTTGGGCGGGATGCTCTTGGGTACAAGTGGTCGCCGCGCGCAGGGCCACGACCGTGGGGGCTCGTCTGACGCATCTCGGACCTCGTCTGGAATCTGGGGATGCTGCAGGTCTTTGAGTATATAAGGCTCGTCGAAACCTCGGAGTAGTGGGTTCGGCGACTGGTATGTCAGAAACCATTGCGGTTAGACTATATGGGGCGGTGGACGAGGGACTGCCCATTTCGAACGGCTCGGCCACAGTCCGTTGCATGGCGGCGGGGATTCTTTGTCTTCTGGCTCCGTCCTTTTGTTACCGGTATCTAACGCCAAGGTTTGCGTGGAGGCTTGGAGGCTTGGAGGCTTTGGCCTGATAACGAGTTGGCTCGATAAGGATACCCAAATTCCACCCTGGACTCTTGGTATGGAGATCGAAAACTGGAGACCTGCGATAATTTTCGGTTCGGATTCTTGACTAGAAACAAAGTGAGTGGCACGTCATAACTTTCCGCAGATTGTCGCCTCGTTGCCGCGGCCGGGCAGGCCAAAAGTTTAGGAAAATCTTTCCTATGAAAGAGGAAAGTTTATTGACATAACCTTTGGTCAAATCCCGTCGCCCAATGACGTGTCATGCTACGGGTTTCATCCCATTATTCCATCCTGTTGGGCGACCTCTTGGCGGACGGGCCTTGGAGGAATTTTCGGAGAGCCGCGCGGACTTAATAAGGCCAGGGAACGGTCTTGCAAGAGCCGAAGGGGACAGTAATTACGGGGAAGCAACAAGTGCAGGCCGGTTGAAATGTTAAATAAAGTTGCAGGATTCCTGGTTGGCCGTGCCATCGTAAGGTGAGATTGACACTTGGATTGCTCCGCTGCCGTGTTCATTGCCTCTGGAAACCAGTCGGATGGGGGTGAGTGCTGATCATGTTTGTTTATAGCAGAAGGCCATTGCAAGATAATTACATGCATCATAGCATCATTGTAACGGGAAGCAGGGGGATATATCAAGGCGGGCGTTACAATTGGCTATTGGCAAATATAGACAGGCCAGCCATCCTCGGCGCGGGATATCCGTCATTTCTTCTGAAGTTGGGACACTTGACTTGAAAATTATCTTCATTCGCTCCCACAGTCCCGTGCTATTCCTCTTATTTCGGCCCAACGTTGCAATGCCGAGACTGACACACCATCCCTTTACGACCGAGTCAAGTGAGCCAGGTAGTCCCGCCTCTCCTCGCCTTGGCTAACGTAACTAATATCATGTCTAGTCTGATGACGACGGTGAAGCCGTCCTCGCTGGCTGCCCAGTCGGCTGTGAAGTATGACTCTGTCCCTGAAGACTTGTCAACCCCCGCCCCTCGAGTCGCCGTCGCCTCGCGTGGGGTGACTTAGAAGAGCCTGGCCAGATCCTGGAGATCACTCGGCAAGGCGGGGGAGGAGCTATAGAGATTAGGCGACATGTTTTTCCGAATTTATGGAGCATGGGGACGTGGAGAAAGGAGGGTTTTCGCATGGACACGGAAGCGACAGTTCATCTCGTTTCCATCACCTCCCACTCCTCTCTCCTCATGACCCCTACCTGTTCTAGCTTTGCGAGCGCAAATATCCTAGCGGTTCCAAGAAGTTAGAATTGCGGGTAGTCGGCCAGCCCAGTGGGAAGAAAGGGAGGGGACGCTGGGGAGCAGAGTACAAGCCCTCATGACAACGTAGAGTTAAGCTTACCTGTGATGTATCCGGCGTTCTTCTCGATGGTAAAGACGGACTCCTTTGCCGATTTCATCATGTCCCTTACCAGTGCCGTAGCGACGTCAATCACGGCATGGGCAACAGTACGCTGCTCAATATCGTAGCTCCTAATCAGTTCATCAGCCGCACCTAGGCAGAGCTTGTCTCTCATGAGCGTGTCAGGAAGAACGAGTCGGCGATGCGGGTTTTGAGGGTCTGCTGCCGTTGATCGAGCAAACATAGACTGCGTCGCCCCCCAAGGCGATGCGGACTCGGCCGTTTGTGGAAACCAATGTTCCTCCAATGCGCTCCCTCACCGTGTATAAAGTCGGCAAACTTTAGATTAGACACGCACGCGTGCCGGTTTCTTCGCAACGTGCTGTTAATTTCTGGGCTCGTGCTGAACTACTCTATCATCTTAGTCAAGTTCACCTGGTTGCCTGCGTGATTTCTTCTTCGAGAAGCACGTAGAACGGAGCCATGTCTCGTCGCGAGGGATTCTCGAGATCTAGCTCTGGCCGTTGAGCCGGAGCGTAATAATTTCTGAGCATATGAGGAAGCAAGTCTGGCACACGAATCACTTGCTACTTGGTCAGATTCATGCTCGTTGGGCGGCTTACTTGACATCAAATAGTCTTCCTTCGGAGACCAGAACCCGGAGCCATTCACAAGCACGCCGAAGGGTGGAAGCCCCGGCCTTCCGCTCGTCATTCCTCATCCAGCGACAGGCAAGTCCTGTCTCCGCTACCACAAGCCCTTCGCCGCAGCCCGAAGCCACCTTCGATGCGACTTATGTCGACATCAAGGGCGTCAGTGGGGGCAAGAGCCCATCGACTCGCTGCTCCACTCTACCTTGCCTGGAGTAGGGTGACCTCCTCGTCGGCGACAACATCCTGGCGATGCACACTTGCGCCGGGCTAGTCTTCTGCTGGCCGCGGAATTACTGAGGCCTATTGTCAATGTATGTGGATATTTGTAAAAAACTGCATCTCAGGTGTTAATACAGGATTCACACTTGGCTTGGATTACTTTAATCCGGGTACGCTTGGATCTCCAAGCAAATTGACTTTGCTGGTTAAGTCAAAGTACCCACTTACTGACCACCCCCCTATTCTGACCACATGAATCATGATGCTATTACAATAACTACTACTTTATTAATTAACTATTAACTACCTCTTAAAGCTATAATAATATAACTTTTGGCCTTACTAGATAATTCTAATACGCTAGATTTATCTAGCTTACTTTTAGTATTACTAGCCTTAACCTAGGCTTACTATACCTCTTTAATAGTTATAAACTTTATATTTAGATCTAGGGTAATAGCCTTCTTTTTCTTAGTAGTACTATTATTAACTTTAGCCTAGAGAAGCTATATTTAGTGCTTAGTAGTAGCTAACTTAAAGGCTTACTCTTTAAAGCCTTTTTTAACCTTTTTAAAGAGCTAGTATTATATAGTAATATTTTATTCTAGTTAGCTAAATAGATATAGTTAATCTCTAAGGTCTTTAACTTTCTTTAGCGTAAACTACTTAACTATAGATAAAGTAAATGCCTATTCCTTTATACCCTAGGCCCTATAGGCCTCTTTTACCCTTTAGTTAAGTAGTATTAATAGTACTATTAATAATAATATTACCTTTTAGACTAGATACCTACTTATTAAGGGTTTTACTAAAGTAATAGGCTATAACCTAGTGTATTTTTAACTACTTTTAATATTACCTATAGTTAACTTAGCCTAGTAAGCCTTATAGTAATAGCTAATAAAGTTTTTTTTACTAATAATAGTTAAATTATTTTACTAACTTAGATATTTAAGCTTCTTATAATAAGCTACTTTTATAGGCCTAAAGACTACCTAGTTAAGTAGCTAAAGGATATAAGAAGTATATAGTAGTAAAAATAATAGATAAATATTATAAATATAATATAACTATATAAAGTCTATTATTATATAGCTTTTATACTTATCTAGGATTAGTAGTTTAGCCTAATTAGGGTTAAAAGGCTTAGTCTAAAAAATAAAGACCTTTTATAGCTATTTAATAGTAGTATTATTAGTAGTTTATTTATTCTTTATTACTATAAACTACTATTTATTATATAGGTTTAGATCTAAAGAAAACTACTACTACTAGACTATTTTACTCTTATATATAACTAATAAATAAATAGTATTACTATTAGTAAATATATACTTAATAATAAATACCTAGGCTTTTAATCTAGGCTACTTTTTTCTTATAGATATTATCTTTACTTTACCTAGTACTAGCCTATTATCTTCTTTACCTTTAAGGATACTAGTCTTATTTATATTATATCTATTAGCTAGTTTAATAGTAGTAATATAAAGGATAATAAAATATTTAAACTATTCTCTAATAACCTTAGTAAATACCTTATTAATATATTAAGAATTAATAAAGTAACTTCTCTAGACCTTAATAGATAAATTTCTCTTAATAAAGGTATTTACCTACTTCTTCTTAATTAGTTTATTATTACCTATAGCCTTAAGGATACACTAAGCAAATTCCTTTAGTTATTAATAGGTTAAAAGATAACTAAGATTAACCTAGGTTTACACTTAACTAGCTAGCTTAGCCTTCTAACTAATAAAGAGTTATTAATAGTTAAAAAAGGTAGACTACCTAGTCTAGGTAGTACTAGATAAATAGTTCTATAACGTAGTCTTAGGGATACTATAGATATAAGATACCTAGTGCTAACTAACGCTAGCTACAATAGTATTTAGTGCCTACTAGACCTAGTCTTTAGTATATTTAACTATAGGGGTATAAAGAAGTTATATATAAAAAATAAAGTGATTTAGATAAAGGTAGTAAAAGTAGTGATAGTTTAAAGTAGGAGGGTTGTAGTAGATAGAGGGGGTGGATGAGGCATTTTTGGGTGGTTGGAATGAGGGGGTGGTCAGTAAGTGGGTACTTTGACTTACTACATCTGATCTGCATTCAGTCTCGGACTTTATAGTCAGGTTGGGAGACATACTGCAGGGTGAGTAACGCTAGACACAGTGAACCCTAAGCAATGGTTAATTCACAAACAACTCGGAATCTCAATCAACACATTGGTATGCTTAGCATATAATAGCATCACTCTTAAACACAAGTGTAACTAGTGATGATGTTTTAGAGGACCATATGCCCAGATTTCTGTGTCAACATCCAAAACGCACAGCCGACATTGACTCTGCTTGGCTACAAGAGGCCAGTTATCTACCAGAACAAGACCATCCTAACAATGATCGCCGCTTGTCATAACGACACGCCAGCAGACGGAGTAGCCCAACTGGAAGCACCCGCATACAAAGACAGGGTGTTGTTATCTGCGCCATGTAGGTTGGTGCGGATGCTGTTGAAACACTTTGGAACCCCCAGCTAGCCTCGAGGTTCTTCTTCGCGGTGGATGATCTAGTTGGCCAGCACGTTGCCTAACAAAGCGGATTCCGCGGGTGGCCTATGTCGCGAATGAGGGCGAGGGGGTCGGCGCGGGCGATGTTGCAGCACTTGGTGAGAACGTCAACGTTGCCCGTGCTGATGGGAATGGCGCACTACACACCCTTCCATCCATTACCACTGCTCCTTACCTCAGGAATACTGCGGCTTGCGAGGCGGAAAGTGTAGTTCACCAGCATGTAGTGGTGAATCTGAGAAATAGCTTGTGTAGTCACTGAGTACCTCCAGTCCACCAGTCCACAGTTCTCAGTGGCTGATATATGTCTGATGGATCGAACAACCCCAAACCAGGATTGCTGCCGTGCCTTTAAGTATGACGTTGCGGCAAAGCAGTCGCTGCCTGCCTTTTAATCGCCTGTCATGTTTCCATAAAAACATCCGGCTCGAGGGGCTAACACATTACGGCTAAAGCGGTAAAACAAAATGTTCTTTTTTTCTTTGCTTGGCAACTGCGCCCAACAACCAAAAGATCTCAAAACAGCTAGGTGACTTTAGGGTTCATAAATTAAGTGACTGTTGGACGGCGGAAAACTCCCTGAGGTTGGACCTGTACCGCAGCACCGCCCCGCGGCAGACCGTGATGTCTCGCCAACAAGGAGCACTGATTGGACCAGGAATTCTATTTTTAACTGAAAGCTTATTTGAAGGGCATAGACAGCTTGTATCACTTATCTCAACTTAAAGGAGTCACTTTGGCAGGCCAAACTGCTGAGTTGTGGTTGGGGGGCACAGTTTGAACCGAGCCAACGCCGAATTTTATAGCCCATCCTGCCGTTAAGGTGACAAAGTGCTTGATCAGCCCCGATAACAGGCAGGAGATGATTATTGGACAATCATTTGATGTTGAGCGCCATTTTTTTGGGTTGATTTGGTGTGATGGTGTGCGGCAAAATCTGTTTGTTGAATTGCTGCTAGTATAAGAGTCTGTAGTCTTGTAGACAGCGGAACAGGTCTATGCAATAACTGATCAATATTCTATGACAGTGCCTGACCGATCTCAGTTCTATGTATGTCTGTTCAAAATGTTTTCAGCTCAACAACCTTGAAGATAATGTCAGATTCCACTATAAGAGCGTAGGTAACTAGAAAGACTCCGAGAAGACTTATTATCCTATAGGGTTGTCAGTAGGAATGATGAAAGACATCGCGGCGCAGTAATAATTAGCTTAAGGTGAACATTCATAGTTAAGCAAAGGCACTATGATTGACTGCTGTGATGTAGTGAAACGTTCGATGGGGCCAATCATACAAAAGGTATACAAGCGCTGGAAAACGCAGGGGTTTTCGTCTTTTTTATCATTTTCCCTAGCGCAATACGCATTCCCGAACATTCTATATCAGCGACATACGATATGCCCCGCCGGAATTAACGAAATACCGTGGGGCATAGGCGCCAATATTGTTGCCTGGGAGAAGAACCGAGAAGAAAATGGCTGTTGACTGGCCCTTCTGCGGTTGGCACCATTCAACACACTTGATGTTATGCTTCTACATCTCTCATTCACGTTTTCGAAATACTGTTATCCGCCGCAAGATGTCCGAGGCACCCGAAGTCATTGTCGAGTACGCCTACGACCACATTTCAGAATGGTACCTGCAGTGGGTCAGAAGCCAGAAATCGCCGCGGGAAAGATACACCAAGAGGCTTCTTGCGGAGCTGCAGCCCTCACCTGCTATTTTAGAGCTCGGTTGTGGCCCTGGGGTTCCCATCATGAAGATGCTTCTCGATCACGGCGCACGAGTAGTCGCAAATGACATCTCAACTAAGCAAATCGAACTGGCAAAGGCCCGCTTCCCAAATGCAACTCTAGTTGCAGGCGACATGACAGCACTCACTTTCGAGCCTGGGAGCTTCGATGGAGTAGTCAGTTTCTACACCCTTTTCCACCTTCCACGGTCGAAGCTCCGGGCTATGCTCAAAAAAATACACTGCTCGCTGAAGCCTGGAGGAGTATTTGTTTGCAATCTTGCAACAATCAACGAGGAAGAAATCCATGGCGAGTTCTTAGGATATGGGATGTTCTGGAGCAGTTATGACGTGGACGAGAATCAAGCACTGCTTAGAGAAGTCGGATTTGATTTATTACAGGTGGAAATATTGCAAGCGGGAGATGGGAAGCTTGAGGAGGATGATCCAGATTTTGACGCCGAGTTTATGTGGGTGGTAGCACGAAAGAAAGATTCTCCTACCGAGTAAATGCTGTAACGGGCAGGTGAAGGCGGTCGGTAGCCCATATATAATTGGCTTTAAACATGAGTTGACTGGCTTTCGTAACTGTAAGCATGTTACCTTCAGCCGTGGTGTCGCCCAAGTCCGTAAGTAATTGGTGCCAAGGATCCTGTGCCAAAGAAAAGTCCACTGGCGAGACCTTTGGCTTCATCAGCTCTTTGATTTAGGGTTGCACCGCTTTTAAAACACTACAGGACGGCCAAGCAGCCATTTGTTACGCCCGTCGTTTCTATGAAGGCCGGCTACAAGTCTCAATGGCCGGAACTAGACAATACTCTTGGTAATCCGCCTGCCTCTAGATATAGAAATTAAACGGCATTCTGTTGGCTTCAGTTACGAAAATAACATCTGATATTTGAGCCCAAGGCATGGTTTGCTCTTTTCGATCACCGGAATCGAGATGATGGCTGCCAGGTCTGGAGGTGGAGGAGCTTTTGGCGTTGGAGAAAACAGTAACTGACGAGCCTAGCTTCCTGGCTTGCTCTTTCCCGTAAATTAGTCTGGATACGTTACTCCCCATTGCTACAGAGACTCATTATGGTGCGAAGTTCTGTCTATTTAAATGTAAAAAGACTCCCTCTACAGTCTGACTAGCCTCGATGAATCCAGAAAAAAAAAATATTAGTTACTTCCGGCACCTTCTGCGAGTGTGAGTGTGCAGGCTTTGATTGTCTGATGCCTATAGTCAACACAAGAGACAGCATGCCATGGAAACAACTAGTTTTACTTTGTTCGCTTGATAGAATTCATTGATACTCGAACACTGTTTCTGTTACAATGTTACTAATTCTTTTTCTTACGAGCCTTCTTTCATTGTAATGAGTGTGGCCAATGGTAGGATTGCTGCTTTCCTTCTCAGTCCGACTTCAACTTTTCACGAAACTGCATAGCATATGGTTCAGCCTTTTTTCTCATCTCAGTTTCCAAGTCGTCTTATTCGCCCATCCAAAACAAACGCGCCACAAGACCCGAGGCAACCACAACATTCACCTTTGCTCCTTCCCTGGCTGTTTCCACAGCTCTGGTTGTCTGCAGACTTCTAAAGAGATCTTTGAAATTTCTCTCATACATTCTGCCAGAAACCTCCTCCTTCCATCCAACGCAACGAGAGCCATATTTACTAAACCACTCTCCCCTCTACGCCCTTTCCTCAATCACCCACATCAGTTGCCGCACACTCTCATCCTTTTTCACTCATCACCAAACCATCACCACTCATCATCAAGACTCACCCATCATCCTACCGTCCCTACTTATCACAAAACTTACTCATCATGTCTTCCGACGGAACTTCCTCTGAGGCTGCACCCAAGCCTTCTCTCACTGACCGTGAGTTTGAAATCCTCAAGCTCGCCTGGTCCTGCATGAAAGCCCCTCCCGAGGTAGGATTACTGTTCACCATCGATCATCAACCTTAATATCCATGCAAAACTGACATCTTTCTCTTCTTCCACATCATAGATCGACTACACCGCTCTGGCCAGCGCCTGTGGCATGACCAATCCTCGCTCCGCCAGCAACGCCTGGAGCGCCATCAAGAAGAAGCTCTTCAGCAACATGCCCGCCCCCGTCGATGAGGATGGCAACCCCATCATGACCCCCTCCAAGCGCAAGCGCGCCTCCCCGGTCAAGAAGAAGGCCGCCCCAGCCCCTACCGCCGAGGAGGGTGATGAGCTCGCCGGCTCGGATGGCGAGGAGAAACTCGTTGTCGAGACTCCCAAGAAGAAGCGTGCCACGCCCGCCAAGAAGAAGCCCGCTGCTGCCGCCACCGCCGCCGATGGCGAGGGCGCCGACGAGGAGGAGGAGGCCCCTGAGACCCCTGCCAAGAAGAAGCGCGCCCCCGCCAAGCGCAAGACTCCTGCCAAGGGAAAGAAGGCCACCGCTGCCTCCGACAACGAGGACGAGGTCGAAGCTGCCGCTGAGGATGCTGGCGATGAAGCTCCTGCTACCGACGTCGCCAAGCTCGAGGTCAAGGATGAAGACAAAGGCGATGTCGAGATGGAGAAGGGCGAGGACCCGAATGAGATCTAAGCATCTTGCCTTCCTTTCCCAATTCGATGGTCACCATGGTTTGTCACTTCTCGCTTTCAGGATTCCATGGCACCGTTGGTTTGCCAGACAATTGCTATAGTTTGGCTTCGTCTATCTTGGGTTGATGATCAGATTGATACACGGAGGTTTTCACATTGAAGGAAATGGCTTTGGGTCATAGTCATTATGCACGGCTCTCCCAATGAGCTCACAGGGTTACAGAAAGTTTGGTAGACCTGAGATTAGAGGCATGAAATGAAATCAAGCTCTACAAGTTTGTATTTCTTGGCTGCTATTACCTGGTAGCTTGTGACATGTTTTGCAATGCCGAGCTTCCAGCTTTCTTGTCACGATGTCTCCATGCGGGAAAACATTTAGTTTCTATCGATTACGACTGTCGCGGAGCAGGCTGAACATGATGGGTCCAAAGGAATCCAGTTGGGTGCTATAAAACACATTAGAAATTATTGAATCGGATAATACTGGGAACGGAATGCGGGGGTATGAACATGGGTGAAGCTTGCCCTTGATTGAAGGGATACCAAAGGGGGACTCTCTCCCTTGGTTGACCCATCGTCCAGCGGCCGCACATCAGGAGTCAGACAAGACCAGCACCTTTCAACTACACCTCAATCAAACTTCAGGAACAGTTAACAAAAGCAATGTTTCATTTCATGGCCTTCTTAATCGCCATTGCCGCCTTCGCCGGTGCGGCCGCCGCCGTGTTGTGCACTCCAGCCGAGACCTACTGCGGCTCCCGCCTCATCAGAGCCGGTGCGATTCGCAGCGCCCCTCCTCCCTTCCTCGTCCCAAGTTATCGAAGCTGACGTGGCGAGGAAAACCAGACAAGACAAACCGCGCGGCTGTAGACGACGCCTTGATCTCTGGCGGACAGCCCATTGACGAAGCCCACATCAGCCAGTCCGTCTTCTGGTGCGCCCCGGCCGGTGTGCCGGTGCCTTCCAAATCCGGGCTGCTGCTCGTGACGTACTGTGGCCCCGTCAACACCTGCGTTGAAGGCGGTGCGCTGGGCGGCGTCGGCGACGCGTGCGTGCTTTCGACCGGTGGGGGACGGGGCCATTGAGTTGGTTCCAAGCGGTGGATGTGGTGCCCGACGAGAGTCACCGAGAACAAATACGACATGGTGCTGGTAAAAACGGGCGGCAATGTGAAAAGGAATGGACATGGTTTCTGCAGCTTAAAGTTTTGTCTATTCAACCTGTGTACAACAAAAAAAGTATCCAGATCGCGTGGTACATGCCGTCTGACTCTTATCTATAACTCCCTCACTGGTATGCGATGATGCACGTCTATTCCTGAATGTATTTTTTCAGCCCGCGGAGGCGCTCCTTGGCCGTCTCAAGCACCTCGTCCTCCTTGCAAACAGCGAAACGGATGTAGTCCTGGGCGATGTGGGCGTTGGGATCGGTGTAGAACTCGGTGGGTGGGATGGCGGCGACGCCGACCTCCTGGATAAGGAACCAAGCGAGCTTGAAGTCGCGAGGGCGACTGGCGACATGGGCCGGGAAGGGGTAGTCGTCGGGCAGCTTGACCTTGGCCATGTTGACGAGAACGAAGTAACCACCTTCGGGCTCCGAGTACGGCATACCGAGCTCCTTCCATACCTCGTTGAAGCGGTCCATTTTGCCCTTCATGTCCTTGATGGTCTCGTCCCAGAAGCCCTGCTTCTCAGCTTCCTCAAAACCTTACATGTGTTAATACTTTTCGTGCCGTAGTCATTGCACAGAGACCGTGATACATACCAACAGCGCATGCCTCTTGTAGAGGTGACACGGAAGAGTAGCAGATACGGGTGTGAGCAGCGGAGACGTGCTGAATGAGCTCGGCGGGGCCCATGAGCCAACCGACACGCCAGCCTGTGGCGTAGAAGTTTTTGCCTGCAGAACCGACGGTGATAGTAAGACGCTCAACCTCTGGAGACAGCGTGGCTATTCTCGTGAAGGGGACGTAGTACAAGCGGTCGTAGACCTCGTCGGAAAGGATGATGATCTCGTGTTTGACGCAGAGGTCACCGATCTTTTGGAGCTCCTCCCTGGAGAAGACCTTGCCCACAGGGTTATCTACATTCATGAGTCAGTATACTGCAAGGAACACAAGGGAAGAAGTTGGCGACGGACGTGGTGTGTTGAGGACAATCATCTTGGTCTTGGCTGTGATGGCGCGCTCGAGCTCGTCGAAGTCGATGGTCCAACTAGCGGCGGACGACGTTGCCGTAGCACCGTCCGCAGGAGGATGCAAGGGAACATATGTAATCTTGCCGCCGGGCATCTCGATGTTGCTGATATACCTAGTCAGGAGTAAGCATGTCTACTTCCTCTCACAAAGACGCCTCGGGTTCTGGCTTACTGATCAAAGAAGGGCTCAAAGACAATGACCTCATCGCCAGGCTCGATGAACGCCATAAAGGCACTGAGCATACCTGTCGGGCGTTCAGCTTGTCATCACCAAAGAATATCCGCTGCCACCGAGTTGAGTCTCACCCTCGTTTGCGCCAGTGGTGATGGTAACCTCGGTCTCAGGGTCCAGCTTGCGACCCCAGTAAGGGGAGTAAGCATCGGCAATCGCCTTTTTCAACCTAGGGCGACCCTTGGTAGGGCTGTACTGATTGCACTCAACGCGGTCCAGAGCCTGCTTCGCGGCGTTGAGGATAAACTCTGGCGGGTTATAGCCGAAAAAGCCCTGGCCCATGTTGACGATGGGCTGTTTGGGCGAAGCGGCAGCGGCCTCGTTTATGATGGACCTGATGCTCCCAGTCAGAAAAAGGCTCATGCATTATCGTCGCGCAGATCGGTTGCACTGTCGTACAACAGTTCCGAATCAGGGTGCTCAGCACGCACCATACGTCTTGCCGCCGGCCGGCAACACGGGCCGCGGGTTTGATCTTGCTACTGAGTGTCATGGTGGTCGAGTTGAAGCCTCTTCTGGCGGTGCTGTTGTTTGTGATGCGCGACCGGAGGAGAGGGAGGACGAGGGAGTTCATGGATGTAGTAGAGCGGTTGACGAGAAATCGGAGCGGCACGGGAGGTCAACGCGGCCAAATCTCTATCGGGACGTAATAAGACCAGGCGAAGCTCCGAAAATTGGCGGACGCTGATTGCTTGTCGGGACGTCAAGACCCATTCTCGTTTGGAGCGTGAGAACGTCGTAATCGGTCATCCCGATGTTCGGTGCTTCGCTCAGCAGCGGGGTGAGCCGAGTCAACGCGGTTTCTGGCGGGGTAAAAAGCACGTCCCTCGTAGACTATTTGCAAGAAGATTACGTAAAGATAGAGAGCCGAGCCGGGGTTTATCCGACCAAACCCGAGTCCGACCACGATGCTCAACCCAATCACTTACCATCTTGGAGGCGTGATTTCTCAATACCAAGATCAGCAGCGAGTAAGACACTGGTCGGCACAGAGTCCGTAGTGAGTGAAATGGCCGGAAATATAATCCCAGAGCATACGTGAGTAAAGGGGTTCTAAGCGCAGGAGACTAATGGCCAAAACCCCTGGATAGTGTTCCCAGGTGAGGTCGCTAAGAAACCCGGCATTACTCGGCAATACGAAGGGAAAGACTGAATCTCTGCTTCGTTACAGATGATTTGTAAGGAATTCATAAGCACTTGCAGTAAAACAAAAGAGGTTGATGTAAGATGTGGCTGGTAATGCAGTGTTTAACCTTGATCTGAAACGGATTGAACAGTATCCTTTCCAAGGCAGTAGGCAGTCAGCAAGGTGCCAGCGAGGTTAACTCTATCGAGGTAAAGACAACGATTATTAAGTCAGACGAGGGCTATCTCAAGTTCCGCAAAGCGTCTTTCCAGCTACTCGTCACTATCCCTGGCATGGAAAAGATCATACCCTTAACATGGCCAGTTCATCTCCAAGAGGAATTTGGTGCAGCTTGTTATTGGGCCAACAAACTGACAGCCGTTGTACTGCTGGCGACCTAGTCGGAGTTAGACTTTATGTCTGACACTGACAACTCCCTAAGCATTTGCCCTCTATCGATTAACCCATTCTTCAGGCGGCACCATCATCGCCCTAACTTTAGATCGCGATGTCCCAACACCAAACAATGATTGGCAGTGCTCAATGACACCAAATATGTGAACAAACCTGCGCAAGCCTATTTCCGCGCAGCAGATGGATTGTGAACTGTCGCATATACGGTTTTGAAGGGGCGGGGGATGTTCTGTGTCATTATAAACTTTCGCAACTGTAATTTAAAATGCTGTATTATTGCCGTTCGAGGCGGAAAGCTCTAGGCTTACCATGTTCTATGAAGTGGAGAAAACACTTGCAAGGGGAGGCACCGCGCATGGAAGAGCCTTGTTTGTTCATTCAATGGTTGACTGGGGTTAAAGTTCTTTTTTCTTTTTTTCTTTTTTCAGATGATTTTGAAATCGAATACCTTTACTATACAGTTCAGGGGCGACCAATGAGCTAAATGTGTTTCTTTGATTGTGATATGTAACATGGAGGTATGTGCATTCTTTTTGGCATTGCCAGAAGTATGTGATATGTAGACACGGTGAAGTAGCTCGACCATAGACAGGCGAACCGAGAAAGAGAGAGAAAGAAAGATACAGGAGAATTAGAGATATACACAACCTCATCCTACAGCTTCCACTAAGCGAGGCCTACAATAACTTTGCCTCTTGGTGTCCAACCGTCAGCCTTTAACATCTTTATCTTACACCTTCATAGGGACCAGCCATTGAGAGCCCCTTAGTTGTTTGTTAGGGTGTACTTGGAATTACCGCCGGCGTTGCCCCAGCCCTCGGTGGCGATGGTCTGGTAGCTCATCTTGCCGAGCTTCAAACCGATCTTATCCCAGGCAGCGACGTGGTTGGCGAAGGTGATAGTGCCGCCATCCGGCCGGGTGTCTTTGCGGGAGGAGATAAATTGGGTGAATGTCCTGGTGCCCAGAATGGAGGGCTGGTTGACCTGCGTGTGCTTAAAGATGTCGTACTCGGACCCGTCGCTCTTGAGAGATCCAACCTTCTGGCCCTGCGCGGCGCCCTTTCCGTTATTACTGTATTCCTGTACGTAGTACTCCACCAGTGGGTCAGTGCTCCATCCGTAAAGTGAGACTAGAACAGTGCCAGCCGAGGCCTTTGTCTGGCCGGAGAATTTAACAGTCCTATACACAGCCATCAGTCAAGATGGAACGAAACATTGAGAACGAGGTCTCACCTGTTCTTAGAACCAGTATTCCAGCCTTTGCCGACCACAAAGTCTTGAGCGCCTGAGAACGACACGGAGAATCCATTTTTACTGGGGGTGAAGTTGACCTTGCCACCCGTTTTGTAGTTCTGGGTGTAATCCTGACGACGGGCCAGGTTTGCGGGGCCCAGCTCGAAATCGGGCGCGTCGGCATCAGCAACTGGTGAAGCGAAGACGCTGGTGATGAGAGACGCAGCGAAGGCTAAGTACGTGAATGTAAATGAAACCATGGTATCAGTCTATGCTTGAGAAAGGCGGGCAAAAAGTGCGTATGCTGCTCGATGAAACAATTATGAATTCATAGAGTTGGCATTTATTCTGGTGAAGCCGGGCGAGAATATCTTGCCTTTATACACATTTGAGATATGTTCTATGTAGAGAGAATTCTCTAGCACATGGATGATTCATATCGTTTCAATCGGATGGTTCCGTTCACATCCCTTGTCAATCTATGGACGATCTTTGTGAAACAACTGCCTACCAAGAAACAGATCATCGTGTCAAGCTTTTCCGGGGCCTCAGCCACATCGCTCCCGCTGCCAATGCATCCGCAGTGATTGAAACCGGCAAGTCACCCCCGACTGGATGCGACAACCTATCAAAGATCACCGTGCAACACCACTATAGGAACAACTAGTCCCCGAAAACATGATTTTGCCGGACCTGGGTGGAGTGTGGCAGCTAATGCTCAGGCTTGGTTGAGTGCACTCTTGAGTTGCGATGAACAGTAGAATGACCTAAATGAACCAGGATACTGCCATCTTCTTGGAATGCTTCTTAAACTTCTTCAAAACTGGAATTTTATGATTCAGGGGAAGCTTCATGTGTTTGACACTGAGCTTAACTTTGTTGGACTTACAGTATCGGGAGTCCGGAATATCGACACAGTCGTTGTGGTTGGCAGAAAGAATGTTCACCTCGGCCACGACCAAACTTAACTATATGTAATGGTTGAGGACAGTATCAAAGATGTGGTTCACCTGGATGGGGAGCTGCACTAGTTCTCCTCTGATGATATTTGTAACTAGCCAGATCGAATATGCTAACCAGGTCCACCAATCATATATCTGCCCTCGGACGTTGTCGCTTTCGTCCGGGCCCGTCGAACGTCGAAAATTCCGATCCTGTCGCGATGATGTCATTTGATCTGAAATATAAAGAGGTCGTGATTCAGGTACAGAAAAATGAGTGTACAGTCCAATCTGGTTCGCCGACCAGGACCCCTAATCGAACTATCTGCGTTTGGAGTTTCATGCGTCCGATCAGCCCCTCTCAGGACATCAACAAGGTTATCGTGGCACCCGACCGCCTCGGATGCAAGGTAGGCATTACAGGTGTCGGATGAGACGGCAGGCGCCTCAAGCCCCGGTCCGCTTGCATAAATGTGTGCCTTCCTATCATTTTTGCTTTTCATACGAAGCCTGGCACCATCTCTCCACAAGCTGATTCATTGAAAGGTAGCTGTATGTTCTAAGAGCGGAAGGGAATTACGGGCCGACTTGAGCGGAAGCTCGAGCTCTTACGTCATGCAATTTGGTTCGGCTCTATGCCTGATTCACTACAGAGCAGCAGCTCTGAGTCTTGCAATGTATAGTATATCCTTGTCTTGCGTACACGGAGGAAGGCACCTCCATTGCGTTTGTGGCTCATAAAGATTGGATCCAGGAGGTGGGATGAGAATCAAGTGGCTTCGGCAAGACACAACAGATGATTGATAACTCTGCTGTCAGCTAATTCGCGCCATGTACACGCAGAAACAAGATGTCAGAGGCATCAAGGCATTGAGATTGTGACGTTTTGAACTGCCATCCCGAGTCACTGTATGAGATACTGTTTTTCTTGACTGAGGCGGTTAAATCTATAGTTTTACACAACCCTGTTGAAAGAGACTTTTTCAGACAAAAAAGTCAAAAGCACTCACGGCCACGTTTTACTTTTGTCTTTTACTGTGCATCATCTAAAGTCTAGTAAGCTTAGGTAGAACAGACATAAATTTGCTCAACATAATGGACGACCTAGCGTGGCCCGAATTACGCTTTAATAAAAGTCCCCTTGGCTGAGCTTTCCGGAAGCAACGTAAACGTCGATGTCCTTGTCTACTCAAAGTATTCAGAATGGCGTCGAAGACCTATAACATCACTAATGTTAGCTAGTGATCAACCCTCTTAACCTTGATTAGCAAGTGTTTAACGCCTCCATAATCATGGAATTGGGTAAAGTGTTAAGCAACCACAAGTCAAAATGGTGCCGGTCTAAGAGTCCTGATCCAAAACTCGAGGGGTGGATCGGCTCCAGTGTCACTAGATGATTTATATGGAACAAAAGTCCTCAAAGTTGAAGGCCCTATTTACGAATATTGAAATTCAAATGGAGGCTGCTGTAATTACACTTGCACATATCAGTCATATACCCAAGAATGTGACCACAAGACGTAATGAAGGCATGCGGTGCTTCCTTGTCATTCTTATAATAGATCAATAATCAGGCTCAGCAGAGAATGCGACCGAGGTTGTATTGATGAGACATGTTCGACCAACAGAACCCCATAAACTTTATGTACCCTATTCCGCATAATATGCAGGGTCGCTATTTGTATCTGGTACCTACGAAAGAGATTTTGGGAATTTCTTCTTCAGTAAGGTACTTCTTCACGTTAGTAAACATGTTTGATCTGATACCTTCCTTCAAGTGGTCATGAGCCCAGAGGTGGTGATGATACAGGTGGGGATTGGCTACCTCTAGGGCTGCTTTCCTAGTCTATACTCAAAAGATAAGCTAAAGCATCAGCAGTGTAGCCACACGTCTGCATTCTATTCTGCTGGGAAATGAGGTAGAAGAATAAGGAGCCGGCCGAGTCGTGAGATTCGTAAGAGGGAGAATCGTCTTACATAGTTCCCATGTGAGAAGGTTATCGGCCGGGTCGGATGAATCATCGGAACGGAGGACGAAACTTTGCTCATGACCTAAGTCATGATCAGTTATGAGACAGATGAAAGTTTAGCTCTTGTGTCACAGAATCTACTCATGTGCTGTTTAAGGACTTTCTAACTAAGCAATTTGTCATGGCATCCACTAGCGAAGTTTACTCACAACTGAAAGCATTTCAAAAACATTGATCCAACTGGTACAAATAATACAGCGATTTGACTATCTCTGTCATTTGTGTCAAAGTATTCACTGTCCAGGACGGATTTCTTTCTCCCTTTGCCTTCTCTGTTAGGCTATAAGGTGCTCTTTATCTATAGAATGTGGCAATATGGCATGAAAATCGCCCCTGGGGAGTCTAGTATCTGAAATTTGATAGGGTAATGAGCAAGCCACTCCCCGAGGCCCTTTCACTGCCGTGTTTCGATACGGGAATAAGTACTGTACCCTATTTTGCGGAGAACTGAAGGCGGAAGATCCATGTTGTCCATCATACTCCGATGCGCAGGTGTCGCGGTAGTTTTGAGATCATCCAATCCAGTCACAATCCCATGTTGCAGAAAAGAAACAAAGAGATCGGATGTGAACTTTTTGTTCCAAAAGGTAGGTAATTAAACAAATGGCTGATACTTAGCAACTCTATTAGGCAGCATTTAGCAGTAGTAATGCGTTTATGATGTCAGAGTATACAGACTAGTACATATTTGAGAGAAGAAGTCTTCGCTAGGGCCCAAACCGGTGGGGTCCTCAAATAGATATCCGTCGGCTCCGTTTAATCCCTTAACGAAGGAAGCAAACTGATGAAGTTCAAAATTCTCCTGACCCTGTACGTTTATCTCGTTACGCTCATACAGGCTCGAAGGAACTGTATGGTTATATGACTCCGGAAATGCTTGATATGATTCGAATTTATTTAGCCAATACGGCACTAGCGTGAAAGAAGCGTTTTCTGGAGAGTGTGAAGTATATTTCGTATATACCGACTCGATATCGACTATTGGTGTACTTATTGGCTACGTATTTGATCTACTGCGTTTCGATTTGCATCGTACTCTCTGACGTTGTGGTATGGGAGCCTGATGTTTCTTTTCATGCACTCGTAGTGTCCGTGCTGACATGATGGCGGGTACTGACATTTGGGAAATGTAGACGGGAACTGTGGGAGGTGGGAGAACTCATGCTCAATAAGGTGTGTCTCGGACACAAACCCAGATGTGGCTCTGGGACAAGTTTTAGTCGGCATTTAAATGCCGTGTGGCCAAGCTGGTTGTTGAAGAACTTGAGTGCTTCGGCCGATATCCCCGGAAAATCATGTTGAGTTTGAGTGAGGAGATGTCTAATGGTCTGTTGATATGCCACCAGTATGGACGAGACAACATCTGGACCAGAACTGTCTGGCTGTGTGCGGCCATTTTCATCACTGGCTATATCGGTCATTATCTCAAAGGCGTTGTCAAAGTGATCAAAAGCTGGACTTACCCCCTGGTTCTCAAATCCGAGACTTAAGTGTTAAGTGACCTAGCTCTCAAGAAACTGGCGACGTGCTTAACCAGAACAGGATAGTTGGCTAGACAACCTAGTCTCTTGTCCAGATACACAAGTTGGCTCTCGCATTCCTTTAACTGAGAATGTTCACTGGTACCGTCTAGCCTTTCAGCAAGATTGCAAGCAAGATTGATGAGATGAGATTTCTCATCAGACTCATTTGCAGTCGCCACTCGGGAAAGCAGATAATCGGTCTAATACTCTGTGGCATAAACATGAAAGCCATGTATTCATTTGAGTACTCGCTCCTGCCGCTCTTGTTCGCTATAGGAGATGCTGAAGACATGGCTTCCCGATAGAAGACAGGCCAGTGTTGCTGAACTATGCTCTGATAGTGTTTTATCCTCGTTGATAACCATACTCCTAGAAGATTTCCCCAGGAATCTGTAATCACGTTACGATTCAAGTCAGTTCTCAAAGAATATGTGAAAAATAATCTTACAGTTTAACTGAGGAGTGAATGAAAGTCATGATTGTGTCCTGCTTTACGTCAAGAAGAGGTCCGCATATTTCCAAGATTTATCCAGGTGCAAAGTTGGTGACATCCTAATTACCTGGACTAAGAAGAGTCGCCGCAGTTTAATGGAGGAATCATTGCAGATCCAATGGGACTGGGTAAGACCCTGACGATGATTGCTCTCGTAGCAACCGACTTGAAAGAAGAGAAAGATGCCTCCGGGATGAGAATAATCCTAAACCACAGCGAAGGAGCATATACAGGGGCGACTTTAATCATCGTGCCTCCGCCACGTTAGTTATCACATACTATTAGTGTGAGAATGCCGCTAACTGGCAATAGTCACATGGTCACGGGAGGAGCAACTTTCAGAGTAAGTCTATCAGTCATCTTACACAGCTGTCAACTTACCATTTGTTAGGCATGTGTCAGAAGGGGGGTTGAGGTACCGTAGACACCACGCTAAATCCAGGCTGGCCACACATGAAATCATTCACGACGGTGTAAACGTGGTTTTGACTACTTACCACACTATTTACACTGAGTGGAAAGCCGGATACGACGCGCAAACCTCTCCCCGGTTTACAGTTAGTTGGAAAAGGATAATTCTGGGCGAGGGCGAGAGATCTCTTCCCCAAACGCGGTTCGTTTTGATAGCCTGCTAACGGAACCTAGCCCACTACATCCGCAACGGGAACTCTCGGATGTCTCGCGCGGTTTGCGCCCTGGATGCGGTGTCTCGCTGGGCCGTCACTGGCACCCCCATCCAGAACCGCCTGAGTGACCTCGACACGATAGTCAAGTTCATCCGCATCCATCCGTACACGGACACCAGGCAGTTTGACGCCGACTTGTCGCAACTCTGGAAGTCTGGGGACGACTAGAGGGCCGCTCAGAGGCTAAAGAACCTGTCTGCGTGTCTCATCCTGCGTAGGCCCAAGGGCACGATCAACCTACTCCGACGGCATGACAAGCTTTGCCCCATCGACTTCACGCGAGAAGAAAGGGCTGCGTACGACGAGATGCGACAGTGGGCCATTGCAAGAATCGAGGATGCTCTGCTGCAAGATTCCAAGCTCGAGGCGTCCAATATCTCCATGTACCACAACGCCCTCCAACAGATCGAGTCGCTACGCCTCTTCTGTAACTTGGGACTTGGCTACCACAGCAGACATGAAAAAGTCACTCAGTACTCTACCGAGAGCTATCAGGACTGGACCGTTCAAGCTCGGCAGCTTTTCAACTTGCAGTGGCAGAAGGACCCCATCGTCTGTTTGGGATGGTCTTCGACGAAGAACGGACCGCCTGTACGCGGTGGATGGATGGATACGGATCTCCCTCCCCGGTACGACCAAGGTAACAATCCCATCTTGTCATTAGCATGCCCCTTGACAAAATCTAGCGGAGCACACTCAAGCCGGGCGACTGCGCAATCAATTGTCCCATGTAAGCTAAGCTTTACTCATACTAGCGTCATGAGCTTATGTCCAGGATGGAAGACAGACCTCTTACTGAGCGCCCCAATTCAACCAGGAGCAAGGAAGCTGCATGATGTGACCATCTCTATGCTTACCTATTGATGAACATAGTCGCTCTAGGCCCCCCACATAAGCAGTCCAGCTCACCCGGTACATAATACCAAAATACGTAAGGACTAGATACGCAGCACTTCTGGCCTGTACCACGTCTCAGTCTCCTATTACGGTACAAAATACCCGATAATGCAGAAAAACTATTGAATTAGACGTCAGTCCCTTCAGCCATAGCGCGAACAACCTTTGGGCGCCAGAACGTTAGCGACAACCTTGGATCTCCATTCTTGTGTAGGAGATTTGGACAGCCAGCCGTATGGTAGTTAAGGGAATAGCGTCACCGGCCTCGATTGCCGCACATCGCATCGCGATACACTGACTGAATGAAGCCCTCCGCCCTGAAGCCTCCTCTCTCTCCCTCTCCCTCTTTTTCTCTCTCACATACACATGGCATCCGTCCACACATACCGTGGCCCTCAACAGCCGTCTGCATGTCGTGCTCGGCATCCTGCTCCTTGCCCTGACCGCCGTCTTTGTCCTCCTCCACGAGAGTATCGCCACTGTCGACGGCCTCTTCAGCCTCCCTCAACACCGCGCAGATCCCGCCCATGGCGGATCCCAGCCCCGGCCGCCGGAGCCGCCGCAGAATCCGGACCCGAAACCCCTCACCGAGCAGACCCCGCGCTACAAGCCCGCGCCGACCTACACCCCACCCCCCGTCGTCGACCCCTTTCCCCTCCTCGCCGACACCGCTGCCGACGTCCTGCCACCCCCAGTCCCCGCGCACAACTCACCCTCCAGAACCTCTTCTACCTCAACCACACCACCCTCGCCCGCCTAGGCGTCAACGTCCTCCACGCGCCTGCTCTCTTCTGTTTCGCTGCTACCACGATAGTCACTCATCCTCCGTTTGGCCGACGCCGATTGCACGGCTTTTTGGCCGTTGCATGCTGACAACATGGTTCGTTACGGACCGGTTGTTTGCCGTGTGGGATAGTGATGCAGCCTTCAGGCAGCAACAGGGTTTGAAGTGGGAACGAAGCTGTAAATATTAGAGAGCCAAGACTTGGAGCGATTCCACGCAGGTTGATCGGCCCAGAGGCAGGGACTTGGTATTCCACAGGGTCTAGCAAGTACTCCGTACAGTGGCATAACCCTAGGACGAGGGTGCGTATAGTCATCTAGTAGAGCCACACTCCCTTCATCAGGATAAGGTGACCCCTGCGCATGCAAATGCAGGTGTAACCTCCGAAATTTATAAATCACTCCAGCTCCAGTAGAAACCAAAGTCCTTCTTGGCGGCATGATTCAGAACTTTCGTTGTCTGGCGCGAACCATTACCGCCACAAAGGCCTCAAATCAACTGCCTCACCTAGCTTTCTAGCTATGCGCGTTCATTCGTTCCAGCGACGCCGTTCCTGGGCTGTCAGCGCACTCGAGGGATGCGATCTATAAAAACCCATTGCTTTCTCCCTTCGTCTTGAGTTCAAGCAAACTAAACCTCCTCTCAGCATCTCATTCCATAGATTAAACCCTCTCCATACATACTTTACAAGTTCAGCGTCTCGCAAGCAACCATGCCTGCTATCACTCCTATCGACCCACGCTGCCCTGAATGCATATATGAGAATCCACCTGAGGCGAAGCACTGCAAGGGCGAGCTCGAAGACGTGGCTACCTGCCGCGCGGAGCTAGAAGAAGTTGTCTAGCTCCACGTGAATGTGAGTAATAGCTGTTATCAACTTTTGCCCGAACCGCTAACAACCATTTCCAGACAGCTGGCACACGGGACACGACGTGACGGGAACCGGGTTTGGAACTGAGATATTAGTGCTCGTACCTTAATAGTTTGGACGGAGATACCAATCCAAACTGACTATTCCCGCGTGACCACTTCGACCCGGGTTTCCGCATCGTCGTGAAGCCCTTGTTCTCCCATCCTCAGTCGAACCCCGTCGTCTCCGGTTGTGTCCGAATTGGTTTTCAGCAAGGCGTCAAAGACGTCATGGTTCTTTACGTGAGGCCGGCGGCCGCGCGGAGGAGTTTGGTGAATACTACAAAGTTCCGTTGCGATTAGGTTGCATTCTAATGCGTGGGATAGCAGCAGTATTCCGCGCATCTATCAGTGGTCCCGCCATATCGCTGTCATCACCGTGACGATTGTGACATGGATGTAAATTCTGTGGGTGCAAAAGGACCAGCGTCATATGCGGTAATACGGAACGGAGAAAGTAACTCGACTTAGCTAAATTCTCTAGCTATGTTTGTGTAACAAGTGTAGCAACTACATCGCTAGTATGTTAAGCCAGCGTTACCTATCTTTTTAACACTATAAAGGTCAGTCTGTAACTCTTCATGTATAAAAATCGTAGCAAGCAACCAGCCGACGGCTTCCAGTCAAGCAACCGACAAGATTCAGGTTTCATAATCACCGCTCACAAGCCATTAATGAGATTGTAGGGAATAGTAATATCTTGGGGTTTTCGATGGTTGATGCCACCATCTATGTGGACTTGCGCACGCGATCATCTCTCATATGGGAGAGAGAACTGCCAGCGCCAATGCCATGCGTAAACGGGCACGTAAGAAACATGGTAGAACAAATAAAAAAATCGTACACTACTCTCAAAATGCCCCACCCCTAATACGCCATACCCGTCTATATGGGATATCCTCCGGTCGCGATGATCAACCCAAAATGATTCAAACACAGGGAGTGATTGACTCCTCACAGTATCCAACTGTTTGCTTTTTGCCGGGCCAAAGTTCTCCGAGTCTCTCGCTGATATATATCGTTGAAAAGGGAGGAAGGAGGAAGGAAAGGAGGGGAAAAAAAAAACCAAAAAAAAACTCTATGCGAGTTTATGCCTCAGTGATATTTCTTGCCAAAGCACCGCCGGCCTGCATGTCACCCAGGCCGGTCTTGAAACCGCTGGCGGAGGCGGCGAGCTGGGCTTTTGGGGCGTACCCTGACTTGGCATCACCGCTCCTCAGGACCTCCTCGCGGGTGACGTTGAGCTTGTCGGCAGACAACCCCATCGACTGGAGGAAGTGGACCGTCTGGGTCCACTCCTTTTTCTTGCGGGCTTCGTTCCAGCCGAGCTCCTCGGCCATGACGTCAATGACGCGGGGCAGGGCGCGGAGGGCGGACTCGGCATCCAGGAAGGCGAGACGGGTGCGGCGGGAGATCAGGTCGGTGGCAGTCATGGCAGCCTCGGCGCGGACACCGTGGCGGATCTCGCCGACGACAAAGGGGAAGTTGGGGATGATGCGCTCAGAAGAGGCAGCAGCGACGGACCAGGCGCGATCGCCGTAGTTATGGGCCAGATGGTTGGCAACGTCAGCGTCGAGGGAGAAGTGTGAGGCAAGGTGGCTAGGCAGGTGCTTGGAGAAACCGTGGGCACCGACAAGAGGCACATTGGCGGTGATGCACTTGCCGGTGGTGGTGAAGGCAGGAAGCCCAGCACCGGAGATATCAGGCAGGGTAACGGGCTTGGGCTGGAGCTTGAAGGTCGCGATGGCCTCGTCGACGGCATCCTCGGCCATTTGGCGGTAGGTGGTCCACTTGCCGCCGGCGCATGTAAGAAGGCCAGAGTCGGAGACGGTAACAAGGTGGGAGCGGACGAGGGATTCGGTATTCTTCGCGTTGGGATCCTTGACCAAGGGACGGATTCCTGGAGAGCCTGTTAGCTTTTCTCTGCAACGCGTATGGCATCGATCGGATTATGAAATGACTCGACTTACCAGACCAGGCAGCGAGAACGTCAGAGCGGGTAAGGGCAGCATCGGGGGTCATCAGCTTGTTGACCTCCTTCAGAATGAACTTGATGTCGTCCTCGCGGGCGATGGGGTCACGCTCGACGGGAGCAGCGTTGTCCGTAGTTCCAGCCAGAGTGTAGCCTTGCCAGGGCAGCACGAAAATGACACGACCATCCGAGGTGGCAGCGTCAAGAAGACCAATTCCGTTGGGGCAGATGTCACCAGGCAGCATGATGTGGGCACCAGAAGCAGGAGCGACAATGGGTTTGCGGTCGGGGTTGTCCATACGCTCAATGGCGTCAGCGAAGGGGCCGGTCGCGTTGATAACACCCTTGGCGCGGACGGTGAAGGAGTCGCTGCCGGGAGTCATGACATCGCGGACCTTGGCACCGGTGATCTTGCCGTCCGAGTTCTTTTCCAGACAGGTGACTTCGGCGTGGTTGACGACGGTTGCGCCATAGAGCGCAGCAGTCAAGGCGAGAGAGACGTTCATGCGGGAGTCATTGTGCTGGCCGTCATAGTAGACCAGAGCACCGACCATGTTATCGCGGCGAAGCTTGGGGAAGGCCTCTAGGGCTTTCTTCGTAGAGACGTAGTAGGAGCTTTCGAGACCCTGGGAACCGGCGAGGAGATCGTAGGCCTTCGTGCCGGCCCAGAAGTAGGGGGTCTGCCACCATTTCTGAATGGGCAGGAGAATGGGCAGAGACGAGGACAGGTGGGGGGCAACGTTGAGGAAGGTCTTGCGCTCGTGAAGCGCCTCCATGACGAGCTCAAGCTGGGAGTAATCGAGGTTCCAGACGGCCTTTTCGAGGTAACGGACACCGCCGTGGACAAGCTTGGTGCTCTTGGACGAAGTCCCGGCCGAGAAGTCGTCGCGCTCGACGAGAGCGACCTTCAAGCCGCGGGTGACGGCATCAAGGGCGATGCCAGTGCCGGTGGCGCCGCCCCCGATAACGAGCAGGTCATACTCGTGGGGTTCGGAGCTATGGGCGCGCAGATCGGCCAGCTGAGAAGCGCGATCCTTGGCGATGGGGAATGAGGGGGGCACGATCTTGCCTTGGTTATCACGTTTGAGCTCAACCAGCGGCTTATCGAAGCTGTGAGCTCCGCGGCCGCTGAGGAAGGTCGAATAGGCGACGACACCACCAGTGGCGGCGGCGGCGGCGATGACGACGGGCCTTCTCAGGCTCGCGAAGCGGGGCGGCATGCTGTAAACTGGTCTTCTCACACAATAGGAAGATTAAGGCCGAGCCCAAAGAGGACGAGTGATACCGGTTGGGCGCGTGTGTGGCGGTGGTGAGGTAGTCGACAGTCCCTGACGTAGAGTGGGGTATCTGTAGCTACTACTCTTTCCTCGGCGTCGGTTTGGTTGGAGAGGTCGCAGGTGATGATCCTGGAGAAGTAGAAGAGGAGGAAGGGGAAGGGAGGATAAAATGGAAAAGAAGAAGCTCAATGGTTAAGAGGGTCCGAGATGATCGGCACAATGATCGATTGCGGCTGGCTGAGAACGATAATAAAGAAGAAAAAAATAACAAAAAGAGAGGGAGCAAAAAAAAAAAAAAAAGTTACTGGTAGGTATACAACCTAGGTACCGTTTGAAGGAGGAAGCTACCCCGGGCTGGGCCGCCTCACCCGCAACTGTGCGCTTCGATTCGTGGAATGACACCCCGAACTCACGCGAGAGGGAATCTTGCCGTTGGGCAGGGGGCAAGGCAAGGCGAACGTAGACTACTGGAGGTGGTATAATGTGACAGGGAGGTAGAGAGAATCGGGCGAGGGTACGAAATAGGTACTGTGTGATAGAGAGAGAGAGGGAGACAAAAGAAGGGAAAAGAAGAAGCCAGGAGAGAGCAAAAGAGGCTAAAAGTAGATCGGAAGGGGGGTGTGGGTGTGTGTGTGGGTGGTACGGAGATACCTACCAGTACCTACCCAGACGAAACCATATCCGTACAGTTCATCGTTTATCGGGCTGGGGAGCAGAAAGTGCAAACTCTGGTGCGACTTAAGGTCTGTCAGCAACGCCGCCATCGCATTGGACCTCGACCCCACGTGGTCGCAGGCGCGCCCGTGGTACGACAGCCAACCTTTGCAGTATCGATTCTCGCCCTGATCATTTCTGTCTGCTATCTGCGGTACCAGAACATACGGTGTCTTGCTTTGCTCTGCATTCCTTTGTGCGTTACCAGACGCCGGATTGTCCGGGCGGTCCAAAAAGCTAAGCGTCGCTGGGCGTACACATACAGCATCACCGTCCTGTCAGGTCGGGGTCTGACATCATGGACCACATGGAAAACGTGGCACCGAGCTGAGTCCGACCTGGTGGACGAACGAGAGACAGATAGAGAGAGAGGCAGAGTCAGGTCAGGGAAGAGGAGACCCGCTCATTGTTCGTCATGTCGGTAACGGCGCAATACTCGATCGATATGGAGAAATGATTGGGGGCCCCGGGGAAAGAGAGTCGTTAGGTATTGCCTAGTGTCATCCCATCCGTGTGGTGCAGGTTTCCAGTCAGAGCCGCAAGTGCGGTTATCCTCCATGCATGTCGGTATTGCAATACCGAGACGGTGGTGTTTTCGGGCTCGTCTCGGGTTTTAGAGGAGAATACCCCTGACTCGGTGGCTTCGGTTCTCATCACCGAATGATGAAGAAATAATTGGGGAAGGGGGGGGAGGGTTGCACTTACCAAAAAAAGAATTGGGGGAAAGGAACTGGCCTCTGAGGCAAGTGCAGAGTGACTTGGTAACGACCCCTTCTTTCCCCTCATGGCCGTTGAACCCTCCTTACCCCTGTCCCTGTTCCTTCCCTCCTCCCCTTCCCCTCGATGCTCACGACACACACCGGCTTCAACCTCGCTCCGCCTTGGTGTTACATCCTCTCCATCTCCCCGACCACACCTTGGCTCCGCACGGCACAGTTTATGAGCCTGGATGGTCATGTCCTTTGCCACCATCACCCTGCAGAATCACCACCAGAGCACCGCTGCCCGCTGGATCGTGCATCCTGCACGCTCATGCAGCGCACCCACCCAGCAACACAATCAGCACCGCACACACAACAGAGACAGACAGGCGAGTACACTCGGCCCGGCCACTCGCCCGCGTTTGAAATCTGCTCATGGACTCCCCCCGAGTACCCATCGTGGCATGTTTGCCCACCCCGCGCCATGCCATCTGGGCACTAACTACCCTTATCCCCGCTGGCCTCGGGTTTGATTATTCTGGGGCTCGCCTCACTTTTCACCTCGAGGCCCAAAGTGAGGCTTGCCCGAGGAGGCTTGAAGGGTCCTCGAGGGGCTGAGGCCGCATATGGTTCATCTTAAGAACCGGATGCCATCCTCTCTCTCCAATGTCGCGGACCGTTTTTGGGGCTCCTGGAACAGGCGGACGACCCGACGCCACGCTTTCCTTCGACAGACTCTCGGGAGTGTATACGACATGCGCCTACCTGCAAACAGTACACACACACCACCCAGGAGACCTGCCCTCCATCCTTCAGCTATTACCGCCCCCTCTAGGCATTCTCCTCAGCGCCCGCTCGATGTAACCCTTCTGAGAGGGCAACTCCGCTCCGGACGCCGTTATTGCACCCGCAGCCGCACCCCATCCGCCCGTTCCTCACACACACCAGCTGTCCGTCGTCGTTCGCCGCCACCACTACACCGCAACGCCCACGGCCACGGCCACACATTGCAGATCTCGCGCAACATCTCGCGCTGCCCCTTGCAATTTGCGTTCACAAAGTGGGAGGAATCAAATTGAGGTGGCGCACTCAAATAGAACCACTGCAAATCTGCCCCTCGACTCCTTTCTCCCCTGCACAGTGTTATGGCAATCATTTGCCAACATCAATGCGCAGATCTATTGCGCAGGAAGGAGCAGGAGGGGCATCGGTCAGTGAGCGGGGCAGCTGGACACGTATTGGAAAAGTTCAGGTGCGCGGTATGGCTAAGCATCCGAAGCCAGCACAAGTGATCTTCATTCTTTGCTTCGAGGGCCAAGATGGCGCCAACCTGAACGGGGGTGGCTTTCAGACTCATTGCTGCAATGCCGGTGGATTCACCAAGCCATTCGACTCTAGCGGTTCCCAAAACGAACGCGTAAACTGCTAGCCTATCTCTTTGACGCCTCCCGCTAGGTGTGTTCTGGCCTCTCGGGATCCCGAGAACCTCCAGCTGCAAGCCCGGACTGTCGTCGACTGCGGGCAGGTTGCACCCTGCAGCGTCCTGGCTGTTCTAGAGTTATTAGGAAAGCATTCCGACAGCGTGGGCATGCCATACCGCTACCTCCAAAATCATTTTGCTCTCTCCCCCGCAGAAAAAACCGCCAACTCGGCGGAAGAATTCCCAAGGCTTCGGGGCCTCACCCACACCTCGGGCGTCGTGCCAATCTTCCAGCGAAGTGGCTTTTTTTTTTCTTCTTTTTTTTCTTTTTTTCTTTCCGTTCCACTTCCGAAGAGGTTTGCTTTCGAAAGTCTAGAGGAATCTGACCTCACGAATATACTAATTGTCGACTGGGCGCATCTTTTTTCTTCTTCTTTAAGTAAGTTCACGTTGCACGTCGAAAGAGTCCGAGAGCTCTAGTCCACGTCCTCGCGCGTAGACATAGACATGCACGAACAACCTGGTGAACTTGATGCTTTATGATAATTTTTCTTTTCCTTATTATTTTTTGCTTAAATGACAGCTGCGAGGAAGATAACTCTATTACCCTCCTCGAGACACATAGTGCGATGCAAACGCACATAAGAAAAAACAAGATACGCCAATCCCGCCCATATCGGTACCCCCAGCACCAGCGGCAAACAACCCGGACAGACGAGCAAACACACTCGACACGACTTGGCGGACACTCCGGGCGGCGGCAGAGCCAAAGAAGAATAAAAAATAAATACACGAAACGAATTGCGCCTTGAGTACTTTTCCCCCACCAGTATTCTCATTCGCCATAAGGGGCAAAACTTTGATCATTTTATCCGCTTCTTTTCTCCGCGACTACACAGGGACTCGTGTCCCAGATTCGAGTCGGCCGCCCGTTTCTTCTCTCGTCTTTCACAGTACTCTTCCAAAGACTTTTGATATCATCCCTCGTTTCTGTTTCTGGTTTCCTTCTGTTTTCACTCATCACAAGTACCGACACAGTCGGATCTCGTGGCTTCATCGTCGTCCTGTCAAGATAACCAAGACGGCTCTCTCATTCTCACGTCTCCGTATACAACGCTCAATCACACACACGTGGACACACTATAAGTCATCGTCCCTTTTACACCTTTTCCAAGCGGTTCTTGTACGTGTTGGACCACACATCTCGGCGAGGCTGGAAGAGACGAGTGAGACCGAAGTAGGGACTGTTGATCGGGCTCTCGCCCGTGTACATGAAGACATCGTACAGAAAGCCACCGAGAAGGGTTCCGAAGAAGGGGGCAACCATGGGGATCTATCCACCGATTTGTTAGTCCCGGGACTTGGCAGATATTTCGCCACACATGGCAGCCGACACGCAACAGCCCCATTACGAGAAACAGAGAGAGAGAAAAAGAAAAAGGAAAAAAAAGGAGGGGCCGAGGCAGGATGACGAAGAATTCTGCTTACCCAGAAATAGTATCCACCGGCGGACCACACCTCATGTCCGTAACCAAGCATGTACGAAACCAGGCGGGGGCCAAAGTCACGAGCCAGGTTAATGGCGTAACCGGTCTCCCAGCCCCAGCAGGCACCGATGCCGAAAATGAGGAAGAAGAGGGCCAGGGGCATGAAGGGCCCGGCTGCTCCGTTGGCGGGGTCGGCGAGCGCGAAGATGACGAACTGGAGAATGCTGGACGCGATAACTTCGGAGAAGAACATGCCCGTTCGGGTCATGAACTCGGCGGGGTATGTGCAGAAGACGCCGGCCGTCGAGTTGGGGCCCCCGACGGTGCGGATGCCAGCGCCGCCCTCGAACGCGTCGAAGGCCTTGATGTAGTTGCCGTACACGATGAGGGCTGCCACCATGGCGCCCAAGAGCTGGCCAATGAAGTAGATGGGGAACTTGCGCCACGGGTGGCCGCGGAATACGCAGTTGGCCAGCGTCACTGCCGGGTTGAGATGTCCGCCAGACTTCTTGCTACAGTAGACTCCGAGCATGACACCCAGTCTAAAATCCAGAGTCAGCCCATGAGTTTCTCTCCTGCTGTCACACTATACCATACGATGAAGTCACGTATGAGGACGGTGCTGCCCGCGTGGACATCTTGAAGGGATTTGCTTCACTTACCCCCAGCCCCAGGAGATACTCTGGTAGTCACCCTTGGTGCTTTTACTCAGAACAACCTGGGCGACGACACCGTCTCCAAAGAGGACGAGGACCATGGTTCCGAAGAACTCGGAGAAGCCATCTTGGAAATATTCACGGATGCGCGCCCAGGCCAGCTGCTCCTCCTCGTGATGAGTTGGGAGCATGCTGCTGACGGCGTGCTCCTCGTGGGTCTCCTCGCCTCCCATTTCGTTCTTGAAACTCGGGATATGCTGCTTGCCAACGTACGACGACTCTGACACCGATTCCGCTGTGTGGACAGTGATGACCATTAGAACCGAACCGAGACAGACTTGGAACGAAAAGGACCGAGAGAGGGCCAAAGGCAGAGAATGCGGATGAAGAGAGACAGAGATGGGTGGGGGGTGAAGGGAGCAGAACGCGGGGTGAAGATGGAAATATGCAACGAGAAATAACATCTCACATCGCAGAACGTGGGGAAGAAAGATCTTCTTATGGTCCCCACGGGCTCATGGTGTTCCCACGGGGCTGGACAACCGTTGCAACCAATCCGCCGGGTCTGGATCTGCTTCATGGGGAAAGTTGAGGGGGGGAGGCATGAGGAGGCATGGACCAGGATTGAGGGCCACTAGGTTCACGCAACTTGGGGGAGAGGGGGCAAGGGGGGATGAGGTGACGGGGGCACCGAGGCATCGCGAATGCAAGTGAAATGTCTTCTTCTTGACGCTTACCCATTTTGGATCGCTTTCGACGTGTCTTGTGCCTAACCTCGTGGCTTAGGTAGGTGGATCTCCTCTCTTTAACCTATTCAGTGCAATGTTCTCCCGGGATTGGTGGTGTGTCCTTGGGAACCTCAACACCCGAGACGGCGGGGGAGGAGTAGGAGGGGGGCGAGATTTGGTTGTCTTTCCAATATCGGATTCCTGGTATGACCGACCGACGACTCGGGATGGAGACGGGGGTGTGGAATTGGTGAAATGAGGCAAGCGTCTCTGTGATACGACTACCGCGAGTCTTCCCGAACGGGGATTCGAGTCCGGGTCTTGCGTAGGGCGATGGATACGGTGATGCAGATGGCGCTCACGAGGTCAATATGTGGTGGGATGATGGAAGAGAGAAGAAAAAGGTTCGAACGATGCAGGTGGGTCGGGCGATGATGGAAAAGTCGCTCAGTGTGATTGTGGTCGAGTGAGAAGGAAGACGAAGAAAGACGGGACGCGAAGGTGGGACGAGGGGATGGATATGATGCAGTTCGGTGGCTCACACCGAAGATGAGGTTGGACGACGGCCGAGACGGAACGAGAGGTACGACGCCCCGGTACCCTACGGGTGATACTGCTACCGGAGGGCGACCGAGACTCTGAAGCAACTCTGTCTGTAGCTTTATTCCTTCGCTCCGTTGGCTTACTCGAACCCCCTTTCTAACTTTTGGACCGGGGTTCGAACAGATACAATGGGCGTGGGCAGCGCGAACGGGCCGGAGAACGTGTAAGGTTGTCAGAGGAGGTAGGTAGAGGTACAGAAACGATGAGGTAGCCTCCACCCGCACCACTAATAAGCAGTAGGCTTTCCTCCAAACACGAATGCAGGATGTGTGTGTGTGTGTGTGTGTGTGTGTGGGTGGGTGGGTGGAGTGGTTGCGACTGCGACTCTCTTGCAGATTCACTTTGGACACCATGCGCATGGGGGGATGGTTACTTCGAGGTAAGCTTCTAGGGCAGTTCTCATAGTAGAAGACGGGTGCGCGGACGAAACAGATGAATATATTTGCGTCAAAAGAGAGGCTGGAGTCGTGGACATGAGGTAACTTTCCGGTGTGTCTGCCTTCCGCGGGAGTGAGAGGAACAAATCCAAGAGGCGAGGGGGAGGGGTGGGATGGATGCTCGTTCTTACGACACATGAGCTTTCGTTATGCAACTTCATTTCTTTTGCAGGCCAATTCGTTCCGTCAGCGTTTTTGCTGTCCCCTCGACGCCACTCTTTGGCTATCGTGAAAGCGAGGAATAATGAACTGCCTGGACAGAACGAACACGGCGCGCGCGCGCGCAAAAGTCTCATGACTCTTTGGTTGCAGGGTATCCGTACGCGTTGGAGAAAGAGCCTACAGCCGAGCCGCAGTGGCAAGCGGCAGCGAAGCAAACCTCTGTAGGTAGTCCGGATAGTGTCCGCGCCTTTCCCCATTCAATGTTGAAATGTAACTCTGAACCTTGACTGATCAGATCGGAAGGTTGCCACTTACATGATGATGCCTCCCTGCACAAACGACCGTCTGGGGAGGGGGCCGGGCCATGGCGCCAAGGGGTCCATCGAGGTGGAGACGCCAAATCTGACAGTGACGGGGCGAGCGGATACACTTCCAGGCAAACGTCATACACACGAGACGGTACGTCCATCATTGGTCGGTGTGAGAGAATGGGAGAGAAACGAATTGTGTGCCCGTAAGGTTGAAACCGTGCCCGAAAACCTTTGCATTCCTTTAGGTCAAGGTTTTGCTGACTGCTCCTCCCGTTGGTGTCAGTGTGTCCTCAACAGACTTTCGGATGGGCAGACAGGACAAGCCCTCGGTCGGAAAACAAAATAGGAGATGCAACTCGAGTCTCGGGGTGGTGTCCGTCAGCAACAAGGTTCTTCTTGGAGAGCATGCAGTCCGCAGTCACGCATGGGTATTACGCAGTGCAGGAAACGGCGAACCCTGGGAAGTCGAGTTCGCAGCCGTTGCTGATCCCGCGATGGAACATTCGCCTCTTTCCCCGCAGTTGGTCACTCGAACCTGGACAAATGAGATGGCAGTCGAGCGGGCGGTTGCAACGTAGCGTGGGGAGGGGGGGGGGGGGGGGTGGCATGTCAGCGGCATGAGAAACGATTTCTCCGTTACTGCCCGTTTTCAAAAAAAGAGAAGAAAAAAGAGACGAAGGGATGGAAAGGATCTGCGCTCGCAACGCATGCATCTACCGGCTGGCAGGTTGGCAAATGGTAGTGTTGTGACGCTGTTGTTGCATATATGTTCCGGCTCGTCAGATCCAAACGTTATTCGTACGTTCGTCCACTGCTTCTAGCGTTGGTATGTGTGTGCGTGTGTGCGTGTCCCCGTACGCCTCAGCATGTATGTGTTGGAACCAAGGTATGTCGGTTTCCGAATTGCTGCTTCTGATTAGATGATTGGTTGGCTGTAATGTTTGTGTACGGCGCAAAATCACACCTCCGCGATTCAGTCCGATTGTACAGCCCCGTCCACTTACAACACAGACTACTTACTGTATGTAGACAGAGAGGGGGAGCAGAAGTTGTGCTCGTTCTCTTTCCAGTTGTGATGCGCCTCCTTCGAATGCACGAAGAGGATTGTAGCCGCAGCATCACCTGCACCAGCTGCAGCAGCAGGGCTAGAAAAAGACGCAGCAGACTAGAAGGCAGGCATCCCACGTACGCATGCATGCGGGGGCGACCGGCGCATCCATCTGTTCTCGGAGCATGGACCTAACCCGGGTGGGCAAAGGCTACGCTAGCCAGCCCATCATCTCCTCGTCCGTACTTGTATCCGTACTCTCCTCTCAACCCCGCTTTCTTCGAAGGAGCCTCGGGTCACCGGTGCCCCTCCCCCCTCTTGACCTGCTCTTAGGATATGTAGGTAAAGACCGGCGTACGGCCGGGCCCACCGTGGCCTTCCGTGGAGCTCGCCGGCAGCAGTAGAGAGTGCGACTTTGGGAATGACATCAAAGTCCATCACTAGGAAGGACGCTACCCCCCCCCTCCTCCCCACCCCTCCACTTGTGCTCGCTGACCACGGCCGACATTGCTCGCCAGTGTCGAATCATTACCGACCGCAACTCGGTGCCTTCGCCCCGAATCTTGTCCTGCTATGTATCCCTCCCGGCTTCTCGCGTGGAAGGATGCGCTCGCCCGTCGGATTTCTTCAACTTCCTCGTGAGCACATGTCGAGGTAACCCACCCCGCTTGACCCGTTCGCATTTCCCCAGTGGCATTGGATCCTGCATCGCATCTGCCCCCATTGACAGACCAGCGGATTTCTTACCAAGGCCCAGTTCCTTGGGCTCATCTCGTGATATCTCCACACGATCTGGGGATGGGGTAGAGGGGGGATATGATGCATGAGAATGAGGGGTTGTGGCTTTTTGTGAAAAGTTGTCGTTCCCCGTGGAGGAAGCTAGCCGCGTGCGCCCTCTGCTTGTTGGAGTCGGAGCGCTGAGCTTGGAGACTGGAGCTGAGCTGAGTGAGTTTCCCCTCTGCGCGGCACCTACAAATATTTTGTCAGCCCGTGAAACTTAGCTCTTCATCGTATGCCCTCCTTACTCTTCTCCCTCTCCATCCCGTTTCGCAAAAGATACCCAAGCCCGTCCCTTCTTGTCTTCCGCGTTGCGCTCCCTTCCCTTGTCGCTGCCGCCATCTTTGAATGCTCTCGTCTCTTCTTCCCCGCCAATTCAAACAAGACCCCCCCCCCCCCCCCCACCATGTCTCTCGCTGCCATGAACGGAGGCTCTGGCTCCAACATCTCCTTCGTGGGAGCCATCGATCAAGGCACCACGAGTACCCGTTTCCTCATCTTCAACCCCCGCGGCGAGGTCATTGCCACTCACCAGATTGAGTTCAAGCAGATCTACCCCAATCCAGGGTAAGTTGCGCCTGTGCTCGCGCGCGCGCCACTTCAACTGGCTCATCAGAGCCGTGCTGTGGTTTCGGAGGCTAATGAGGGTTGCGACAGCTGGCACGAGCACGATCCCGAGGAGCTTGTTTCTTCGGTCGAGAAATGCATTGACGGCGCCGTCCAGGCGTTTGAGACCCAGGGCCACTCCCGCGACCAGATCAAGGCTGTCGGCATCACCAACCAGAGGGAGACCACTGTCCTCTGGGACACAACCACCGGGAAGGCCCTGTACAACGCCATCGTCTGGACCGATACCCGTACCAAGGACCTCGTCCGCCGACTGAAGCAACGCCTCGGTGCCAGCGAGCTCACCCAGCGATGCGGTCTTCCTCTTTCCACATATCCCTCCGTCGGCAAGCTTCTCTGGCTGATCGACAACGTCCCCGAGGTCAAGGATGCCTATGAGCGTGGTGTTCTGGCCTTCGGCACCATTGACACCTGGCTGGTGTACAAGCTCAATGGCGGCACCGCCCGCGATGTCTACGTTTCCGACCCCTCCAATGCTGCCCGTACCATGTTCATGAATATCCATACTCTCCAGTACGACGAGGACCTCATCGATTGGTTCAGAATCGACCCCAAAAAGGTCAAGTTCGCCAAGATCGTCCGCTCTTCGGACCCCCAGGCCTACGGTTCCTTGCATAACACATTGCTGAGCGGCACCAAGATCACGGGCTGCTTGGGTGACCAGTCCGCCGCCCTGGTCGGGCAGAAAGGTTTCACTGCTGGCCTTGCCAAGAACACCTATGGCACCGGTTGCTTCCTGCTCTACAACATTGGTCCCAAGCCCGTCATCTCTTCTCACGGCCTCTTGACCACCGTCGCTTTCGACTTTGGCCCTGGCAAGACCATGTATGCCCTCGAGGGCAGCATTGCTGTTGCGGGCTCCAGCGTCAAGTTTCTTGTTGACAACTTGGGTTTCATGGAGTCGTCCTCCAAGCTGAGCGCGCTCGCCGAGACTGTCGAGGACAACGGCGGATGCACCTTCGTCACTGCATTCAGCGGCCTGTTTGCCCCGTACTGGATCGATGATGCCCGCGGTACCATTTTCGGCATCACTGCCTACACTCAACGCGGTCACATTGCGCGTGCTACTCTCGAAGCCACTTGCTTTCAGACCAAGGCCATCCTGGATTCCATGGAGAAGGATAGCGGTGCAGCTCTGACCGAGCTCGCCGTCGACGGCGGCATGTGCAACTCCGATCTTGTCATGCAGGTAAGTGTTTACAGAAGGACCCCTCCCCCCGCAGCAGGACCTTATGCGAATCTCGGGAGGAGAAAACAGGCTGACCCATGTAACAGACCCAGTCCGACATCATTGGCATCCCTGTTAACCGCCCAGGCATGCGCGAGACCACGGCCCTTGGCGCGGCCATTGCAGCAGGCTTTGCTGTGGGGGTGTGGAAGAGCTTTGACGAGCTGAAGGACGTCAATCTCGAGGGCCGCACCATCTTCAAGCCCGCCATCTCTAACGAGGAGGCTTCCGAGCGGTTCGGCCGCTGGGAGAAAGCCGTCCAGATGAGCAAGGGTTGGTCGAGCTAAAAGATCTCTTCAGAGGCTCTGCTTTTCACGCTATGACGTTTTCCTGTTCCTTTCCGATTTTGTTTTCTCTTTCGATATACCACATTCTGTTGTCTGGGAGGTCCAATCACGATGGCGTGTGTGCATGCACTTTTCGGCGTCCTGTGGAAAAAAACCCGTTTTGTATCATAAGTAGGATGACGGTACGACGAATTTTCATCTCGGCCAGACTTTGCGCGCGTGTGTGTGTGCAGGATGCTGCTTCACCTTTGCCTGTCAACTCCGTCGCCAGCTACAGGGAAAGGCGCAGTAGGTTGTATCTCTGTGTCTTGATACCCCCTCCACGAGCGTATGCGATCGGACTTGTCTCCACATCTCCATGCGTCCTGCTCGTACGACCAATAAGTCGTAAGCAGGACCACGAGGAATTGCAAATAACTTACTTCGTCGGAACCAGCCAGTGGTTGGATGGACCCAGAACCTGCGGAGAAGGTATCGTCGAAGCGACTGCCGTGCCCCCCTCCCGTACTCCCCCGCACCTTTTGACAGGTTCATCGCCGAAAGGATGATGCTGGTAGGAGTTCAGTATATAAGGTGACAGGCGCGACAGGAGGACAGCAATGAGCGGGGTGAGTTCGGATCGGCCGGGGTACTGCATTCTTTGCCAAATAGAGGTGGCTTTGCCGACCAGTAACATATTTGGAGATGAGGTGAGGGGAAGAGAGGCGGCGCGGTTCCTGCATGTTCTGTTATAGCCATGTAATAACAGCACCGTTGGTCCCCTGTGGTGTCTGGGCGTCGGAAATGGCTTTCATTCTCGCAACTGCTCCTAATGCGCCCCAATAGTTCATCATTGGACGTAACAGTCTTCCTCTATCCTTTTTGTCTGTCCCATGGCGGTGATTGTACCCGGGGTTTCCGGAGAACGAGAGCGCTGGGGCTCGGGTGGTTGGTGCGCTGTGAGCGAGTCTTTTGATCATGCCTTTCCCTCGTCTTCCGTAGCGAGAGAGTGGATGTAGCTCAGCCTGACAGAAGTTGGCAGTGTTTGAGTAGTTATGTCGCTGCCCAGAGAAGATCCGACTCTTTTACTGTGGAGGATAGTGGGTCGATGATTGGATCTTGTTCATCCTTGTTCGCATTCTTCTGGCGGGCTTTTGTGTGTCGGGCGAGAACCCCGACGAGCCCCGCGGCTCGTTTTGCTGACAAAGTCGCTTATCGCGGGCTTGAGTCGCCGAACTTTCCCCTACCCCTACCATAGCCGACCAGCAATTTTGCCTCTCGCTGAAGACTCGGTGCTCGTTTCCCACTCTCTCCACTGCTCGACTTGCAGGCTGCAGCTCTGCAGGCTGGCGCACACACCCACACAAGACGATATTGACTGACATAAACCCGGCGACGGATTAGCAGGGCAGACTGACAGTCGGCCGCTCACGGTAGATTCCCCTTCTGCTGCAGCCAACCAACGCTGACAAGGCCGGGTAGATATAACCCATGCGCCGCCTCCAGGTGCTGTGGCGTAACCATTCTCTGCAGCATCCTGGCTCTAACCAGCTGAGGCGACTGACTTACTTGTCTGCCCGTCTGCCGTCAGCTACTTGTTGCTGCTACTGCTGCTGTTGCTGCTGCATGCCCGCCTACTCGTGAAATGACCACTCTCTGACATCAAACTCGGCCAAGCTCTTCAAGGCTCCATCCAAAAGTGTCCTGATGAGAGCAACGCCATCGCAGTCTGTCAAGTAAAAAGGGGAAATGTGGAGTTCCCACGACAATGGGACAAACATGCCGGACACGAATGCACGTTCGCAACAAATGGCCGAGGAGGAAGCGAACTCGGTAATCAGTCACGACGAGGGCTCAAGTGGTGATGACACGACCAACAACGGCTCGGGTGGCCCCCCGAGGAAGCGCAAACGAGAAAAGCACCAAAAGACGTCGTACGTTGCTTGCCGCCGATATGGTGACACCCCGGATATGATGAACCCACGTCAGCTGACTGCTTTCCAGATGCGAGCTGTGCAAAGCAAGGAAGGTGAAGTGTGATCGTGCAGAGCCTGCATGCTCATGGTGTGCCCGACACAACCGGACTTGCGTCTACCTGGAAAGACAGAAACCCGGGAGTCGCATCGGCTTCAGTCTCGAACTTGAAGCCAAGGTCAACAGGCTCGATGCTCTTCTACAGGCCCTTGGCCGTCGGGTGGAAGAGCACATATCCAACGACCACGCCGCCGCTCCTCCTGGTCTCTCGCCAGCCATCAGCAGCCAGGCGCCCTCGCAAGTCGAGGGATCACATCAGGATACCAATGGTGTCAGCCCAGGCCCGGTTCTTCCTGGACCAACGCCCACGTCGAACGACAGAACGCCAGCCTTCCCGGGCCCTTTCTGGCAGGGCGGTGATGCGCAGGGAGCTCTCCAGAATGGTGATCGAACCTCGGTCCAGGCTCTCCTGAATCTCTCAGCAGGCGAATCTTTCAATCAAACGGGGGCATCACTCAGCGTGGCCGGGCCTCGAAAAGATGCATCGTCTGTTCCGACCGTGTCCGAATTCCCATCACACGACTTGTTGTACACGCTTGTCGACCTGTACTTCAAGCATTGCAACACGTGGTGTCCCATTCTTGACCGCAAGACAACCTTCGGCGCCTTCTTCGGTTCGACATCCCTCAACGAGGCCGATCGGGTTCTCTTGCACGCCATAGTTGCAACTACCCTGAGGTTCCTGAAAGACCCGCGATTGTCGCCCGAGATGTGCTCCCACTACCACGCACTATCGAAACACCGGGTGCAGATATACGCCATGGAGAACGTCAGCATTGCGGCGCTGAGGGCTTTGGTTATCCTCTGCCTCGATGAGCTGGGAACCTCCAACGGGCCCCGTGGCTGGAACATGCTCGCGCTCCTCGCCCAAAACGTGAGACAGCTGGAACTCTGTGAGGAGAGCAGCGTGTACCTCACAGCCGAAGTCGAGGATACACCAAACACCGGCTCGATCCGCCGTGTTGTTATGGGCCGACCCGAATCGTGGATCGAAGACGAGGGCCGCCGTCGGCTTTGCTGGATGGTTTACCTCCTCGATCGATATGCAACGATTGCAACAACCACATTTGACTTCATGCTCGACGACAAAAAGATGAAGCGCGGCCTGCCTTGCTCGTACGACCTGTTTTCTCGAAACGTTCCCGTCGAAACGAGGTCATGGAGCCCGTCGTCCGACCAGATGGGTAGTCCAGAAATAGAAATAAACAAACCCGAAAACCTCGGCAGTTTTTCGTATCATTGCGAGATCCTGCGAATCCTCAGTAAAGTCCACGACTTTCTCAAGACACCCATCAACGTAACGTCATCGGCCGACATGGCTGTCTGGCGCAACACATACAGATCGCTGGACAGTGCGCTCGACAGTTGGCTGCAGAGCTTGCCGAGCGAGTATAGCAGAATATCGGCCCTGTGCCATTCCGATCCAGCAAGCCGCGTCGCCAACTGGTTTATGCTGCATAGCGCCTATGTCACGTCGGTCGTGCGTCTGCATTCCTCTGCTGCGTACCCTACCGTGAGGTCGCACATCTTTGTCCCATCGCACTATGCGATGCAAAGGTGCTTATCTGCCGTGCAAAGTCTGGGCGATATCGCGCAAGACGTCTTCGAGGCGAACGGTCTTGATCTGTTGGGGCCTCCGTTTGCATTTTCCCTGTGGGTGGCCGCGAGATTACTGCTCATCCACGCTGCAACCGTCGGTTGCCCTGTTGATCCAAAGATTGATTTTTTCATCGAAACGCTGCGTCATGTCGGGCAGTATTGGGAGGTAGCGAACAACTATGCCAAGATCCTCGCTCGGGTGGTACAACGGGGCCGTCAAGGCGACATGAGCTTCGCCGCCATGAGAAAGTGAGTATTTCGAGTCTCTCACCCGGTCCCCGCTCTTCGCTAATAGTATGTCTCCCAGGAGCGCCCACGATTTGGTCACATTGACATCCGCCACTCGACGGTCCGGATTGGAGCCGACGTCGACTCAGGTAACATCATTGAGCGAACTGGACAATATTGACGTCTTCGAGTTTTTCAACTACCCCAAAATGTCGGAGCCGACAAGAGTAGCAAATGGCCATACGAATCTGCTGCAGCCGCAGGCCATGAGCGGACTGGGCGGCGATTCCATGAGGACTACAGGGCTACCAGATCCAGAGTCGGACTGGCTTGGCTTCAATACTCCCTTCAACTGAGACGGCTATGGCGTGGTTGTGTTTTCCATTGTTTTCCCCTCACGGGCCGCCTGTTTCCGAATTTAGACGTAAAAGCATATCGAGAGCAAGGCTAGCGCCAGGGCGTCTTGAGTCTTGCTGGAATCTTGCCGAGGCGTTCGTGGGGCATTGTACCTGTATGTACCTGATTGATGGATCTCGTGTGGCTTCGCGATACAGCTGCAAGGAAACCGCGACGACGGCCCAATTTAATTCGCTGATCCCCGCACAAGCTGACGAGCGGCGCCCCACTGTGACTGGCCGAGCCACCTTTCAGAATGTCCGTGTCCGATGACGTTGAAACGCTATTCTTGGTCATCCTTCATCAACTTCCGCCTTATTTATTCTTGCAACACTGACGGACGTGTCGATTCGTGTATCCGACCTGGATAGCTTTTGTCAGCTTCTTTCTCATAGATCCTTTGAATGAAATCATGGCGCCAAACCAAGGCCTTGTGCACCTCAAGGAGTACGATATCAAGGATAGTAATGTCGAACTCATCGGCACGGACATCGACCACCAGGTGAAGTACAAGTCTGCGGCTACCGAGCCGGCTTGGAACGATGGGGGAATCGGCCAGTCGACAGGACTACACGTCTGGCGTATCGAGGACTTTGAGGTCAAGCCGTGGCCGAAGGAGAAGTACGGCCAGTTCATGGACGGCGACAGCTATATCGTGCTCCACTCGTACAAGGTCGGCAGTAAGGACGGAACTGAGAAGCTAGGCCACGACATCTTCTTCTGGCTTGGGGCCCACACTTCGCAGGACGAGGCCGGCACGGCTGCTTATAAGACAGTAGAGCTCGATGAGTTCCTGCACGGAGCTGCGACACAGCATCGTGAGCTGCAGTCGGCGCCATCCGACGAGTTTCTGGGACTGTTCCCTCGCATCTCAATTCGGTCGGGTGGCGTCAGATCCGGATTCCGGCATGTCGAGGACGGGGGGCCCAAGGAGGAGATCCTTACCCTTTTGCGCATTTTCAAGAACCCGTCCGTGGGCGCCAACGGAGTGGTGGTGCACGAGGTGGAGCCGACGTGGCAGAGTTTGGATGAGAGCGACGTCTTTGTGCTGGACACGGGCGACAAGATCTGGCAGTGGCAGGGCAAGAGCTGCAGCCCGATGGAGAAAGCCAAGGCGGCGCAAGTGGTCAACGACATGACCCTGGCTAAGCACACCGACGTCGAGGTTCTGGCGCAGGAAGAGTCGCGATCCCGTGTCATCGTCAAGCTCCTCGGAGGCGACGACGATACGCCGCAGTCCGGGTTCCAGTGCCCCAGACCGGTCCGGTCAGCGTCCAAGGTGCACGCTGGCGAAAGGCCGCAGAAGCTCTTCCGGCTCAGCGATGCTTCGGGCGAGCTCAAGTTCGACATAGTCAAGGAGGGCAGTCAGGCGGCGCTTTCGGACTTCAACGGACAGGACGTGTTCTTGCTGGATGATGGAGGACGGGCCGTCTGGGTGTGGGAAGGACAGGACGCCAGCAGGGGAGAGAAGGCGAACTGGCTCAGAGTTGCGCAGGCGTATATTCGGCAGCTTCAAGGAGGTTCGGAGGCCAAAGAGGCCCATCTCACACCGCTGGCCAAGGTGACGCAGGGCAACGAGAGCCGGGCGTTCCTGAAGGCGGTGCAAGTATAAGGCGGATAGGCTAGACGGCGGCAATACGAGGCCACGCTTTGTAATCAGTCTAAGCCCGCGTGCTTGTTGGCGATGCTTTTGATATAGAAATAGTGCTGATTTTCTTCACATCGGTGGGCGAGTTGTGATGGCGAGAGGCGAAGTGCGGTCGTTCGGCCGTGATTGCCGTCATGGTTGCTGCTGTGTCACCGCAGACTTTCAACATGGGCAATCTTTGTTTGGGCGGATGATTGTGGCCCAAAGACGGATGGCACGTAACTGGTGCCAAGGAGATACGTGATGGGGTATCTAGGAAAAGACGTCAGCGTTGTCGTCTTGCTGTTGTTGGAACATGAGGGACGTTCCGAAAGGCGAGAGGAAAGCGCCGGTAAGATGAGCCTTACCTCACCGCACCTTCTTCCGAGTATGGCATGTGCTTGCCTGGGGAGGTATGTACCTAGTCAGGCGAGTAGGCAGACAGTAAGGCAAGATAAGTGGAAGGAATCGGGGGTGGGTGGTACATCCCCAACCGGACCGGGGAAAGTGCCGCACTAAACAACCTTTTGTGGGCAAGAACCGCCTCGGAATTGGCCACTGGCACCGTGACCCCAACACGATGCTCCTTGCTCACTCTAGACCCAAGTCTGGCTGTGGACTCTGGAGGCAACCGGCAGTTGTCCAGCACATTCTTTCACTCATTGCCTTGGCAGGTTATTAGCCACAGACAGCCAAGTGGGAATCTCATCGGCTAGACATTCCTGTCCATAGTAAGAAGCCTGCGTTACTAGAAGAAACACCGACTACCTATGGCTTTGGGATGCCATGTGACTCAGGGTAAGGTACCCGCAATATCATCACGGGAATGAATGGTCACGAGCGAACAATGCCAGCAATGCCAACAGGAAGTTTCATTTGGATATTCAACCATGCGAGTTACTGTTGTCCATAGACAAGTGCAGATTCCTCTTGCCGTTACAAAGCCTGCCTCGAAACAAAAGGCGCAAATGCAAACGTGATTCTCGTCTTTTTCCCCTTTCCTTCGAACGCCGTTCCCGTACCAAGCACCGACTCCTTACGCAGAGTCTCAAACAAGAACCTCCAAATAATTCACCCAAATGTGGCTACTTACCAGATGGCTAGGAAGAGCGGAAGAACCCCATCGCCATCACATCCAGCTCGCTGACGGCCGAGGCCAGAATACCCCCAAGTGCTTTTTCAGAGGTATTCGATAGCCCCGCCAAGCTCCTCTGCACGCCGCCGTTGAGGCGTCGTCGAGGCTAGTTGCCATAAAACTGATGCAGTAATCTCTCCGTCTTCGCCTCGACTCTCGCTTTGCCTTGTTCTTCGCTAGTGGTAATGTCGGCGTTGTTGAAAGAAGCTAGATACGCGCTCGGTTCATCGGATGGGAGCTGGCTGGTGTACTTGGAGCTTCTCCTCTTCGCGATTTTCTTCTTCGACTCATGAGAAGAGTACTTGTGCGGCGGGTTCGGTCCCGTATGGCTGTGTCCGGTCTGGTTAGCACACCACAGCATCGTCTGCTCCGTGCCTTTGACCATGGGAGGCGGGGAGCATGTACCCCTTGTAAACAGATTCCTCGGAATGCGCGCCCATGATCCCAATGATATTCTAGGCAGAAACGGTGAGATGCCTTGAATCGGTGCTTTGGCAAGGCACAGAGCTGGATCTCGATCACGAGTAGATTTTCGTAAGATGGGAAAGTGGTGATAGCCCGTGATGTAGACGCGAGCTTCCTCAGGATCTCAGGTCTTTCCCCTCGTTTTCGATTTTATACAGTTCCCCATGGCGGGAATGCGAACCACTTCCTCACACACCAGACCGGAGTCTAGGCTTGAACCAAGTGCGAAATCAAACCCCTGTCAAGATAGTGCGGAGCAGAAAACATTAGATGTTGAAGCGATGCACCGGCCAATGAACCTGGCGAGCAGTTGTTGAATAGCCAAGGTAACTCGACGCCTTCCTCTCAATTCAACGCCCGCAGCGTATGCAAGTCGAGAGGCGCCCGAGCTACTGTATCTGTGATTAGAGGTGTTGTTTGTGTGGGGAATCTGCGGCGTCGCCAATTAGTTGCGAGCTGTTGATACAACCCCCGCAGGGGCTCCGGTTAGCATCACGGAGGGTGTGCTTCACGCTCTACCCTACCCGCTGGGTCATCAGGGCGGATGCATTTATCCATGACAGCTGCTAGCTGAATAGGTGAGAGTATGGGGTAGAAGGGCTGGCCCATTAAGGACGCAATCCAGATGTTGATTCGGACCAAGTCAGCACTAACACTTGTAAGGCTCATGCCCGGCGATGGTCCACGCAGTTGTCGGTCAAGAACCGCGTTGACTCTGTTAGGATTGTTGACCTTTCGACATTCATCTCCGTAGAACCCTCGAAAAGATGACAACTTTGACATCTTCCAGTATGTTGGGACAGCGAAGTCGAAAGGCATCTTGCCGACATGACGGGATCCAGAGTCGGCATTCGCCTGGGTGCCCGAACTTGACGAATCATGATATAGCTGGGGGAGCCAGAGCGTCACCCGGGTCGAGACTCCCATCAGTCCCGGCAGAAACTGTCGTTGTGAAGCCCTCATAAGCCTCTAGGCCATGTAGGAGATTAGCGCAGCAAATTATACTAAACAGCGTGACTGAAGCCGAGCCTGACTTGACTTCAAGTCCATCCCCTCGTACCCCTGGCGTGGGGAATGGAAACGCGGGCACCTTGCCCAGGTCCTTCAGTCAATGAAGCGCGGTGGCGAGAGCAAGGATTCGGTGATAGGCAGCTTCGGTGTGAAGCTGCTCGGCGCCCTCCGACCAACTGTGGCCAGGCGAAGCGGCGACAGACGACAAAAGGGGATTGGCCAAATCCTCCGGCTGTTCTTTCGATGAAATGGAAGTCGAAAAAGCTCAAGACAGAATCTGCATGTGACGCCATGAATCTGGTGTCGGTTTCGCGATAACAACGGGCGTTGGCGTTGTTGACGTGGTCCAATCAAGGACCTGGGCAATGTCGGGGGGGGGGGCGGTGGGTGGCGCTCCTGCCTTATGCAGAGTGACGCGGTGTGAAGCCTCCCCGCCTCACTTTCCCGCTTCACTTTCGCCTCGGGGTCTGCCTCGTGATGCCTCATTCTGCCTGCTGTTTAGGCATCAATGGTCCGCCAGAGCCCAAAGCCTGACGAGGCATCTGAGTTGCCTCAATGGTTCGCACGCTGGTCAGCCTGGACCCGAGGAGTCCATGGCAACACATGTGACCAGTTGTTGCCAGCTGGAAGTCAAGCCGTCTCGTCAACGACTGATAGTACCTGTGAGGCGAGAAAGGAGTCATCAAGCAGGACTCTGGACTGAAGTCTTGGTTGAAGTATCGATGGGGGTTGGTGGTGCAGTGAGAAGGTATGGAAAAAGGTGAGGACAGGATATACTTATATGTCTGTCGTGTTGGCCTCTGCAATTCATAGGGAGATGTCTATGACGGGTTGGAGAATTGGGGGCCGAAACACCCTTAGGTGTATAGAAAGTTAAGAAAAATGAAGGGAACCACCAGCATTTTATACGTGAATTTACTCAGTAGGAGGTTAATAGGGCTGGTTAATAGGGCTGCAAGGAATTCCCGACTTCAATGACGGAACGTACTACAGATAAGGCGCATCCGCGCATCCCCACAGCCACAGCCACCAAACAGCCGTCGAAAGAACCTGTCACAGGGGTGTTTAGCGCAGAACGGATGCATGCATGCAAGGGTGTGACTCAAATCTCAAATTCAACACTCTCGGCTTTGGTACCAAGACGTGGCTCTTGAAGGTACGCAGTCGCCAACCTGTTTCGAGTCCGCCCTTCTTTCTCTCTTATCATCTGATCATCCAACGCTCGAGAACTGTCCGTCTACTTCCTCCTGTTATCGACCCAGTGACACTGCAGCCTATTCGATCCTTGCTGTATATAACTCCAATAGGTAAACCGAGAGACTGGCGACACTGGAGTGCGCCAAGGAGTTTGGCTGGGCTCTCCGGTATTAGAGAGCTCCGGGGGGACGGACGGATCAGCAGAGCCGGCGAGCCGCATTGCGTGGAGGGAGCCATTCGCACTCACCCTTGGCCTTCTGGCCTCCAGCGCTGTCAGCACTAATGCGGCACCCCCCCTTGCAGTCTGACACACCTCCCAACTTCAAGATTGGCAACGGTCAGGTCATCAAGGGATGGGAGCAGGCTCTGTCGGACATGTGCATTGGCGAGAAGAGAACCTTGAACCCCGCCCCGGAGCTTGGATACGGGTCACGCGGCATGGGAATTATCCCTTTCAGCTCGCGTCAGGGTACACGTCCGACGTGGATTGGGCCACCATCAGCATCTGGTGTCGGGTGGCTGCGGAGATACCGGTATCTCAAGCTAGGCAGTCGGGAAGAAGGCGAAAGCAACAAGACTATTCATGCAGAGCGATACAAGGCGTTTGACTATTTACGCTCACTTCATGCGAGGGCACAGTGGAATATGAATTAATCTTGTATGTATAAAATTATGTGTGCAGCAAACTACAAATTTCCGCGAGGCGTCGCACCGAAAAAGCCTCCGACCCGTACCATATGAAAAAGAAAGGAAAGTCTAGATGTGGTCTGGAAGCAAGTCTATCTTCCATGAGGAGATTTGGTATATCGTGTCGTTAAATCGTCAAACAGAAAGAAAAGCACACAAAGTAAGCTGTGGTCAATCTCAAGCCTGGGGCGCCATGGTGCGCTTGGGCATCTCCATATCAACCCGGCGGAAGCGCATACCGCGCTGCTTTTTCGTCGTGGTAGCGGTAGTTGATGTCTTCTTCTTGTCGTCGTCCGACTTGCTCGTCGTGGAAGGCTTGGCAGTGATGGTCGGGCTGACAGAAGTGGATGCAGACGTGGTGCTGACAATCAGCGTTGAGGCTGTCGAGTTCGTAGACGGTGCGTTAGTCTTGGTGGCCCAGTAGGCGTCCAGCCTGCTCTCGACCTCTTCGACATTGTTGTAAGGCTGGAACTTGGCCATGTACTCGATGCGTGACTTGACCGCGTTGAAGGCGTAGGCAGCGGGATCCTCCGTCTTGGCTTGCCACTCGGTCTCCATGGGATCCGCGAACTGCGTCTCGTCGTATCCCAGGTCCGTGAGGACAGACACGTTGAAGGCAGCCATCATCTCATGGTCTTCGTGGATCAGGTTGTGACAGTGGAACATGTACACGCCGGGCCAGGGAGCGTAGTGCGCCTCAACGGTGACGGTCTCCCCCGGGCCAAGCCAGACGACGTCCTTGAGGCCCTGGGACTCGTACGGGAACACGACGTTGCTGCGGCCGTTTACGCGCTTGACGACGCGGAAGTCGACGAGGTGGATGTGGATCGGGTGGCTCCAGCCGCCCGAGCTGTTCTCGAGCTCCCAGACCTCGATGGTGCCACGCTTCGGCCTGGCGAGCACGCGGTTATTGACGTCGGCAAAGGTGACACCGTTGATGCGCCAGGAGCTGCCTTGGCGCTCGAAGCGAAAGTGCTGGTCGATTCCTGCCTTGTCCTTAGGGAAGGGCACCGTGCGGAGGGCCGAGGGGACTGTCGCCGTGTCGCTGACTGTGGTATCGCCGACAATGAAGCGCATGACCTTGTCGGTGTGGAGGTAATCAATATCTGCGGCGAAACTTCTGGTATTGCGCATGGTAATGTTCTGGCCCTTGAAAGAAGAGAAGTCGACGACGATCTCGTAACGTTCGGCCATGGAGATGTAGAGCTCCGTCACACTCTGAGGACCTGTGAGGAGGCCGGTGTCGGAGGAGATGACATCAAAGCGAACTCTGTTCTGCTGAAGATCCTCCAAGTAAAGGAAGAAAGTACGGGAAATTGAGGCATCGAGGAGACGGAAGCGGTACTTGCGCGGCTCGACCTTGAGGTAGGGCCATGGCTGTCCGTTGACGTGGATAACATCTCCGTAGAGACTGGTTTGCTCGTTGGCGGGGGAGTACAAAGAGCCATCCGGGTTATATTGCTTCGCAGACAGGATAAGGGGGGTGTCATAGACTCCATAGCCTGATGGGAGGCCGAGAGTATCCTCATTGGAGTCGTGAAGTATGTAAGCACCAGCTTGGCCGAAATAGGCGTTCTCGGCGGTGTGGTCGATGGCGTGGTCGTGATACCAGAGGGTGCGCGCATTCTGGTTATTGGGGTAGTAGTAGTCCTTGTACCTCCCAGGAGCAGTGATGTCTTCAGCCCAGCCGTCCCACGGGGTGCGCTGTGCGGTTCTGTCAGCGGATGATATCAAGTCGGGCAGATGGGAAATGCTCACGGAAGGCGAGCCGTGAAGATGAACGGAGTTTGCCAAGTTGGCGTGGTTGGTGAAGCGGACAACTGCCTCCTCGCCACGTTCCATTAGGAACGTTGGCCCTGGCGAGATACCATCGTAGCCGACCAACTTGGCAGGTCCGAGGTTAGGGTAAACCTGAGCGGCGAACTCCTTGATTTCAATCTCGTAGTATCTAATCTTCTTTCCCGTCACGGGGTTCATGATCGGTTGGTCGGGGCTGCGGTAACGTGTTAGCTGTTGAGCACATCCAGGCAGGTTGGTGTAGGTAATCAAAGGTGTCTGACGTACAATTTCTCCGTCTTTGGAGGGGGAATGGGAAGAGGGAACTCGTAAAGCCACTTGTACTCGGGGCTCTCCCAATCTTTGGCAAGAGTGCCCGAGACAAGAGCGAGGACTACGGCCAGAGACTGGCGAAAGGTAAGGGTGAAAACCATTTTGGGAAGGGAGGAAGGGTAAAACGCAAGGACCGATGCCAGGGAAAGCTCCGAGGTGACGGGTGATGGCCAAGACGGGTGGCGACGCCTTCGCGACTGGGAGGTTTGGAAGTGGATAGAGTGCGATGAGACTGATCACCAACCTTCCTTCCCAGATGGCGAGAACGAGGAAGACTATTTAAGGAAGATTTGATAATTTGATCCTTGACCAGTCCAAATCACCATTCCCGTCGACCCATGATGCGAGACGCCGCGATCCAGGCCAACTCGGCTGGGTCCACGTCGGGCACTAGATAGAAAAAGCCACAACGACAGCAATAGTACTGGAGTGGTTTGGACCAAGATCGGGCAGATGCCTAGCCCGTGCAAGCCAGAAAACTCGTGGGCATGGCCTGCTCATCACATCATCGGCAAAGCGTTGAGATGTGGCGAGGCATCGAGGCAGATACTGCGAGCGCCATGGCGGGCTAATAGTACTCCCGTTTGGACCTCGATGTTCAACGGCGGTAACGCTGAGTCGCTGTCCTTGTCGTGGTCTCGGAGGCATTCGTATCAGCCCTGAGTAAAGAAAGACGGATACGAAGGACGCGATAGATGCAAGCCTGTATGTAGTCCGTGAACGGGAGGATGCAGAGCAGGGGTGGAGTCTGGAACATTGAATGACAACCAGGACCCCGGTTCGACAGCCCCACAAAACTGGCTCAGCTGGATGGGTGTCCTGATGGGCAATACGGGAAGGCCATTGAATGCAGACCTCGTGGGTGAAAGACGCAGAAAGTTGACTAGCGTACGGCTCTGCCAATCGTTCCAACCTAAAATTTTGCAAGTCAACGCGCGGTCTGCTCTTGGAGCAGTGGGGATGGCCGGCCGACATGAACAAATGCTACAGTCACGTAGCTCGCCATCCGACATGCGGAAGACAAGACGTGTTTGCCAGCCGGATACAATGTTCAGCCTCAAGGGCGAAGAAGGCGTTGTCGGCAGGCTGGGATTTGGCGCTAAGAGGCGACCAGATAAAGAAATCCACATGTGCAGCAGCTCCACGGGTCTGGGCTCCTTGTTCTTCAGGCCGTTGCGGGCGAGTTTAGCGTCGGACCCTTTGACAATGCGGGATTCCAATAGTGTTGGACTAGGAAATTTGAAACTGGCCAGTGAAGAGTCCATACATACATACATACTACCACTAATGATGGCCATACAAAGTTATTATTGGATCATGGGCCAGCGGACTCGAGTAGCGCACCAGTTCTGAGGGTTGTCGATGTGCATCAATTGGAAGGCCGCCAGGAAAGCTTGCGAGCTGGGGCTGAGGGGCTGAGATGCAAGATTCCCCCGGGATCTGGGTCAGCCTGGTAGGTGGTAGTGTACTATACCACGACCACTCAGAGGGAGGGGGATCATCGATGATTGCGGAGTTCATAGGGCCGGGCCGCGTGACAGGGATGTTGCTTCGGCGCCAATAGTGTCCATATGGCGTGAAGAGAAATGCATATGATCCGATGCTTTTTGCGATGAGGCGGTGGGCATGTCGCCGACAGAGCGGGAATTATTGGCGGTCCTGTTGTTAGGTTCTTTGCTTCTTTACCAGAAGAACGGGAACCCCCCCGGCAAAGTGAAAAAAGAAGAGGCAACGACTCGTAGATGGCTTCCGACGACGGCTCGACGGGGTCCGTTCGACCTTGACGGTATTCCTTCGCGGCAGATGATTGATAGCCACATCCTGTCTAGTTCGTGCCGGCCTCGTGCAGATCATGACAAGCACACTTCGCCCCGGACTTTTCAGAGGTGACAAGATGGCTGGCGTCTAGTCGCAGAAGCAACTGGGCGAAGGCCGGTCAGAAGGGCCAGACAAGACCCCGCAGCCGTAATGCGGGAGCCAGCCAGCAAGCCGGGCGTGTTAACAAACAAGGGCGCAAGTTCAGCAGACTATCTTGCGCCACTTTCACAGGGAATGGGTGTTGATGTTGCTACATATCGTGGACATGAGAGAATAACGTGGCTCTCCGGCCGAAGCTTGCGAACCAGGGTGTCTCAACATCGGACGAACATCATAAAGTTCCGGCAATGAAACTCTCATGGGGACTCGAGACAGCAGCCCAGCGGAAGCAGCAGGGCAAAGTCAGGGGTAGTAGGTCAAATGACAGAAACTGTGGAGGAGAGAAAGATCGCCGGAATTGGAAAAGAGATGTGGGACAAAATCAATGCGTGAGACGCGAAGTGGAAGGAGGAAACTGGGGAATGTGCGCGCACGCTGTTTCCTGATCGGCGCTATACCGAGGTAGGAAGGCACCGACCGCTAGGTGCCTACCGGTACGTACACTAACTAGGTGCTTCAGGGCTAAAGGCGCTAGTCTCGCTTAATGTCTCTTGGCGCCCCTGTCCCAGCGAGGATCCTCACTCGACACTGACGGGAAGCTTAATCTTCAGCGGGGGAGTAGTCACCTAATCTTATTTTCACCCGTCATCTACGGATACCTACCACTGAATTGTGCCATCCTTCTACTACCGATGCTGTAGCTGAATCGTTGAACCAAACGCCCGCCACACACCGGCAAGTCCCACCCCTCAGCGCTTTGTGCTCTCTCCATCGCATAGCCTCTCCCTCCTCGCAGTCTTCTTCGTGAGTCGGACCCGAGCTGTCGGAACATGGAAGGCCATCGTACGATACCACACGAACGGTGCCTTGTGTCCAAACGGCCCACCTTCGAGTCCGAACCGGTGAACGTCGCTGCGTCTCTGCTCCTCCAACAACGCTCCTCGCTTGACTCCAGGCATTGAGTGCATCAAGCGCGCATGATGCTGACCTTGTTATTTAACAACCCTCGCTCCGTCTTCTGTCCCATCCTGTGACTTTATCAGCTCTTCAGCCGCGCTCCTCATCCAGACCAGGGATTGTCCTCATCTCCACACGTTACGGTGTGGCGAATGCGGACATATTGCTTAAAATATTGGCCTCTGCTGGGGCGGTGCCCTTGCTCGCTAGTGCATTGACTGGCATACGTCGAGCCAGATCGTCGGTACTCCAAGCTTTACGGCCTAGCCGAGTGAGTGACCCTGGCTTCGCTGAATGCTGCATTGCTTCACTTGCATATCAGCTGCGCAAGCAAAAATCGCTAGTCCGTGTTCTCGAACTGTCTTTTTTTTCTCTTGCTCGACCTACAACGTCCAACCTCTTCATCGCTGACGCCTTCCCACTTGTCTTCCCCGCCTCCTCAGGAGCCGTTTGTCGAGGCGTGTTCCTCCACCAAGCCACGACTTGGAACCCTTCGTGCCTAAGTTGGTTCTGCAAAGCACTTCGGTTCCTGCAATTTCTTCCTAACACCTTAGGTGCACTGTAGCCGCAGCACGGGAACACGATGTCTGCTCTTTCTCCAGCAAGTCTAAATAAGACCTAACGTTCATCACGATAATCTGACTCGAGACCCATTCTCCATCACTCTCACCATTCATGAACACTTCTACACAAACACACACACACACACACAGAATTTGGTTTGCTCCACACGCATATTCAAACTATGTTTTCAGCAAAGTCGTTCTTCTATGCGGCGCTCGGCGCAGCAGTCTCACTCTCTGGGGTCCAAGCACAAGTGGCTGACTACCCTTTTGACATTAACGGTGCTTTCGAAGGGTGAGCATCCAATCTTTTCTGGTCAGCAGTCGGTGGTTCTTGGGAGTGGTGCTAAAGTAGGCATCACAGCGCGTCTGCTTCCACAACAGACTTCAACTCTGGTGGTATAATCAAGTGCAACGGGCACGCCATCACCGTACCCAAGAATCTCCAGGTCGCATACCCTGCCGCCTTCATTGGCTTCAAAGACTTTGTCGCCAGCAGCAGCGGCTACACTGGCTACAACTGCGAGGTCACCGGCAACGTGGCCAACGGTGTCCCCATAGCGGCCCAGGTTTACATTGCACAAGGGCTGCTCAATGATGCCTTCGGCTATGTCGACAAGGTCAACTTCGACGGCAGCATCAAGATGCAGGATGGAGTCACCCTCCGCATCAATGACCCTCGTGCCATCTACTCTGTGGGATACACGTCTCAGCCCTTCTTCACTGCCGACGATGCCAACCCCAGCATCACCTCCTTCTCGGGTTTTCCCATGTGCGTCCCGCGCAACGCCACTGACCCTTCCTGCCCTCTGTCAAACCGTCCCGACGTTGCTGGCTCCAAGCAAGGAACATTGTAAGTCACGCATGACCATCCCTCGTATCTCGGGGCTTCACCTTTAACGCGCTCCCCAGCCAAGCACCAGATGCCCTTGTCATGGCCCCGATTGTCACTGGTGACTTTATCGAGTATTCTGGCATCCAGGCTGGCGGTGAGATCATCGTATACAACCTCATCGTGAGCAACGTCCAGATCACCACAACTGGGGCACCAACCTACATCCGCATGGAGGACGTCAACATCGGCGTCTGGACCGCCGACACTGCCAATCAAGAAATCGCCCAGACCCGGGTAAGCTTGCCTTGCACCCTTTACCATACTGTCAACCCGAAGCTAATGCGCCGCAGTTCGTCGGATACACCTCAGATTCGTCCGCCAACGTCAACCCCATCAAGATCTACGCCATCGAGTACGACCCCTGCACCGGTGAGGGCGTCGACCGCGAGATTGCCGGCGTGAGTGTGCCCAACACCGCGGCCCGCAACAAGTTTGAGTACCGCATTACGGCAACGCAAAACGACCAGTACGCCCGCGAGTACCACATCGTCGCCGGCACAGGCACCGTGACGACCAAGAACGGCATCGTCGCCGGCCAGTACGTCATGCCCGTGTCCGAGTGGATCCAGCCCGAGGACAGCGTCCCCGGGCGCCCGCCCACCCCCCACGACTTCCGCAGCTACTCGTTCCTGACCAAGGGGCTCGGACGCGACTCCAACGGCCAGCTCTGGGGTCCCCTCAGCCCATTCCCTCAGACTGGCGCGACTCTATTTGACAACTCCCAGTGCGCGCCCGCTACCGGTACTGGCACTGGCACGAGCACTGGAACAGGCACGGGCACCGGAACAGGCACTGGCACTGGAACAGGCACGGGCACCGGAACAGGCACTGGCACTGGAAACGCGCCCCCAACCAAGTACAAGGACGTCGTGACAATGACGGCATACAGCTGGGTCTCGTCTCAGAGCGGCACCCTCTCTGTTGACTGCCAGTCCAACAGCACCGACGACAACGCCGTTTCGATGAAGATCAGCTACGCCAACAAGGACGGCATCACCAACAACCTGAGCATGACGTCCGCCGGTAAAGGTCTCTGGAAATTTACGGGCAGCAAGATCAAGCAGCCAACCGCTGGCTCGGTCGTCTGCAAGAGTGGTCTTGGAGGCTCCGCTTCTCGTTAATATGGCTTGCGAGGTCTAATCCTGCTGTTCTGGTACTTTGGCTTCATTGATTTCCTCTCTTGTTCTTATTGTTTTCCCTTTCGGTTTGATTTACTTGTACTATACCTCTAGACATGGACTTTTGACGAATGACGATCATCACACCCGTAAGGTTCTTCCTATAATTGTTGCAAGTAAACCCGTTAGTGCCGTGATGTTCAATTGAGCCTGAATAAAACGCTTGAGTGCGAAAAACAGTTCTAAAGCGTTTGGTGTGGTAACATTTTCAAACACTTACATACGGCGTCTGATAGCCGCGTGTAGCTCATACTCGCCGTTATCTCTGATTAACATGTCGAACGAGCCCGAGACTGTGGAGTAAATATTTGACGATCTGGCGTTCAAAGGCACGTCCAAAGGTCCCCCGAGGCCATGCGGTGTCCCTTTTCCAGCCCAGGTCAAACGCGAGGGAACTCAAGACATGACTGAATCGAGGTTCCACGCAAAGACTACCAGATTCGTTTACATTTGAGGTCAGTTACCGTTCCAGCATAGTAAGTGACAACGTGTGGTGTTCAGTATACGATGCGCGGCTGTGAGAGACACGACTCCAGCGTGGGAGTTGACATGACGCAGCAGAAAGCGGATCTATATCGCAAATCTTGAATTCGCACGGAATCTTGTATTTATCTCATGTTGATACAACTAACAAAAGTAGCGCGAAACCTCCCGCGTAACTACGGCACAACCCCACCCCCATTATGCCCATGCCCGCTGTGCTGGCTTCGGTCGTTTGTTCATTTATCGCTATGCGAGTATTAGCAAACAAGTACCCGGTGGCTCGGTATTCTGTCCGACCTTTTCCCGACTTGATTCGTATCTTACTGAAAGTATTGCCCCTTGAAGCCCGGGAGGATCTCCTGCCCCTCGGACGACTGATAGCTGACGCCTTTCCTCTGCTGCCACGACTGCTTGAGGATGGTGAACTCTCCCATCGTCGGGACGCGGTGGCCGCCGGTCTCGAACTCGTTCTGGGTGAAGCCCTCGCGCTTCAGCACCGGCGAGTCGATGGTTTTGAGCACGAGGTCGTTCTGCGGGCGAGCAAAGTACAACAGTCCAAGGCGGTCAACGTGACGCTGGTCCTTGGGCGGCACCGCGACCTGCCATTCCAAGTCAGTATGACACGCGGTATCTCCGAATAGGCTTTTGGCGAGGCAACCGGGAGAACTCACCCTGTGGACGGTCGACTTGACGTAACCCCCGGTCAGGAAGCTGAGGGCGTCACAGGTGTTGACGGTCAGACTGCCATCGAGCGGCTTCGCCCACTTCCACTCGCCGGTCTTGTGATCCCTGATCTGCAGTGCTGCCACCGGCTGCCTGAACAGGAGGGTGATGGTGCCTAGATCCGTGTGTCCGCGGGACCACAGGCCGTCCTCAAGCTTCTCGATCTCTTCGGGGGTGAACTTGGAGTACTTCATGTACCGCAGATGGGACTCGTCGTGCGTCTCCCACTTGTGCACCTTTGTGAAGAAGTCCTCGGGCAGCTCCAGCGCCAGAGCGATGAGGTGGTTCAGAGGGTCCAGTACCTTGTCGTGCAGGTCCTGGGACAGTTTGTCAGCGCCGGAGCTCGCGAGTGCCGGTGATGGCAGCGCTTGTTCAACATACCTTGGCAAAACCCTCAATCTCTTCCTTGCGATCCTCCAACAGCTTAGGGAGGGGCTGCGTGATGTGCCCAGCGTTGGCTGCATAAACGCATGTCGTCAGTCACGGGCCGCTCCCCCTTGTGTGATAAGCATTGTTGGGTATTGACAGGACTTACTGGCCATGTTCCAGACTTCCGTCTTGTCCTTGAGGTCGCCGCTCAGGAACCGCCTACCCGCGGGACGGTATCCGTTGTAGTCTCCCGAGTCCAAGTCCGGTTCGTACTTGAGTTTCTCTTCCAGGGGAAGCTCGTAGAACTTTTGACCGAGAGCGAATTGTGTGTCGACGGCCTCTTGCGAGATGCCATAGTTGATGACGTAGAAGAACCCCTTTGTGCGAATGGCCTCAATCAGTGTCTGGGCGAGCTCTTCGTTGCCCTCTGGTGTGCCATATTTGGCGAGATCAATGGTGGGAACTGCAGAGAGTAGTTAGTCCAGCAGCCCCCAAGACCCTCGAGACAGGCACTCGTAGGCGAATACGTACGGTCAGCCCAATCAAGGTTCTCCTCCGTCTCGGGGACGTGGGTGTATTGGTACAACTGGGACACGGCGAAAGGCATTTTGGGCGGGTGAGACGAGGTATGTTTTCTGAGGCAGCAGATCTCTGTCGAGAACTCAGTTTGTACAACACCCCGAGGTCCCAAGCTCGCCATTTAACTGTCAAGCTGACTGCGACGCCAGTCGTGGGAGTTCTGGATCGCGCGGACGAACACAAGTTGAGCCCATTCGGCACCCGTGCCCGTACACCCCCCATTGAAACCTAGGCCATGAAAAGACCAATAATAGCGAGCGGGTTTTGTTCCATGCCTCTTGATTACACAACTTCAGATTACCCCGCGGGATCGATACGCAACGGGAGAGCTCTGTTTGGCTGAATCCTCCTGGAGAAGCGAGATCGCCACATGTCATCATCTGATATCGGATGGCGCAATCCCCACCCCCGCCGCACGCCTTCGGCTCTCTCACGACCGCAGCGCCGGGGCATCTACGCCAAGGTATGAACGAACTCTAGCCGTCTCCAATCACCAGTCAGTCATACTGGCACGCGGTGTGACGCTGGCAGCCGGAAAGCCACTGAGCTCGGCGGGACTCGGACTTTGCGTGCACCTGGGCTCGCGATACCATTGCCGCGTCGGAAATTATCAGCATGGTCGATATCCGCTCTCTCGCGTCTGACCCCGCGTGACTGGATTGTCGCCATTCCTGCCGCGATGGCGAATAGTGGATGAGACTCTTGGGTGTATGCGCGAGGTCGGATTTGGGCCGCCTGGACGGGTGAAGCCCGAAGAAAAACATGCCGCGCACAAGACGCCACTTGAAGGCTGAGACCGGAAGGGGGGGGTAAGAATCAGGAGCGGCGAGTCCTTATAAGCCTGTTGGCATGACGGGCAAACCCCAGGGAAAATCGGGGATTTCGAAAGTGTTATCTTTCATAGACAGACATATATAAAGCCTCCTTTACTGGAGTACTGGACGCGGCTTCATCTTGGGGACCCGTGCTCGGTAGTAACCTGTGACAATAATGGGTGGCATTATTCCCGCACTGAAGAAGAATAAGGTAGGGGCGGTGGTGATATCTGTGTTTGATTGGTATCGTAAGTATTTTGACATCTCTGTAGGCTATGCCAAGAAACACAACTGACGTCAACAGCCTCCCACTATCCAGCGGCGGAGAGAAGATTGCTCAGGAAACTGGACCTAGCGATTCTCGTCTTCGGATGTTTAAGTTGTGAGTAATCTAGTTACAAGAAAACTATGCCTATAGAAAGAAAAGAGCTAACTTGGTTGGAACACATAGTCTTTTGTAGAGTCAGTATTCAACCATCATCGACGTTGGCTTCCTGCCAGCAAAAGGCTAAAACATGAACAGTTCCTCGGGCAGCAGAATGTCACAAATGCATACGTCTCGGGGATGAGGGAAGACCTCGGCGCTTGGGGCAATGAGCTCAATTACTATGTCGTGGCTTGTAAGTTGGCTCCGCGTTAATGATCCCGTCGTGAGCAACGCTGACTGGCGGCCAGACAACACGGCTTATGTGATCGGGCAAATCCCACTCATGACTCTTCAGACCAAAGCCAAGATGTAGGCGCGCAACCAAGAATACGCCATATTAACAAGGATACCGCCATGCTAATTAGTCACAGTGCACCGTTCCTGCTTCCTTCCTTGCAAATCATATGGGCGGTCATTGCTTTCTGTCAGTCGGAGATCAAGTATAGCTGGCACCTGTACATCTTGCGGGCCATCACCGGCTTTCTTGAGGCTTCGTCCTTTGGAGGCACTCATCTCATTCGTGAGTCCTTCCCCTGAGTCGGTTCTCTGTTTGGTCTAATCCGCTAACCCGACCTTAGTTGGCAGTTGGTTCAAGAACGAGGAGCTCTTCAAGCGTGCCGGCGTCTGGTTCATGGGCAACTCCCTCGGGTCCATGTTTAGCGGTTACCTGCAGGCGGCGATCTACCGCAACATGAACGGCGTGTTTGGGCGTTCTGGATGGCGCTGGTTGTTCATCGTTCAAGGAATAATCACGTTGCCCATTTCCTTTTTGGGCTTCGCGTTCTGGCCGGGGCTACCCACCTCGCCAAGGAGGTGGTACTTAACCCCAGAAGACCATGCCCTTGCTGTCAAGAGAATTCCGACCGTCGAACAAGAGGGCATTACATGGAAGACCTTCAAGTACACGCTCTCCCGCCCGATGTGGTGGATCTGTGTCCCCTGTTACATGTCAGTCAACAATTTCGTCAACTACGTGGCGTCCTTTGCATATACTGATGCCTCGCAGCTTCTTATGCCAGGCGACTTACTGGACGGGCTACATGGCCCTGTGGCTCCGTGCTTCTGATTATTCAATCGAGTTGGTTAACATTCTGCCGACCTTTATCGATCTTCTGCGCGCTTTGTCCTCGTGGCTTGGGACCACACTGGCTGGTTGCTTGAGTCTTCGTGGAATTTGGTCTTTCCAGGCGGTAAGTGACAAGTTTTGGAATACGCTTCGGGGATATGGCGCTGACATATTACAGTCCTTCGTTTTGTTTGCATGCATCGTTCTCTCGGTATGGAACGTCCCTGACGTCCTAAAGTTCTGTGCTTTCTATTTTGGAGGCTTTTCTGGAATGGCTTCTCCAATCTTAGTAAGCTGTTTCGACTTTGCTGATAAAAGAAAGTGCTCTCGCTGACAACTTCGAATAGTATTCCTGGCTCAACTCTACTCTCAAGGAGAATTATGGTGAACGAGGTCTTATTATTTCCTCCATGATGACATTGGGCTTCTGTGGCCAGATCTGGGTTCCTCTTTTCACATTTCCGACGGTTGAAGCACCGCGGTATCCCCACGGATACCCTGCAGCTACCGTATTTGAGGCTGCCATGTGGGCATTCTTGATGTTTGGCACGTGGTATATGAAGAGGTGGAAGCTGAAGCATCCGGATCTGGAAACGACGCTGGAGAACGAGCCCAGTGCGCAGGAAGGCTCCTCGGTTCCGGGATCCGACTCTGACAGGCCTGACATAGAGGCCGCCGTTCCGCAAGAGAAAATGGGAGAGGAAAAGGTGGCAACCCAAGCTCTGAAGAACTGAGTTCCGTTTTGTCCTGAGACAGCATACAATAGCTTCAAAGATTTGCATTATCTAGACACTAATGGTAAGACACAGTTGATTGAGTTGTTCTTGATAGACAAATAGATTTCAAATTCTGACAGCAAAGTCCGCTCTGAAAGTTTCGAATTTTATGCGCCTATCAATTGATAGTGTGTCCTACTCTTCAGTGTCCCTTTCTCCGGCAAGCAATGTTTCTTGAATGCGCTGTGATGGAAGCCATTGTTCCGCCGGGATGAACCACCAGGAAAGAACGGCAAATATGGTCACAATTCCCATGATCACCGGGGCGTAGTTGAGCGTTGCTGCCTCAACAGGGAAAACATAGGGTGAGAACAGCACAGCGACAACCCATCCGTTCCAGAGCACAGAGATAGCTTGGAAGGGCTTGCTCCAACGCCCCAGGCTCCACGCGGGCTTCGGGAAGTGATTTGGTGTCAAGAAGAGGCGGCAGATGCAGATGAGACCATAAGCGGCGGCCGAAGGAACTCCAGCTGCTGATACCAGGGAGGTAAATGCCACAGATGACGGAAGAATGGTGCAGGTGATGACGGAAGCTACTCCCCAAACGACCAAAACGGCGTTACGCGGCTGGCCGTCGACGACCTTGGAGACCCAAGAGGACCACGGCAAAACGCCATCACGCGCCACTGCAAAGACAAGGCGCGATGCGGCTAGGACGGCAATGGCGGTATTCTGAGTTCTCTGTCAGCATTCGCGGATCATTTCTAGCTAGCATAGTGAACACTCACAAACCAGAGTGCAACAATGCAAATAATGTTCATGATGATGTGTGCTCTTTCTCCAAGAATGGCCGCATATAACGGGACGAACGGTTGAGCACTTCCAAAAGAGAATAATGTGTCGGCGTCAGGCTAAAGCAGCATATTCGTTAGTATCAATGTTGCGAAACACGCCTGCTTCGAGTACCAACTTACAACACAGAATAAAAACAAAATAACAACGATAAACCCTCCAATGCCGCTAGTGACTGTGCTCCAGAAGATACCCTGGGCAGCAGCAACGCTGGCGTTCTTAGTCTCCTCGGCGACGTGGCCCGAAGCGTCGAAGCCGATGAGGATGCCAGCCGTCGCAAGATAGGAGAGACACCAGTTCCAGGCCGCCGGTGCGCCTGTCCCGTTATACGTAGTCAGAAAGGCATCGTGCGCAGACCGGAAGCCATAGGCGCTCTTGCTGGTGGCGACAGGCAACCAGATCATGTTCAGAATGAAGTCAAGCAAGACGAAAGTGGTAGACAAGTAGAATATCCATTTGAAGCAACGTGCTACAAGCGCAATCAGCGTCAATGAGTCTGTTGTGCGGCACTCAGATTATCACTCACGGGGTAGGAGATTCCAGATGGCAGCCAGAGCCAGCATCACTTCCGTGGCTATCCATTGAACGGCCCGAAACTTGATACTTGAGGTGTCCGATGGGAAGTCAAGTTTGAAAACAACGATTTCCTGACGGAAGTGTTAGAGACGGGGAGAACAAACTGGGCAGCGAGGTGGTTTACGGAAAGCATGTAGTTAACAGCGGATTGGGTGTTGCCTGTAGCATGGTCAGTCAGGAAGGCTGGGATACGTAGGACGAGTAGAAAGGATTTCGTAACATACTCGCACAGAATGTTGTCCAGGCAGTGGTGCTCCACCACGCTACAATGAAGCCAAAAAACCTGCCGTAACGAGGTCCCCCAGCTTCAGCTGCCCACAGGTAGATGGATCCTGCAAGAGGGAGTGAAGAACAGATCTCTGCAATTACAGCAGCAGTGATGAAGGTGAAGACGCAAGTCACGAGAAAACTCGTCCTACGAGGCTATCAGCAACAAACTTCTTTCGCTGATGGCAAATACGAAGGTCTGGAGATACCAGTATGCAAGATTGCCCCCCGCAGCTATGCCTATAGAGAAAGTCACGCGGACGCCGCCGATGAAATAGAGTGCAGCTGGAAGAAGTCAGCTCCTATTTCAGTCAGGGACCCAAGCCCACAGCAATGCACGCACCAAACGTTGTCGCAAAGTTGTGGAAAACGTTGAACGTCCTGTGCAAGACCTAGCGAAGTGAGTCTATTGGCCGCATCTCCATGGCCAGCGTTGTCCGCTTACCGGCTTATAGCCCAGGGTTTCCTACGCCGCCATGAGCTATCAGTCAAGTGCTGTAGTACCGCGTCGCGGCGTTGCATCACTTACCAAGAGGCGCGCATCTCTGGTCGACTCCTGCCCCTCGTCGCTCCCGAGATGCGTTACATTCTTGCCGTCGCCTGCTCCTTGGCGATCAGTAGCCATCTTTGATGATGTCTTTGACTCTTGGTGGTGGTCCAAGCTGAGCGAATGAGCAACGTCGCGACGAGCGAATGCAGAAATGGAGGGGGCGACGTCTGATGGGACGGATGGTTATCGGGACAATCGGGTGCCGCTGCAAACCCTTTTTCTAGTGGTGTCGGATATGGCCGGCTTTTATTCCCGGGAGAAGAGCGAATTCCCCAATGACTGATTTTTGTCTTAGTCGCGTGAGGTGGGACTGCATGGTGGCATCGGTACTTCCTTGTAAGTAGATGACTCCAGCGGAGCGGGTAATAAGCAAACGAACCATATATTCGCTGTCTTCTTGAACGACTCCTATCTCTACCTCGAACTGACCAGCGTAAGCATTGCGGAATTAACGATAGTACTTGCGGCATGGCTTAACCAGGCAATGATGATCACGCAATTGATGTCGGAAAAACGCAACGCAACCATATGTCCATATAGGTGAGAAACCCCAGAAAATCGGGTCTTATGACTACAACAGTCCTGTTTTCAATTTCAGTGTTTGTGTCTAATTGTTTTATACTCGCCGCTCTAATGGCGATCCTTACTCTAATGTTTATACCTCTGCTGTGTGCGGTAGGCATAGCAATTTTCAAGGTATTTCCCACCAATAGCTGCAATGCAAATACGGGGGCGCTGAGTAACACCCGAAAGACCGTTATCCGAGCTCATCCATGCATCTCTGTTGAACCAGATACCCAATGCTGGTTGGGGAGCCGGATATTCCCGACTGGCTTGGGTCTTTCGCCAAGAATACTGCGGTAATGTTACTCTACTGCTGCCAAAGATCCACGAGCGTTTAGGTAGCCATTATCGCTTTGTCTATCTACATTCCGTGTTCTTGGCTGATTTATAGCAAGGCCCCTGGTACGTATTGGACCAAAGGAGATCTCATTCTATTCTATCGACATATACGACTTGATTTACAAAGTCAACAGTGGATTTGTAAAAGATCCCTGGAATCATGGCGAGTTTGTTCAAGATGGGCACCCCGCACTGTTTTCAATCACGTATGACGAGAAATACACCCATCCGGGGGGGAGTTCATACCTTGATGGCTGATGCAAACATCAAAGAGACCCAGATGAACATGCCAAAAGGCGCAGGATCCTAGGTCAACTTTTCGGTCGTATCAAATTTGGGAATATCGAAGGTCTTATGCTTCATCACGTCGAAGAATTCGTCAAAGCAGTTGGCCAAAAAGAACAACCGTTCGACATCGGTCCTACTTGTCGCGCCCTCGAGGCTGATATCATCTGTAAGCTGGCAAAGCGTGCTGTCAGGACGCAGTATCTCCCTCGACAGCCTTGTTAACAATCTTAGCGGAGTTTTCATTCCGAGAAACCCTGCATGCTATTTCTGGCTGGTCCAAAAACCGCGATATCCCGATTGTATCGAAGAATGACCAAAAAGCAACCTTTATGCCTCTGGTCAGTTTCCAAATAGCCGACTGGAGGCTTTCTTACTATCAATAGCTTATGAACTTCCCCGTGCTGTACGACCTTTGGCTGGTTTTGGAAGACGTTCTTTGCCACTTCGAGGGGTCCAAGGTATCTTCCAGAAAAGGCCTTCGACAATACGATCAGGTTCGCAGCCACATAATTCCTTCAAATGAAGGCCGACAGCCCAGAAGCCAACAGATCTGGGCTCCCAGTGGACACACAATGCATAGGTCAAGAACAAAGACCCGGACAGCAAGTCACCATTCCCGAATCTCATCAACGTTATGATTCTGCCGGCATGCCCACGCAGACCGCTCTATCCGAAGCCAAAGAGAACCTCGGGCCAGGAACAGACACAACATCTGCGTCACTGGCACATATCGGTAGCAGTTAACAGGCAGACACTTTGCGGGTCAAACCTTAGCATCTCAGACTATCTCAAAGTACTGACCCACCTCCTCTTAAGTCACTTTTGTCCCCACACCACCAACTCCAAATTCTCCACACCACCAACTTCAAATTTTTAACACTAAGTCAACAAGAAAAAAAAAAGCTTTTTTAATAGTATATACTACACCCTTTATACTATACCTAGTATCCTCTATATATAAGAGACTGTCTCTAGGGGTAAGTTTCTTTAAAAAGTTAATTTGTGTTACTAAATTCTAGATGTACCTTAAGCTAATAGAGATATCTCTGTTTTCTTCTTTTTTCTGTAGGAAAAGGGTAAGCTGGTCTGTGCATAGGTCTATGCAGAATTAAGCGAGAGACTTTAAGAGGTACTTTGATGACTCAAGTGCTGCCCCGCAATGTGTCTGCCTGTTAACTGCTACCCACATATCCTCTATGCTCTTTCGCTAAATCCGACTTACCAGGAAAAGCTGTATCAAGACCTCGCGCAGCAGGGGTTCCCCACAGATATGGGTTGCTTGGAAAACATCCTTCGTTTGAAGGCTTGTGTGAAGGAAGGCATCCGTTGGGCTGGCATTGCGGCTGCAATGTTGCCTCGCGTCGTTCCTCAAGGTGGCGTCGAGTTGTGTGGGATGCTCATTCCTGAAGGGGTAGGATATGCATGCACATACCTCGCTGACTTGTTTGCTAAGCACCTGACATTCCAAACTGTCATTACCACTTCGCCCATCTGGTATCTTAGAGACAAGTATGCTTACCCGAACCCCGAGTTCTTTGACCCCTATCGCTGGATCTACGAGGACGGTACGTTTCTTACCAATAACGCACTGCGAGACAAACTCTACGTCCCATTTTCTAAAGGATCTAACCTTTGCATCCGCAATAATTAGGTCTCTGTGATGCTAAGAAAATCAACAAAACGCTAACGCAATCCGGTTCTAGCTTCTCTTACTTCGAGCTATTTCTTAGTCTGGCTAAGATGGTGGAGAACTTCAAGCTCGTCCATATGGGCAAGGATGGGTTTGAACCAGTGGCTGGGCTGAACAGCTCAGGCTAGTAGCCAGTGCAGCTTCCCAAGAGAAAGGAGTGGCTTGCTGCGGTGGTGACACAACCATTACTTGTCAAAGCTGTCCCGAGGGCCCGCAGCTGATACACTCATACAGAGTGGCATTACATGAGCTGATGGGGAAACACACATTTACAAGAATCTATAGCAGAAGCATCATGCTACCCCACCCGATCTAATTGGGCTCATTGATCCTTCTGCAGCAGACCAACTATCGCGTAGGTGGATGCAGATGAGCTTATTGTTTCGTGACTCTTTTTCTTATCATGAGCATTGCATTGCGCAAGTTTCGTTCAAGAGAAAGGCTAATGTCCGATGGACACGCGGTGTCATCACTGTGACTCATGATTACCATGTAAGACACCCTAAGTTTTACTATTTCTCCCTCGGATGGGTCTCACTTTTACGAGACCCTCCGATTGAAACCCATGATCATTTTGAGCACCCATCACTTCTAGTCTGATCGGCAGTAATATTAGGCTCTGTAGAATTGGCGGTATTATCATCTGTGATGAACCGCAGCGTCTTTACATTTATGAAGAGAAGTAGTTGATTCTCCTAAGTCTACGTACGAGAGAAATATCGCCTAGAAATACTATTCCTAATGTGGGTCTTATCGATTGTAGGCGCCACTTCGTGGCGTCTCTAACTGGAACCAGCCACACGAAGCTGTCCCACCTTCACGACATTATCACTTATGCGGACAGTTAGTATGGGACGGCATGGACCAAAACGCCACTAGTGGACCTCACTATCTTTCCACCAAGGATTATAATCTTACATGTGCCGTAGACACCGTAACCGTAAGAGGACAGTCCTAAAATCTGACAGTTCGGCAAGGGTTCAGACCGACGTGTGGAGGTCGGTGGGTGGTGCGCCACCAAATTGGGTAATAGGCGTTTGTTTCATTTCCCGGCGGAGCCGCTTCGTCACGCTCCGTGCTTTGACCTCAATCGTCTTTAATTAAACCTCGAGCGTGGGGGCTCGGAAAGATTAACAACATACAGATAGATACTTGAACTAATTTCTCTGGAACATCGTCGCCAAGATGCCACCCGAACAGAGATCCCCCGCCGATCGCGGAGCCATCGCGTCTCATGACGGCGACGCGACCGAGACGACGCCGTTGCTGATTGCCAACGACATCGCTCCGACCGCCGACCCCGACGTGGCCAAGGCGACGACGCTCCCCGAGCCGGACCGGCGTGATGACGACCCGGAGGAAAAACCGCTGCCGGGCTGGCAGATCTTCCTGCTGTGCTACGCCCGGTTGGTCGAGCCCATGGCTTTCTTCTCCATCTTCCCGTACATCAACCAGATGGCCCAGCAGAACGGCAATCTCGCCGACACGGACGTCGGCTTCTACAGCGGCCTCATCGAGTCGCTCTTCTCCCTGACGCAAGCAATCGTCATGATCTTCTGGGGCATGCTGTCGGATCGGGTCGGCCGCAAGCCCGTCCTCGTCTTCTCACTCGTCGGCGTCACGCTCGCCACCTCCATCTTCGGCATGGCCCGGACGATCTGGCAGATGGTCCTGTTCAGGTGCCTGGCAGGCGTGTTCGGCGGCACCATTGTCACGATGCGCACCATGATTGCCGAGCACAGCACCCCGAAAACCCAGGCCAGAGCTTTCAGCTGGTTTGCTTTCAGCGGCAACCTCGGCATCTTCATCGGGCCGCTTCTGGGCGGCGCTCTTGCCGACCCCGTGCATCAGTACCCGGGGTTCTTCAAGAATCGCTTCTTCCTTGAATATCCTTACGCGCTGCCAAGTTTCGTGGTTGGGTTCCTTGGCTTGACGGCCGCTGTGACCTGTTTCATCTTCGTCGAGGAAACGCTCAAGAAAGAGCCCTGCAGCATAGACGACAACAGCTCAGCAGCGCCCAAGAAGGACACATACTCCATCGCTAAACTTGTCAAGTCCGACGGCGTTGGCATAGTCCTCTTCGTCTACGGCTATCTCATGCTCCTCGCATTCGCGTATACGGCCATAGTCCCCGTCTTCTGGTTCACACCCGTGGCGCTTGGTGGCTATGGATTCACCCCTCTGCAAATCTCAATCATGATGGCGGTCAACGGCATTGCCCAAGCCCTGTGGCTCTTGGTCATCTTCCCTCCCTTACAGCATCGCATGGGGACCAACGGCGTCCTGCGTGTGTGCTCATACGCCTATCCCTGGTTCTTCCTTATTTGCCCGCTCGGAAATTTCGTTCTTAAAGCCGGCGTCAACAACCCCGGGGTAATCACTTGCTTCTGGATATTTGCACCCATCGGTCTTGCCATTGGCTCCGGGGTAAGCATGGCGTTCACTGCCATTCAACTGGCACTCAACGACGTGTCGCCCAGCCCCCAGGTTCTTGGAGCGCTCAACGCTCTGGCGTTGACTGGCGTCAGTGTCATCAGGGCCTTCTCGCCAGCACTATACACGAGTCTATTCGCCATTGGGGCGCGAACTCAGTACCTCTGGGGCCAGGCGATCTGGGTTCTCATGGTTGCACTTGCAGTGGGCTTGATCTTTGCAGTGAGACAACTTCCCGAGGAGGAGGATCTGAAAATGGCCAGAGAACAGTAACAAGCTGAACGAGACCAGTAGATGTCCCCCAACCTGCACATGCTAGGGTCAGCATCTGTCTCATGTACGAAGCTTTTTCATATTTCATGTCGCTAAACTACTTGATGACGTTGGTAGTTGTTAGACGCAGTCCGTCATAAGCCCGAGTGGATGAGCTGCACCGTAGAATCGTGACGTAGAATTGTAAATGGTCTTACAAAAAGCCCCAATGTGAGCCTAGATCACATGTGTTGTGAGTTGCGTTCACTATTAACTATCTGTGTGTCCCGCAGGCATACTAAATTCAAAGAGTATGTGTCAAAACTGGGACTTCGCGATGGAAATGGATGGCCGGGAGACCCGAGTGCTCCAGAAATCGTCTACTGGGGCATTCAACTGCCAGCGTGACAGATTGCGAGTACGATGAGTTCGTAGAGCGAGCGCCCATACGCCCCGTTCTTGTAGTCCCCTACACGTGCATGAGCAGAAACATGACTAGACAAGGGGCCATGGTGACCCTGATTATGGGGTCCAAGCAGCAGTAAGCCTTAACGGTGCCACACCTTGCTAGGAGTGCAGCCTGTGTTTCCAAGACATTATTCTTCTAACTCGCCGCAGTGAAGTTCGCTGTCCACGGAATATATGAGCGCCAGATAACTAATAAGCAATATACTCTTGCCAATTGCAACTCGAGTGCGCACCACGAATCTTTTGCCCGGAAAAAAGAAAAAGAAAGAAAAAATCGCAAGAGGTTCCTAAATGAGCGGGCTGAAGCGACTTTGGTTCTCATCTCCATGGACCCTGGCCGACGGGCGGGCGCATCCGCATCTCAGATACGCCAAGCCCCCTGCGTGAGCTACAAGGTTACGATTCGGCGTGCATGCTCGAGATGGATGTGACGAGAATGCTCATGAACTGGCAAAACGTTTTATTCATTTGGGGTGGGTATTCTCATGAACTAATACTATTGTAGGTATTGTGTAACGTACAAAGGGAAAAATAATTTGGGTATTTCACACACGCTTGCCTCATGGCAATCCGGACCTTCTTTTGCTGCTGGCTTCAGGAATCATCGATTCCGGCTCCACCGGCTCCGTAGTTATTTCAATCTCACGGTGCTGCCAGATCATGTTGTTCGACTGAGAAAAATTCGAAGTGCTCGGCTGCCTCTTGAGCCTTTTTCCGTGGTAATAATCCCTTGCCGACAGGTTCGGGTCGCGTTCGGGAAAATCCGCGGCGCCGGGACTTCTGATCGTCACGCTGACGCTGTTTTGAGGGATCACTTCCACATCGTTCGAGCTGCGCGAGCTGCGATCGTCGTCACCTCCGCCCATTGTCCTAAGTCCGATACCGTACTTAGCCTCTTCGCGGAAGTTGTTGGCTTTGTTGTTGGGTTCCGCAAGCTTTGACCAGTCCTTGGAGCCGTCGCGGGCATGGGAAGCGGTTCCGGATCGTTGACCGCCGCCGATAGTCATGGTTGCTGACCTCGATCCCGATTTCTTGTTCGAAGATAAGTTCTGGGCGTACTTGTCCAAGCCACTACGCTGAGCAGTGTCAAGCAATCCTCTCCACAACAGCCGGACAATGGGACCCTATATATACGTATTAGTTTTGTATTCGGGACACAACCTTTCGTTGACCTTGACTAACCAATGTCGGTAAGCACGCTGAAACTATTCCGCTGCTTATTTCAATGATGTTCCATGCAAGGCCTTTCCCCAGCGAATCTCGAGGTATGTCAGTTCAGCGCTTCAGTAGCTCGTTCTGTGTTGACAACTTACATGGTATGTCATCTGTCGTGTACCCCAAAAAAATCTTGAAGCGGTAGATACTGCAGAAGACAACATAACTCCCAAGCAAGAAAGTGAAAAGAATCAGGACTCGCTGGGCTGTGTTCATCTGAAGTTTCAAGACATGAGGGATCGGGAGGTAGAGAATTGCGATATCGACGATAATGCTGGGTACGGAGATACACAGCTGGGTCAAGAAGAGGTTGATGCAATAGCCGGGCCTCCAGGGTTCCCATAGCTTGACGAGTGGGAAGCATTGACTAGAGGCGGCGATGACGCAGGCCAGCGTCCACAGGCTTGTCAAGCTGCCGCAGATCAAAGCCCCTTTTCGAACTTCGCGCATCGGAAAGATGCGTAGGTAGAGAAGCAGCAGTGCGACCTTGTACATATTGACGCCGTTGACGTACAGTATCTCGGCGCCAATCATAGTTCTATTGAGGAACTGCATCTGCTCGAGAGTCAGGCGGCCCGAATGCAATCCAATGCCGGCATCCACCACTACATACACTGTCAGCTGGGCTCGCTACACCGATCGTGGGTCCACTCACAAATCAAGTTCATAACCATGTTCCCGATCAAGATGACCAACGCGGCCAACATTGTGTAGTCGTCGATTAGGTACTTGGCGTTCTGCAAATGACGCGCGGTGAACCGCAAGCCAACCACGGCGGAGGCGAGGACGGTAAAGGCGATTGTGATAGCTCGAATATATGAACGCATTTCCTCTTCGAGGTTCTGGTGTTCGGCGAAATTGGCCAGCTTCTTCAAGTACTCTCGCTGAGGTTCGTCGATCGACATGTCGTCGTACGGATAGTACGCCATCATGGCGGCGGCTGCCATGGTGGGCTGCTGGATGGCCACGCGGGCTGTTTCTTGAGCAACGAGGTCGACAAAAACGGGTCGAGGGTTGTCGATGGGCTCTGGAGGCACGGCTTAGGTGAATGCGTCTCGATGAGAGTAGCACATCGGGACGGAGCATCGTTTTATTCTGAACAATCTTACATTTTACGCATTTGGTACTCAAACCGCCCCAACTTCACAAAGGACTCCAAGTATGTGGGCCCAGCTGCCAGACACTCCGGCCGTCATACATTAGACCCATGCATGGTAGCAGGTACGGTGGCATCGTTGAAATGCTACTGTTTCTTTTTGCCCAGAGTCTACCCGTGTACTTAGTCTATCTATCTATCCGTATTGCGGCTAGCCTTACTATTTCATGGTCTTGGTGGTATGTCCAGGATGTACGGAGTATCGACATGCCTAGTTCAATAACCGTACCGTAGCAATTACGACCTAGTCTAGGAGGGGCCGCTTTGACCTCGGTCTGGACGAGGCAGATTATAGGGGAACGGAAAGACAACCGGCCATGATCCGAGTATCCACTTACCCACTTACTCTGTCAATCTTGACAGTTTCGGGAAGGCCACCGGGGTGGACCAGACAATTGTGGGATCCTTGAGGGCGAAGTCGCAAGAGTTGGGGCGTATCATTCAAACTTGCCCACCACCACATGTCACAACCTCAAGATCAACCCCACGGGTATCATACTGGAGTCTAAGAGAAATAAACGAGGAGAACCAGGGCGACACGCGGTTCCCTCCGGACCCGTTCACTAACACTTACTTGAGAGTTGTTGGAACACACCAGTTATGTAATAGCCAAGGGGTTTCATACCCAGTATCATCTCCACGTCAAGACCCTCGCACGCGGGCTCTGAAAAAAGGAAAAAAGAAAGGAAAAATCGCCGGTTTCTCAGAGACACCTCGCTTGTAGCGTTGACCCTGAACTCGCGGCGCGCCGCAATGGCTTGCCGTTCCCCTTCGATCGTCGGCAAGATCCATGCCGATACAGGGGTGCCACAGACAGTTCGCTGCCGAACCTGCGGCATTTGTCAATTGTGGCTTCGGTTTCTGTGCGCAGTCCCGGGCGGGAGCCGTGCAAAACGTGGAATGTTGATGAAGACTCTGGCGAGTCAATAACCCTGTAATCCGATGTAAACTACGGATACAAGGCATGCAAGAGCAAGATGGTGGACCGCGATTCCTTTCTGTGCGTCATTATCGTCGAATTGTCGCGGTAATATTCAACCCACGAAGGAGATACTTGACTCGACTATGCATGTGTCAAGCGGCCGCCGCGTATACGGGGCCCTAGACGATACAACACGTTCATACTATGTAATCCGAGGCGATTCACAGTCCCACACGCTGCCACTTTGGTTCCGCTAGATCGAGTTGGGAGCCTTGCACTTGCGCCATTCTCCGTTCACTAATCCGATTACGCATGGGTCCCGTTCTTTGCCCCTTTTTCATACCTGAGGGTTCTGGGATAAGTTATAACCCACCGCTAACGTTGGGCCCGTTGTGGATCACTTCGGGGCAACGCACCTTGAGTCTGGCACTAGCGAATCGTGGCCGCGTGGCAATATCCGATGTTGTTCCTGTCTCGGTATCTATTCCGCAGCCGCGGGCTTTGTAGTTCGCATAAGCTGTCATTTTGGCCGTTTCCGTATTGGTTGCGGAGACCGAAGGGACGGCACTCATGCTTTGGTGTCTTGAAGAAACAGTACTTTAGAGCGGTCACTTGTCCCTCTTACCGTTGCAGTCGATCAGGCCATTCTTTCTTTTGACCCGAGCCCCTCACACATTCTTTTACTGTTCTCCGGTATTACTGTCACATCTCGCAATGAAGCCGTCCGTTCTCATCGTTCCTGGCGCTTGGCAGTTGCCGGTGGCCTTCCAGCCTCTCACAGCCGAGCTGGCCAGTGCGGACTTCAGTACATCTATCGTATCTTTGCCCACCGTCGGAGGCACCACGACCCCGCTACCTAACATGTCTGACGACATTGCCGCTGTTCGCACCGAGCTCGACAAGCTCGTCTCCGACGGCAAGGAGGTCGTCATTTACTCCAACTCTTATGGTGGAGTAGTTGCCAGCAACGCTGTTGAAGGCTACGACGTCGCTACCCGCTCGGCCTCCGGCGCCCCTGGCGGCGTCGTGAGCATCGTTTATGCTAGCGCGTTCATGCTCCCCAAGGGTTCCAGCCTGCTGGATCTCCTTGGCGGCCAGCCTCTCCCGTGGATGGTTGTCGAGGTACGTGTGATGTGACCGGACCGTTGTTGTTTCGGCCGATTGTCAAATAAAATGCAGAACTTACTGACCCTTCTGCAGGGAGACCGCGTTGTTGGCAACACAAGCATGCTTCCCGAGGTTGCTTTCAATGACATGCCGCCCTCGGAGCAGGAGAAGTGGTCCAAGGAGATGACCTGGACCTCCCTGTCCGCCTTCACCACCCCGTCCAGCTACGAGCCGTGGAGCAACGGCATTGACTGTGCCTACCTCTACGGCCTTCTGGACAACGCTCTGCCCCTCAGCTACCAGCAGGCCATGTCTGCGGTCCTCCCCGCAGGCTCCAAGACCCAGAGCGAGCCCAGCGGCCACTGCGCTCACCTAAGCCGGCCGGCCAATGTCACTTCCATCCTGAGCAGATGGTTCCCCGGCAACTAAGTAGGGCTTGACAACCGACTGTGGGTGTTATGGCGGAGACAGGTGCATGCGGAGATGGAAGATACGCGAGACAAATAATACAAACAATGAATCCAAACGATGAATCCAAACGATGAATCCAAACAATGAATCCAAACAATGAATCCAAACAATGAATCCAAACAATCAATGCAACGTTGGTCGTGCAGTGGATCCCCATGGCCCATACATGACTCTTGTCAGTGCACGGCGTCAAATGTTTACGTAATGAAAGGAGACGTCCGAGTAGGTTGATGCTCGTATGGCCTATACTTGAGCAAGGAGTTGCCGACGTCATCGAATCATCACTTTCTCAAAATAGGGGTATCGATTTTGACTTCCCGAATATCCGCCAAGCCACGATGAGAATGTAAGGATATCGCCGGTGGGTCAGCGATAGGGCGCCTTATAAGGTCATGTGTGGTGCAATTTAGGCACGTAGTGCCAGAATTGGCGGATCTTTTGACAGTTGCCAGGATGGTCTATTGTCAGGCGTTGGCACACCACCCAATCCCATTACAGAGAATCCTGATCTCTAGTTCGCACCTTCACGAGTCGTGCGCCCGTCATTAGTGGCCCTCGCTATATCAGGGGAAGCATGCAAGACTACAAGTACTAGGTCAAAAGTCTGGCCACACGTATAAGGGCGACCAATCAAGCAACTAGGATCTCACCGCGCGACCCATATTCATAAGGGATTTACACAACATTATCATAATAACCGGATTATTTAGCCCTGGTTTATGTGAGGCAAGCATCATGTGACCCTTATTGGTGTGGCTAGACTTTTGACCTAGTACTGTAGGTGCTGTTCAGTCGAATACAGGTATTCCCTAGCCATCTTGTCTGATTCTCAGATGAAGCACGACTACCTACTAGATACTGTTTTATCAATACGAGCAGGATCTCTGATCGACAAAGACGAAGTTACCACAGGGATACCCTTTTCGGAGGATGCCCTTTTCGGAGATCCGTCCATATCTGATCCCGCGAGTCATTTTACTAGTGCTTCGGAGGATATCTGAAGAGCACAGACGCGAAATAGCACAGACACGCAATAAATGTCCAATGCTTCTACAATAGACTTGATCAATTGAGGCACTCTGATTTTACTAAGTCACTATAGCTAGTATCTTGTACGTCCATCTGGTGTTGGCAGCGAAGAAAGGAAAAGAAGGGAAAAAGAAAAGCGCCATTGAGAAAGGGTCCCCCACCCCGTTGAAAAATTCGCTGACGAACGTTCTTACCCGAGTCAAGTCATCATAAAAACCCTCAATACGCCAATTGCGAAATCTTTTCAGCCAATGCTTCTGCCGTCTGCTATTTCCACAGGAGTTTCTCCATGACAAGCGTTGCATCCGGAAGAAGTTACCCGTAAGACCAGCCACAAGGCCAGCCGCTTACCCACGTGCGCCTCCCGATACTCTCGAGCAGGATCATACCAGATACCAAGGATGTACCCATTATCCATTTTGTCAGAACGTTGCTTGTTACGTTCAACCCTTGAGCTGGGATCATCCTTCAGTCCTTCAGCTCGGACAAGCCGTTAATCTGTAATATTATTGACAGGGGTGCATCCGGCAACAGCCGTCCGCGAGGCCATGATAAAGCGATCGGTCCGATGAAGAGGTACCACGCAGGGCCCGGTGATCAGGTGAAGGTGGGACTTCAGTCGATATTATCACCGGAACTTATTGGTTACTGCATATGTGATTCATATTAAGGAATGGACGTAGTTGAGAGTCAAGCCGAGGCTCACGGCGATAACCCTACCTACTGGAGTGCTCAGAGTGCTATCATAGCTCCGCTTTGAGGTTGCGATATCTCTCAGGGTTTAAGAATATTAATAGGGTTACTATAAGGTGGATGAGGTGGGTCCGGCTCTGGCGGCACAGTCTGAGCATTGTGTCCGAAGTCACACAGAGCATGTGATTTCTAGGAGGACAGGACATTGGCTGGAGATTTAAAGCTAACAAAGACTGTAACGTTGCTAGGAGGTAGAATGGTTTTGTGAGAGGCAAGGCACAGAAATACGTGACGATCGTGCTGTTTCGTTTTGTTTTCATTTCCGGAAAAATATTGGAATCGTCCACCAAGTCTACAAAGGCGCCTATGTCCGTCTGCCAACGCTTTCAAGGACGAGAAAATGTCGCGGAACGTGTTAGGTAGGGGGAGAAGTGAATGTGGGTGATTTGCTGGGCCTGAGATCAAGGTCAAGATAACCTTGCCAAACTTTTTGGTTTGTCATGACCATGTAGATACTCGCCGTTACATACATGTAGGGGGGGATAACAGAATACTACCTGTGCACTTTTTAAGGAAAAGCCCCTTATATGCCTTTTGATAAATGTGTTGGGCGGGTCACACTTTTCTCCGCATTTGTAGCCGTGCGACGTCTATTTACTGGGCAATTGGGACGATTACCCGCTCCGTAGACATCAGTGCACGTACGGGAAATCGTCGCCGGATGGCGATTGCCCCACTCCTATAGGTAAGAAGCCGAAGTGGGCCTTCGAAACACGTACCCCCTATTTCTCCTATCTGAACTCGCGCGATACGCCCGAGTATTACATCCGTATTAGTTCGTGGTAGCTCTTATGAGGAGACCTCAGATACCCTCAGATGTCCTTAACTGAAGTCCGAATACAAGACGATCTCTCGTAAGGTTGTACAGGTGCATGATAGTAATCTAATACAGTTGGAAAAACGCAGTATAAGCGTTATATCTAAACGTAACACAATATTTGTGCTCTTGGCCTCTATGATTAAGATTAGCCCTTAATGATTATCAATACGATAGTTGGATACGCTTATACTGTGTTAGAGTATCATTGTTTATCACCTACTTGTGTGACCATCCCACATATGGTTGACAGCCATGAATACGTACGTACCTTTAGGGACGCTCCGAATATAAACCAGGTTCAATGGGTCCTAAACCTTGCATTTTTTTTCTCAACCTGAAACCACCTGATCAACTACGAAATACAAGCGGTAGAGTTGCATAGATCAATACAATTGGAGCGGACCTTGAATCGACAAAGAAATGGTATACTGAAATTGTCTCTACCAGTGTCGAACCACATTAGCGGCTTACTATCTACATATAAAATCTTGTAAAGCCTTCGATAGCTGCACCTCCTCACCTGCCGAACTTACACTATTGGAACAGTTATCGTGTGTGGTCTCGCTCGTGACCGTTTAGTTGGACAAGTCGATGCCTCGTTTCTTTTAGAATGCACTCATCTTGCGGCGGCTTTTCACTTCGCTTTTCATTGTCTCGACGCTCTTCTCGAGATTCTTCAACAAATTTTCGCTGTTGTTGAGTGTCTTCCACTGTGTCAGCCTCAGAAACACATCATAGATTCCAAAGGTGACGAGAGTTCAGATCTCAGAATACTTGCATGCGTATCAGAGCACCGTCCGCGGCTACGTCCAGAAGGCGAAGATGATTGAGACAAGAATCACACTGGCAGAGATCGGGACTGGGATGGCATTGGTCAGCGATCGGCTGTGAGAGACGGCGGTTGGACACTTACACATGTAGACTACCTGGTCACCAAAAGTCATATTAGTATCACCAAAAGTCATATTTGTATCACCAATGTCTTTATGGTTCATACCAAAGACGCTCAAGATAAAGGATACGGGGAGCTACCTCGCGTTACGATTAGAACAATAAAATGCGACGGTTGGTAGCCATGTTTCGCAATATATAGCAAGAAAAGGGTATGGTTGAGTGGGAAAACTTACAACGATGATGGTGACAATTGCAAAAGTCATGATGGATCGCCCCTGACGAACACTTTCGTCCGCCTGTCGTGCTGACCGCCACGCCTGCAGGATACTAGCCTGCTGTTGTTTGAGGTCCAGAAGAACTGTGATCTGTAAAAAAGTTGTCAAGTCAGCTCCATTAGACGTTTATTCCCGAGACATAGAATCGCCTTACCCCATGAGAAGTACTTTCGGCGCTCTTGCGCGACCCCTCAAACTCAGCGATTCTGTCCCCGACACCCGAGATCAAATAATAAGCCTGTTTGCGGAACCAGATGAGCTCGTCCTTCTCTCTCCAGCTTTTGTTCGTCCGTTTTGCTCCTGGGTTTCCAATCTGTACCCGTGCTCGGGGGGTCGTCATTTGCTCCCGACATAGACCTTGAGCGCAGGTAGTGCGGCTCCCTGTTGGGACTCGGCTTCTCATCCCACCATGTGCCACTCAGGTCATGTATGTCCTCGACATTCTGCACGAACCTCTTTATAATATCCCTCTGCTTCATGATAACGTGGATCATCATGTCCAGCTCTTCGACGATGTCACTGATGTCTCGCTGCAGTTTGCCCTCTTGGCTAATGTTGAGTAGCGGGGCAATGCCTCGTACTTGGGGTTGGAGCTGAGGATCTTCGAGGCACTCTTCGTCTAGTGCCATAGGTGTTGGAACGACATCGTTTGCTTGTTTTGGTACGACAAAGTCAGCATCGTTTGATCTTGTCCCTTCTCAAAGTTGTTCAGAAGTGACCTACGAGGTTGCCAATTGACTCTGCGAAAATGTCCAGGACTTGGGGGTGTCGACCTTTGCCCTGTCACGTCTCTTTGCTTACTGTGGTTCTAGTGCGATCAAAGAACGTGCTCGAACATTCATCCAAAATTATCGGGGCCACATCGAAGACGGATCGAGTCTGATTCTTTGGGGCGTTCTTGATCCTGGTTCGAATCGACCTGTACATCCCGGAAGAATCCTACTCGTTTGTCCTGTACCTCTTCGAGAAGCTAGTGATGATGGTCTGCCTGTCGAGGATTCGCATCCACAGCTGGTCAATCTTGACGATCCGTGACACTTTTCGACTTTCTTCTCTGCAATGACCGCATACTATGCCGTTGTCATCTGCCTCGTTCCGGTGACCGTCCCATTTGTAGAAATCAATACGACTTTCGGCTTCTCGCTCCTCTGGAGCCTCAGCAGACGCATACTTCTTGTGGTCCAAGAAATTCCTTAAATGCCAAGGGTGCCTCTAGCCTTTGCAATCATATCGCAGTTTAAGGAGTCTAAAGGAGTCTATGGATGCCACTGCTGTCCATCGTCGTACTGCGGTAAACCACCTGGTCCCTATCCCGAAGTTCTGTCGACTTCAGCTTCCAGCAGGACTGGTCTAAGGTCCGCCGAGGGTGCAGTGGTGGGTCGTGGTGAAGGTACTTCTAATGTCGATCCCTTCCTGTATCCATCCGAGTTTTCCCACTCATTATGGCTGTGGTGAGCTACGCTAACCAGATCGCAGGACGGATCTTCAGAGGGTGAAGTTGTTTTATGTGCCTGACCGCGCTTGTTCTACACCTTACAAAAGGAGCACTTGACCTCAGAGAGCGCCTTGCGGAGGAGTTTGGTTCTTCTATATTGGGACTCGATATTGAGAGCAAGGCCTTTGATCTCTTCGTCGACCCTCATTATGGCCATCTCCTCGCATTCGTTTTCAGGCATGTCTCTGTTTTGTTGATGTAACTTCTCTAGCTGGGCATGAATTTCATGGTCCCAGAATTGACAATTTTTGTCCTTGTCTAGGAACTCGGCGCAATCCGATGTTTTGATGCATCCAAGGTAATGCGCGGTCAAGTCTGTAATGGTTCCAGGGCTGTCAGCAGTCGACCCATGGGGCTCTGCCGACAAATATGCTGGCGAGGTGTTGCAGTTGCCCATAATGCTAATTTTTGACAACGAAGAAGCGTAACAGGGAGGGAAACGCAGAGACAGGAAAGATTGCACGTTAATAAGTACTCGTCGACCTGGGCACTCCGTAGACCCGGCCTCAGCAGCCTTGGGGGCCAGAACAAGGCTTGGAGGCACTTCGCAGCCTCCCTATCATTCACAGCTAATCGAGGAATAGGTTGTCAGCCCAAGTATAAGGGCTCAATGGTTGATTACTGCACATGCAACTCTGCGGGCTTCTTTGGGCATGGAGATGACCGGATTTAGCTATCCTGCATCATGCTGAGAATACTGGAGGGCAGCTAACGGGTTGCACATGAAAATGCAGCTTCATTGCACCATACTATCCGGTGTGCTCAGACCAGGGTATGCCTCTGCCGAAAGGAGTCTGCAAGATACCGGTAGGCAGTTCGAGGTACTTCAGCTTCAACTGCGCCAGTAGCCACACAAGTGGCCGAGCAGTGAGGGTTTCAAAGGAAATTGAACAAATCGGTTGCTCTCGATCTGCAGGAGCCTGCCGGATGATACATATCCTCTTGACTATGCCTAGACGAGACCAGCTTTCAGGTGGCGGCAGCCAGATATGGAACTACGTCCGTCCTGTCGGCCAATGGTTCCTAGAATCGTACAGCCTGGTTCTGTAGTACTTTTCTCAGAACAGATTGGCAAAATTTCGACCTATTGTAACAGCGACTGGCAAATATCAATGAAGTCAATGGACATCTGCACGAGATATTGTGCTGTTAACAATCACTAGAACAAAGTCAAAAGAACGAGATTTATGCTCCTCATAAGCAGAGATGTTAATAAGCATCAACATCCAGAAAAAGGTACAATCTATCATGGCCGGTTGGCCCAATGGCAAGGCGTCTGACTACGAATCAGGAGATTCTGGGTTCGACCCCCAGGCTGGTCAAAGTTTTTGCGGGGTTTCCGTTCAATTTTTCCATCTGTACTTATCCACTCACTCGTTGCAGCCCCTTCCCTTCTCTCTCTTTTTTGGTGCAACTTCTTCCTCTTTGATTGCCGTGGTTTGTTTATCTGCGGGGGCGGGGTTGAGGCGGTTCATCTCCACATCTCGGGCCCCGTTCGGCTGCCGGTAAGTAGTTTAAGTCTGACCATCATGGGTTATGTATGGATCAAAGAAAAGTAGATATCCACGATACATACGCTTCAAGATTGCACGGTGAAAAGAAAGAAAATCCCGTATTCACTTTGTAAGGTATTTGTATACTGACTGGGTTTCCCATTGGTTGGCGGACAACACTCTGCCTTTGAGAGACTCCTAACCTTGAATAAGAGGTATCAATCTTGACCGTGTCTCCAGTAGCACCAACAAACGTCGTATCGGCGGTTGAAGTGGGGTTAGGGTTGTAGCACTATGTACACATGCCTGTATCGTCTGGGTGCACGTACTATTTATATTATTCATCTGCATATATCAGGCTGTGCATTAGTGAACTCTGCGTTGCGAAACTCAAAGCTAGACGCTTGTCAGTGGCGTAGAGTAATATATCATGCTTTGTAGGCAATATGCCGAACAATCAACGGACTTACATAATTACCTTCAAACTTTACAGCAACAGGACCGCTCTGGAGTCCGCGACACGCATCCAAGACGGTCTTCATTTAGGTCACACGGTTACAAAATGATACATGTATCCTGCTCAATACTCAACACCATATACAGATCTACAAACCACCGGGAAGTTAATGTAGCGGCCTCCTTTCTATCGACAAGGACAAGGTTAGATGTGTGAACCCTGTCTCGTCCCTTGTCTCTTGCATCGTGTCTCCGCCCTTTATTGCAACAGCTTGTGTGCCACGGCAGTTCGGACGTAGTTGCATTGATGAAACTTTAGAGAGAGAAAGCACGGAACCGAAGCTCGGAACCTGTTCGCTGCGCCGCGAAGTCCTCGTGGCTGTCATTCCGCTCGGAACGGAAGCGAGCGAACGAGGCTCCGGTAGCAGTATTTCGCGTGGAAGGCTATAAAGGTATAAAGCCTCTCCAAAACTCGCTGCCTCTCCAAACCAGCCCCGAGGCCTCATATTCTAGGATAGAAAACAAAACCTGATCACCATACTCATAGAACGCACAGGCCGAAATGCCCCAACGCGTCCTCGTCACCGGCGCAAACGGCTTCATAGCCCAGCACATCCTCGACCAGTTTCTCGCGGCTGGCCACTCCGTCCGCGCTGTAGTCCGCAGCGAGTTCTCGGCCTCCAAGCTCCATAAGGCCTTTTCTTCCTACCTTGCCTCGTCCCAGCTTGACATCGCCCTGGTGCCGGACATGACAGTCCCAGGCGCCTTCGACGCGGCGCTCGCCTCCGACCCGCCGTTCGAGACCGTGCTGCACACTGCCTCGCCGTTCGACTTCCGCAAGGGCAACTCCAGCGCCGACTTCCTGGGGCCAGCCATCCGAGGCACGACGGAGATCCTCCACGGCGTCCGCCGCGCCGCGCCGGCCGTCAAGAGGGTCGTCGTGACCAGTTCCATGGCCGCCATGATCGACATCTCCCGGCCGCCCGTGTCCGATCCGCCCAAGATCTACGGCGAACGGGACTGGTTCGAGGTCTCGCAGCGGGACGCCGAGACATCCGAGAACCCGCACCTGCCGTACGTGGCGAGCAAGGCGCTCGCCGAGAAGGCGGCCTGGGCCTTCGTCGAGGAGGAGAAGCCAGCGTTCGACCTGGCAACAATCAACCCGCCCATGGTGTACGGGCCGCTGCTGGACGCCTCGGCGCTCAGGTCCCCGCGGGACCTGAACCAGAGCAACTACGGGCTCTACGAGACGTTCTTCATGCCAGGGCTGACGACGGAGTCGCCGGTCCCGCCCGCGTTCCTGCACCTGTACGTCGACGTGCGGGACGTGGCGCGCGCGCACTTGCTCGCGGCGACGAAGCCCGTCGCGGGGGGTCGCAGGTTCGTTGTCAGCCCCGGAGGCGTGTCTAACCAGACGATCGCCAATGTGGTGCGGGAGAGGCTCCCGGAGCTGGAGGGCCGGATCCCGAAGGGCGAACCGACGCAGACGGCGCTCCCGGAGGGGATTTACGGCGCGGACGGGTCGTTGGCGGAGAAGGTGCTCGGTCTGGAGTACAGGAAGCTTGAGGACACGTTTGGGGATATTGCGACGCAGATTGCTGAGCTGGAGAAGCGTGCTAAAAATGCTGCGTGAGGATGTTGCTTTCTGGAAAGGGGGGGGGGGTGGTTGTTTTTGCCGTTCCATAGGGGAGCTACGGAGCGAGATCGGGACATGGTCGTGTATTGTGAATCCAGTTCTACACTCAAGATTTGCAACGCAACAGCCTCAGTCCTTTGGAAACTGAAGGCATTTGGTGTAGCAGTACGACGATAAGCCCTGCTTTCCCATCTCGCCTCCATGACCACTATCCTTCATCCCTGCGAAGTAACCGCCGGGATGGGGCAACTCGGGCACGTTGATCGCGACCGTCCCTGCTTCCAGCCTTCTGGCTATGCTCTCGGCTCTTCCTATGTCTCTACAATAGACGGATGCCCCGAGGCCGGCGTTTCTAAGGTTGGCGCGTCGGAGTACGTCCTCTTCGTCTGTCCAAGTAAGCATCGGTACGATTGGACCTTGAAAGCACGGTCAGTTTACACGTCTCAGCAATCACAAACCACTTCGTTGTGTCAAATATTGAGTGTGAGCTTTGGGTGAGAGGAACCAAACTGCTCCTCTTGGACAAGAATGGATTCCTCTGGCGGCTTTGTGACAATGGTCGGCGGAATCCAAAAGCCTTTGGAATCCGAGGGAAGCTCGGCAGCGATGATGTTGCTACCATGCTTACTGTAATGGCGAGCAATGTCCCGGACAGCGTCATATTGCGTCTTGTTCGAGACGGGGCCGAATAGGCTAGGCGATCTGGCGTCATTATTAATGGAATAGGACTTTTTTACCTCGCTCGCGAATTTTTCGAGGAAGTTGTCGTATACGGATTCATGGACGTAGACGCGCTTCGCAGCCACGCACACTTGGCCGGCGTTGAAGAAGCATCCGGTGGCAACCTGACCCGCCACCTTGGCAACGTCAATGTCGTCGGTTACAATGGCTGCGTCGTTGCCCGCCAGCTCCAAGGTCAGTCGTTTCAGTGTCTTCGCGCAGTTGGCCATAATGCTCTTGCCGGTGGCAATGGTTCCGGTGAAGCTGATCTTGGCGATGGCCGGGTGCAGCGTCATGGCGACGCCGAGGTCGGTGCCGCCGTTGACCACCTGGACGACGCCGGGAGGCAAGACGTCGATGAGTAGTTCGACAGACTTCATGACGGAGTATGGCGCGCACGGAGAGGGCTTGACGATGACGCAGTTGCCTGTGATGAGTGAGGATACCACTTTGATGTTTGACAAGATCAGCGGGAAGTTCCACGGGCATATGGCGCCGAAAATACCCAAAGGGTGGTGGGTGGCCACGATCTTGAGCTTCTCGTCCTCAAAAGTAACCTCGTCTTCGAGATGGACCTTGGCTATGACGCAGGTATGAGTGTACTGAGAATCTTTCGAGGGAAGATGGGTAGTGGAAGTACTGTAGTATATTGTCTGTTCGCATGTATTTCCGATTTCGATCTCGGCCATGAGACTCTGGGGCCAGTTAGCGTCATGCTTCACTTGTAGTCGAAGAGTGAGACTTGAGTTACCGATTTCCCGGTTTCTTTCATGATAATATCCATCAGCTCCTCCTTGTGCGCGGTGTATACATCGACAACTCTGCGTAGATAGTCGGCTCGCTCCTTTACCGTGGTCTTGGACCAGGTCTGGAGAGTTTTCTGGGCTGCCGTGATGGCATCCTCGAGGTCATGCACCGTGGCAACGGGCGCATCCCACAGAGGCTCCTCTGAGCGAGGATTGATGCATTGGTGATGGCTGTCGCTGGCGCGGCGCTGTCCATCTACGACGTTGAAGAATTCCATCTTGACTGATATGTGGGAGATAGCTCCGTGATTGTTTGATTGGGAGGAGAGCAAGACAGAATATAGCAGCAAAGGGCCATTACCAGGTGATATGGACAGCATAAAGACGGGGTTCGGGAAAAGGCAGAAATGGTCATATCAGTTACATCATTGTTCGCGCGCCATAGTTCAATCCACCATCGGCTGACATGGTTCAGGCACAGCCTGATTCTGGGTTCCTGTTGAAATTCTAGGTGAAGACGGCGGGGCTGTAATACCCCGTAGACGATGACGGCGGATATGTGACGTTCCGGAACTGGTGTGGCATGTTGCGTTGAACTAAATTAGACTCGGTGGCAGTCGGCAGTCAACAATGGTAGTTCACGGCGGCATCTGCAAACATACAATCTCCTGACGCTCCGACAGCCTTGGAAAGACAAAGCGGATGATGTGTCGAGCTTTGCTGGCCGGGTCATGGTTTCTAGACAGTCAAGGCTGGATGATTGATGGGCCGTATGCCGTGTGTGTACGTTCATACTAAGGTAGGTATTGATCGGAATTCTACGTTGATTGCTGAAGTACCCAGGGAGCTAATCGAGGCACTTTTGCTTGCAGTCGCCCTGGATGAAGGTGAGTCCCGGTGAGTCTCGGTATCTGTCTGGTAGATGCCGTCAACACCCTATCACGTGAGCTACGTAGTTGCCGTTCAATGAGTTTCGGCCAGGTGTGCAGTACCTATACTCTGTATAGTATGCAGTATCGCATCGAAGAGGCGGAGAATCACGAGTGGAAGCTGCCGACCGTATGGCGACGGAGCCGGCCGACAGGCCCACCGCTAGGTATTCCTGTGCTAATTCTTAGTGTGTTGGTTGGCTAGGTGGCGGGGAAGAGGTGCTTAAGGGAGGGGGCGGGGCAGATAAGGATAAGACACACTGCCCCACTAAATAGGCAGACGATGATTGGACAAGTCCCGCTGATAAGCTGATACCCGGGCTTTCTGATTCGCGACAGCGCTGCCGTAGTCCGTCGCAAGCCGCGACTCCCGACTCTGAGAGAACGGACACAATCAGCTTGTCCGAAAAGAAACACACACAACACACAACACACAGAAATATATATACACTGTACAAACATACACATACAAACTCACAAATCCGTCGCAAACTGCACCAACGGGCGAATAGAGACGTTTGTTTGGATTGTGGATGTGGCAGCATAGCCAACGACGCGACAAGGGGTGCCGTAGTCACCTGCAGCAGCAGCTACCCCTACCTCGCCGACCGCATCCTCACCTCTGGAACGGTACCTTGCCTTGATCAGTTATCGTATTTTGCCTCTCTCTTTTTCTCTCTCCCCTCGTGTCTGTTCCCGCCTTAAACCTGCGGGGTTGTCTCTACATACTCTCCGTCCCCAAGCACACCTGACATTCCTCTTTCCTCTTCTTCTTCCCCCTGTCTTACCACTTGTGCAACTCCGACAGGTTGTCTCATACCTTTGCTTCTCATTAGTCACCGTGCAAAGGGGCTTGAGGCAATATGGCGCCCATTGCAGTCGCCCCCGAGAGGGATGTTGGGCCCCTAAACACGCTGACCACTGGCTTTGACGATACCATCCGCTTTTACCTCAACGGAACTCGCGTCGTGCTCGACGAGGTAGACCCCGAGGTCACCCTGCTCGAGTACTTGCGTGGAATCGGCCTCACTGGCACTAAACTGTTTGTCCGCTACTGTCCCGTCACTATGGACGAATCCCTTCGTACCATGCACTAACACCACACAGCGGCTGTGGCGAAGGCGGTTGCGGCGCCTGCACTGTAGTCATCTCCCAGTTCAATCCGACCACCAAGCAAATCTACCACGCGAGCGTCAACGCCTGCCTGGCCCCGCTGGCCAGTCTCGACGGCAAGCATGTCATCACCATCGAGGGAATCGGCAACACCAAGGCCCCGCACCCTGCCCAAGAACGAGTCGCAAAGAGCAACGGCAGCCAGTGCGGTTTCTGCACACCAGGCATCGTCATGAGCTTGTACGCTTTGTTGCGCAACAATCAGGCGCCTTCCCAAGAAGATATCGAGGAGGCCTTTGACGGCAATCTCTGCAGATGTACCGGGTACAAGCCCATCCTCGAAGCGGCCCAGACCTTCAGCGTCGAGAGGGGATGTGGCAAGGCACGGACGAACGGTGGCTCGGGCTGCTGCATGGAAAATGGTGACGGCGAGAAGAAGGCTGGTGGATGCTGCATGGACAAAGACAAACTCAATGACCAGCCCATAAAGAGGTTTACGCCGCCCGGCTTCATCGAGTACAACCCCGACACCGAGCTGATCTTCCCGCCAGCCTTGAAGAAGCACGAAATGAAGCCGCTGGCGTTTGGCAACAAGAGGAAGAAGTGGTACAGGCCAGTCACCCTCGAGCAGCTGCTCGATATCAAGAGCGTATACCCCTCAGCAAAGATCATCGGCGGCAGCACCGAGACCCAGATCGAAATCAAGTTCAAGGCACAGCAGTACCCCGTCTCCGTCTATGTGGGAGATATTGCAGAGCTGCGCCAGTACGAGTTCAAGGACGACCACTTGGAAATCGGTGGAAACGTGGTGCTCACTGATCTGGAGCACATCAGCAAAGAGGCCACACGCCATTACGGCGATGCTCGGGGCCAGGTCTTTGAGGGAATTCACAAGCAGTTGAAATATTTCGCCGGAAGGCAGATCCGCAACGTCGGCACGCCAGCGGGCAACCTCGTCACGGCGTCGCCAATATCAGACTTGAACCCTGTTCTCTGGGCTGCCAACGCCGTTTTGGTGGCCAAGTCCCAGAGCCAAGAGACGGAAATTCCCATGTCACAGTTCTTCACCGGCTATCGAAGGACGGCACTCCCGCAAGACGCCATCATCGCCTCCATCAGGATCCCCGTAACAGCCGCCAAGAACGAGTTCTTCAGAGCCTACAAGCAGGCCAAGAGAAAAGACGACGACATTGCCATTGTGACCGGCGCCCTCCGTATCAAGGTCGACGACAATGGGGTCATTACAGAGTCCAACCTGATCTACGGTGGCATGGCCGCCATGACCGTCGCCGCAAAGAAAACCATGGAGTACTTGGTGGGCAAGCGGATCGCCGAGCTGGAGACGCTCGAGGGAGCGATGAACGCCCTCGGAACCGACTTTGACTTGGAGTTCAGCGTTCCGGGAGGCATGGCCTCATACCGAAAGGCCCTGGCGCTCAGCTTCTTCTATCGCTTCTACCACGACGTCATCACTAACCTGGGCGGGCGGAGCCAGCACGTTGATATCGAGGCCATCGACGAACTCGAGCGAGGCATCTCTGGC